GATTGACCCGTCTCACATGTAACATTAAAGATGACAATATAATAGATATGTTTTAAATCATTCACACACTCACACAACGGAACCATTAAACATAGATCTCTGATCTTAAACAGATTGACCCGTCTCACATGTAACATTAAAGATGACAATATAATAGATATGTTTTAAATCATTCACACACTCACACAACGGAACCATTAAACATAGATCTCTGATCTTAAACAGATTGACCCGTCTCACATGTAACATTAAAGATGACAATATAATAGATATGTTTTAAAATCATTCACACACTCACACAACGGAACCATTAAACATAGATCTCTGATCTTAAACAGATTGACCCGTCTCACATGTAACATTAAAGATGACAATATAATAGATATGTTTTAAATCATTCACACACTCACACAACGGAACCATTAAACATAGATCTCTGATCTTAAACAGATTGACCCGTCTCACATGTAACATTAAAGATGACAATATAATAGATATGTTTTAAATCATTCACACACTCACACAACGGAACCATTAAACATAGATCTCTGATCTTAAACAGATTGACCCGTCTCACATGTAACATTAAAGATGACAATATAATAGATATGTTTTAAATCATTCACACACTCACACAACGGAACCATTAAACATAGATCTCTGATCTTAAACAGATTGACCCGTCTCACATGTAACATTAAAGATGACAATATAATAGATATGTTTTAAATCATTCACACACTCACACAACGGAACCATTAAACATAGATCTCTGATCTTAAACAGATTGACCCGTCTCACATGTAACATTAAAGATGACAATATAATAGATATGTTTTAAATCATTCACACACTCACACAACGGAACCATTAAACATAGATCTCTGATCTTAAACAGATTGACCCGTCTCACATGTAACATTAAAGATGACAATATAATAGATATGTTTTAAATCATTCACACACTCACACAACGGAACCATTAAACATAGATCTCTGATCTTAAACAGATTGACCCGTCTCACATGTAACATTAAAGATGACAATATAATAGATATGTTTTAAATCATTCACACACTCACACAACGGAACCATTAAACATAGATCTCTGATCTTAAACAGATTGACCCGTCTCACATGTAACATTAAAGATGACAATATAATAGATATGTTTTAAATCATTCACACACTCACACAACGGAACCATTAAACATAGATCTCTGATCTTAAACAGATTGACCCGTCTCACATGTAACATTAAAGATGACAATATAATAGATATGTTTTAAATCATTCACACACTCACACAACGGAACCATTAAACATAGATCTCTGATCTTAAACAGATTGACCCGTCTCACATGTAACATTAAAGATGACAATATAATAGATATGTTTTAAATCATTCACACACTCACACAACGGAACCATTAAACATAGATCTCTGATCTTAAACAGATTGACCCGTCTCACATGTAACATTAAAGATGACAATATAATAGATATGTTTTAAATCATTCACACACTCACACAACGGAACCATTAAACATAGATCTCTGATCTTAAACAGATTGACCCGTCTCACATGTAACATTAAAGATGACAATATAATAGATATGTTTTAAATCATTCACACACTCACACAACGGAACCATTAAACATAGATCTCTGATCTTAAACAGATTGACCCGTCTCACATGTAACATTAAAGATGACAATATAATAGATATGTTTTAAATCATTCACACACTCACACAACGGAACCATTAAACATAGATCTCTGATCTTAAACAGATTGACCCGTCTCACATGTAACATTAAAGATGACAATATAATAGATATGTTTTAAATCATTCACACACTCACACAACGGAACCATTAAACATAGATCTCTGATCTTAAACAGATTGACCCGTCTCACATGTAACATTAAAGATGACAATATAATAGATATGTTTTAAATCATTCACACACTCACACAACGGAACCATTAAACATAGATCTCTGATCTTAAACAGATTGACCCGTCTCACATGTAACATTAAAGATGACAATATAATAGATATGTTTTTTAAATCATTCACACACTCACACAACGGAACCATTAAACATAGATCTCTGATCTTAAACAGATTGACCCGTCTCACATGTAACATTAAAGATGACAATATAATAATAGATATGTTTTAAATCATTCACACACTCACACAACGGAACCATTAAACATAGATCTCTGATCTTAAACAGATTGACCCGTCTCACATGTAACATTAAAGATGACAATATAATAGATATGTTTTAAATCATTCACACACTCACACAACGGAACCATTAAACATAGATCTCTGATCTTAAACAGATTGACCCGTCTCACATGTAACATTAAAGATGACAATATAATAGATATGTTTTAAATCATTCACACACTCACACAACGGAACCATTAAACATAGATCTCTGATCTTAAACAGATTGACCCGTCTCACATGTAACATTAAAGATGACAATATAATAGATATGTTTTAAATCATTCACACACTCACACAACGGAACCATTAAACATAGATCTCTGATCTTAAACAGATTGACCCGTCTCACATGTAACATTAAAGATGACAATATAATAGATATGTTTTAAATCATTCACACACTCACACAACGGAACCATTAAACATAGATCTCTGATCTTAAACAGATTGACCCGTCTCACATGTAACATTAAAGATGACAATATAATAGATATGTTTTAAATCATTCACACACTCACACAACGGAACCATTAAACATAGATCTCTGATCTTAAACAGATTGACCCGTCTCACATGTAACATTAAAGATGACAATATAATAGATATGTTTTAAATCATTCACACACTCACACAACGGAACCATTAAACATAGATCTCTGATCTTAAACAGATTGACCCGTCTCACATGTAACATTAAAGATGACAATATAATAGATATGTTTTAAATCATTCACACACTCACACAACGGAACCATTAAACATAGATCTCTGATCTTAAACAGATTGACCCGTCTCACATGTAACATTAAAGATGACAATATAATAGATATGTTTTAAATCATTCACACACTCACACAACGGAACCATTAAACATAGATCTCTGATCTTAAACAGATTGACCCGTCTCACATGTAACATTAAAGATGACAATATAATAGATATGTTTTAAATCATTCACACACTCACACAACGGAACCATTAAACATAGATCTCTGATCTTAAACAGATTGACCCGTCTCACATGTAACATTAAAGATGACAATATAATAGATATGTTTTAAATCATTCACACACTCACACAACGGAACCATTAAACATAGATCTCTGATCTTAAACAGATTGACCCGTCTCACATGTAACATTAAAGATGACAATATAATAGATATGTTTTAAATCATTCACACACTCACACAACGGAACCATTTAAACATAGATCTCTGATCTTAAACAGATTGACCCGTCTCACATGTAACATTAAAGATGACAATATAATAGATATGTTTTAAATCATTCACACACTCACACAACGGAACCATTAAACATAGATCTCTGATCTTAAACAGATTGACCCGTCTCACATGTAACATTAAAGATGACAATATAATAGATATGTTTTAAATCATTCACACACTCACACAACGGAACCATTAAACATAGATCTCTGATCTTAAACAGATTGACCCGTCTCACATGTAACATTAAAGATGACAATATAATAGATATGTTTTAAATCATTCACACACTCACACAACGGAACCATTAAACATAGATCTCTGATCTTAAACAGATTGACCCGTCTCACATGTAACATTAAAGATGACAATATAATAGATATGTTTTAAATCATTCACACACTCACACAACGGAACCATTAAACATAGATCTCTGATCTTAAACAGATTGACCCGTCTCACATGTAACATTAAAGATGACAATATAATAGATATGTTTTAAATCATTCACACACTCACACAACGGAACCATTAAACATAGATCTCTGATCTTAAACAGATTGACCCGTCTCACATGTAACATTAAAGATGACAATATAATAGATATGTTTTAAATCATTCACACACTCACACAACGGAACCATTAAACATAGATCTCTGATCTTAAACAGATTGACCCGTCTCACATGTAACATTAAAGATGACAATATAATAGATATGTTTTAAATCATTCACACACTCACACAACGGAACCATTAAACATAGATCTCTGATCTTAAACAGATTGACCCGTCTCACATGTAACATTAAAGATGACAATATAATAGATATGTTTTAAATCATTCACACACTCACACAACGGAACCATTAAACATAGATCTCTGATCTTAAACAGATTGACCCGTCTCACATGTAACATTAAAGATGACAATATAATAGATATGTTTTAAATCATTCACACACTCACACAACGGAACCATTAAACATAGATCTCTGATCTTAAACAGATTGACCCGTCTCACATGTAACATTAAAGATGACAATATAATAGATATGTTTTAAATCATTCACACACTCACACAACGGAACCATTAAACATAGATCTCTGATCTTAAACAGATTGACCCGTCTCACATGTAACATTAAAGATGACAATATAATAGATATGTTTTAAATCATTCACACACTCACACAACGGAACCATTAAACATAGATCTCTGATCTTAAACAGATTGACCCGTCTCACATGTAACATTAAAGATGACAATATAATAGATATGTTTTAAATCATTCACACACTCACACAACGGAACCATTAAACATAGATCTCTGATCTTAAACAGATTGACCCGTCTCACATGTAACATTAAAGATGACAATATAATAGATATGTTTTAAATCATTCACACACTCACACAACGGAACCATTAAACATAGATCTCTGATCTTAAACAGATTGACCCGTCTCACATGTAACATTAAAGATGACAATATAATAGATATGTTTTAAATCATTCAGGCCTCGACGAAAAGGAGCGCAAGGACCGCGAGGCGAAGAACAAGTCTTTGGAGCTGGAGGCGCTGCAGCGGTGGGAGGTGTCGCTGATGGAGTGCCGCAGCTTCGCGGGCGTGGCGCTGCACCTGCTGACGCTGGACAGCAGCGTGTGCTGGTCGGCCAGCGTGCTGCACGCCAGCTGCCGCCTGTGCCGCCGCCGCACCGACCCCGACAACATGCTGCTCTGCGACAGCTGCAACAAAGGACACCATCTGTACTGTCTCAAACCAAAGCTCACGGTTGGTTCACGGATCGATAATATCTATACATTAATATACACAGTGTAGTTATACAAAAATTTAATGCATCGTTTTGGGTTTAATAATAAAGATGCTTATTAATATTTCATGCGTTCAGTTGCGTTTGGTGCGGAAGGTAATGAATTAGTGAGTTGTATATTATGTGTTCTGTTCCATTAACTCATGTCACGTGTATTGATCAACAGAAGGTGCCGGAAGGTGACTGGTTCTGTGATCAGTGTAAGCCGGCGGAGAAGACGCCCAAGAAACGAAGGAAACTATACGCCGACCCTGACGACACACTCGACGACAGGTGAATACATGCAGTATTCCCAGTAATCCCCATAACTACTACATTCAGTAATCCCCGTGACTACTCTAGGATAATTCCGGGTATCTACATTGGAAGCAGATTATCAGAAGAAAGTTTAAGCTGAAATATTTTCTATATTAACATCTTTTAAAATAATATTTTCACAATAAGTGATTATATAGTGTTTAATTTATTACTAATTGTAATTGTAATATGTAGTTGACAGACAAAAATCTTATTCACTATCATATAAATCATCTTGTTCGCAGACAGTAACTGATATATAGTAAGGTGTTTAAACTTTAAATGTTGTTATATGAATGTTTATTTCCTCCCCTCCCCAGCGGTGAGTCATGTTCGAGCGCGCCGGTGGAGCTGTGCGCGTTGTGCGGCTCGGGCGGGCGGCTGGCGGCCTCGTGTCGCTCGTGCGCGAGACGCTTCCACGCGGAGTGTGCGCCCAGTGGCGGCCGGCGGGCCGTGTGCGGGGACTGCGCTAAACCTAATAGAGGTACAATATAAAAGAATAAATTATACTACCCTAAAAGTACACAGTAAATATTGAAAAAGTCCCTTCATATTCAATAAACTATGCCAACAAGTGTCCCGTTACAACCAGTATATCTTTTCAGAAATTCAGAACAAATATAAAACAAATAAATTGTGCATTATTTTGATATATGTACCTTATTGTAGTTATTATATACAAGAGTCCAATTCCATGTATGTATAGTGTTATGTAGTATGTTAAAAGTAATGTATGATATAGAGTGCGGGCGGCGCCGGGCCGCGGGCTGCCGTCGGCGAGGCCTCTCCTCCGGTACGAGAACAGCTCCATCATCAGCTACCGTCGACCAGCCACTGAGCTTTATCACACACTGTGTTACAGAGACCACGACTCACATATAATAATAATAATAATATCTCTTTATTATTCAAAAAACGTTAACAGTAATTATAATTAACCCTTGGTCTCCACACTAGGTAAACCTGTGCCGTGGAGTATAATACCTTAACAACTTTACACTTGATGACTCTATTCACTATATATGAATGTAGATATTTATTGTTAGAATTTTTTATCTATATCTAGTACTATAGTCGTGGTCTCAGTAACAGCGAGTGTTTCATCTCGTTGTCTTCTGCTTCTTCTCATCTTTGGGCTTTTTTTGTTCTTTGGTTTTCATTTAATCCTTTCAATGCGGTTCACGTAATGTTACGTCTAACGTAAACTATACTTTACGTGATATGTCGTCTACGATTCCGTCATGAGCACAATAAAAATTGCAGTGGAATTAGATGTATGATAAATAATAATGAATTTGAGAATATAATTTTACACTAAAATTAATAATGGCAGTTATTTAAATTTAATGGTTAAAAATCAATAAAAATATTACATAACTCACATTTTTAGCTCCAGGCTTCTAAAAAGAGGGGGCGTATGAGATGTTTCAGTGCTATTTAAGAAGAACACTATTTTTATGTTTCTGACCAAACAAACGATTCATAGAACTCAAAACATATAATGATATCTAAAGGAGAGAGTACAGTCAGGGATAAATACAGAGAAACAAAGAATATTGTGGCCGCATTGAAAGGGTTGTTCTTTCTCTAATAGCATGATCTGCGATAAAAAATGCATATTTTTTGGTTATCTTTCTATTACATCTGGTTGCACGGTAGGAAACTAAACCCAATCCATTAGTATTGTACGCAATCAAACGCATTTCACATTAACGCTGCACATGTTCGGGGAAATGTAACTTATTTGACAGTAGATATTAATAATAGTCACCATTACTAGATTCTGAGGACAGCGAATATAACACGGCGCTCGTTAAGCTGAAGACGAGGCAGCAGAAAAACGAGGAACCAGCCAGGAGAGGCAGGAAGTGAGTTATATGATTAATTACTTCAAATATATGACGTACATTAGTAATACATAATAGAACTAATGATATCTAAGACTTTTTCGGGTTTTATTCATTTAAATGACTATCACGGTTGCTGTAAAGTAGCCGAAACGTTGAAGTAGGTATATAGTTTTTTTACAAAAATGAAGTCGCATAGTATAATCCGAAAAATATTAGTTTCATTTCCATAATAGAATTATTTTAACATAATTCATTTTTTTAAAAAGCAAAAGCTATAGCAATCCGAAAGCCGCTTATATTATGTTTAAAAATAAATTAAGAAAGGAGTAATATTAACATTTAATTGTAGATCTAAAGAAGTTGTCAACGGAAGTACAAATAGGAGATCGAAGTCATTAATGAATGGTGTCAATGGTAAGAATATATCTTTTATGGTCTACTTTTTTTAATATATTTTTTTTTTTGTTTCTAATATAACGTTGTGTTGTAGGTGATGTAGTATCGAGTCGTAAGCGCCCTCGCCAAGAGGAAGAGTTGCTACACGTGGAAGCGCTCACACAACTGCTGAAGGAGTGCGGCAAACATCGAGACTGCTGGCCCTTTGATGAACCCGTCTCTACGGAAGACGTATGTATATTATATAACATGATTAATAAGATGTGTGTAATATAAACAATGATATAAGTGGACTGTAATAGTGTTAGATACGCGGATAGGGTCGGACAAATGAAAGGATCGCTGGCTAATCACGCACTGCTTTATTGAACGATTATTACAATATATATATGGGTGGTCGCAGCCACGCCCGAACTAATTATTTATGCATACCTACATATGTAACAAATAGCTAAACACTGATATAACTAATCGGAAAACCTCTATGAATGTCATCTCCATCCATGAAGCGAAAATTTAGATAAGAAGAAGAACTCCTTTATAACGCCTATTACTATATGTGGTACAAAATACAAGAAACAAGTAAATTTTTCGTTATTCATTTACAAAATACATTTTTGCCCTATCAGATATACTGACATCGTTTATTACTAGAAGCTATTACCAACTAGAAGCTATTACCAATTAGAAGCTATTACCAACACAACACGTTGAACATTTTCCAGGTTCCCGACTACCTGAGTGTGATCGAGCAGCCGATGGACTTCTTCACGATCCGCGGCAAGCTGGAAAAAGGTGCATACACCACCGATCAGCAGATGTTAGACGACGTCGCGCTCATTTTCAAAAACTGCTACACTTACAACCAAGACACACACCCTGTAGCCAAGTGAGTTGAATGTTAAATATTAATTGAATATACCAAATTCGTATTATTATCGTACCTGCTTGAAATATAACATATTTATTTGTATCAAACATTTCTCAAGTGATTGGTAAACAGTTCAATTATAATTTAATGTGAATAAAGACAACACTTATTAAATAATTGGACCAATTTAATTATTATTTTCAGAGCGGGAGCTCGACTCGAAAAGTACATCATAAAGCGTTGTTCGGAACTTAATCTACCAGCGTTGCCGGCCACCTCGCTTGAAGACAATGAGGCTGAAGCGACGCAAGAGAATAACGAAGAAGAGGTTACGGAAGGTGCCGGAGAAGAATTAGACTCAGATGACGAAGTACTCGCACCTCGAGCGAAGAGACCCAAGATCCAATGAGATATTTGACTATCGCTGTTGACTACACTACTTCACCTACGAAATTCCATATGAGCGCTCATACACACTGAAATTCTAGTTGAAATGGAAATCATATAACATTTTTGACTCACCCTGTATACGATGTTCCAGAAATATCACAAATTTATATATAAAACGCTGCGAAAGATAGGTGTAAGGATCAAGCACTAGATTCATGATGGCTGGACGGTTAACATAAATACATAAATTACATTCCACTTTAACATCTTTATTACTTAAAAAATATAAGAAATAAATTGTTGACTGATTGTGATCATGAATCTAGTTAATGATTGTGCTTAACATACTCTGTGAGTTCGTGCTTTAATCTAGTACCATAGATAAAATAGTTGTAGTGATGTGATCTATGTAACTATACCATAGAGAATGTATAATCTCCATAAAGATAGATTTAGGCTAAGGTAGTCTTTGGATGCCGGTGGCTATGGCCATGTTTATTGGAACAAAATAAGATGTAAAATTTAAACAAAATTTATATTAGACTTAATAATTATCATTATTGATATACAAGTAAATTGTCAAGTTTAATTTATTTTATGCGAAATAAGTGCATTTTGGTTTGTTGCTTGCACACTAGCCATAGAATATGGCTGGTTGAGAATTTAATAATTTTAATTAAATTGTAGTTTAATCTGAGAAGCTATCAATTAGGTATCTTTTGTGTCATGTAGTGGCTTCATTTGCACTTCAATTTATTGTTTGTCACTTATCGTAATTGTCATTTTTAAAATATATTCATAGATGTTACACCAAAAACTTTGAGTGATTAATGACAGATTGCATTTACAACAATGAGTGTGTTGAGAAACTTGCATGTCTGATTCCTTCTGAATTCTCTCTTAATAAATTTTTTAACAGTTATTAATTCAATTGTTTAATGTTCAACACATTAAGCGATTTACAGACATTTCATGAATCAGTATATTTAGCATTTATAAAATATAAATTATAATACAGTAGAAAAATATTTAAATTAAAAAATAATAAACGGAATGTAAATATTAAAAAAATAAATGCTAAATTCAAAAAGCAACATCTAATATATACTGTATTGCTTTCAAGAATGTTTCAAAATTATAATGGATAGTTGTTTGTGTCGCTCGCCTTAGACGGTACAGAACTCAGTGCCTGAACATAGAACTGATGTACAGAGAAGTAGTTTTAACATTTGAAATACTATTATTATATATTTAAACTGTCTTTTCAAATATTTTCGATACATATAAATGTCATTATACTATGATGTTCAACAATATATCTTATTGAAAACATATAAGATCTAGTTCCCCATGAACTAACTACCCGCATGTTACAAATTGTATTTCAGATTAAGTAAAACATTGAAGTTAATTTTTTTTAATGCGAGTTCTGTGTGATTTGAAGCTACTGTCTAGTAATACTATAATTTAATTGTAAAATAATTTTGTTTTAATTTGATTTGTTAAAATTTCGGTTCTATTAAATAATTTTGTTATATGAAGGATTTAAATTATGTGGTACGTTGATTGAAGTAATTCTTGTTTTTTTTATGTTGCCGGAGATTTTTATCAGGCATTTTTTTTATCAGTGCTAATTTTTTTTTTTATGTTAAATTATCTGTAATTCTTTAAGTCTGTAACCCAGCGAGTTAATTATGAGATCAAATAGCATTCCTATAGGAACATAGCGCTGTTATGACTAGTTGAGTGTCAGGTATTGTATTTATCGTTTTTATCTGCAATTATTTATTGATGTAATTTAAGTTTTTTAATAATTTGTATAGTAGTTAATAAAGCACCTGAAACAGTGTTATCTTCTGTTTTATTTACTCTCCTTAAAAGGTAGTGATGATCCTTAAAGAAATTTGTTTTCCTTTTGGTGGACGAGACTAGTTTCCACGACGAGCCGAACGGAGTCATCTCGCACAGATACCAAGGGCGAGATTAAAATAGAAGCTATAAATCATAACATGTCAATAATATATACTCTGTAAGCGTTTTTTGCTTAAATTCTTTATTTATCCGAAATATAGCCAATATATTAAAATTAGGTAAGAGACAATTTTCTTGTCATTAATCGACTTTGAATCTCGTCTCCTGTTGACCTTTTTTATTTTGAGTATTGGAAGATGTTCGAGTACCTATTGGAAAATGTTCGTAAACCTCGATTCAGGCACACAAGATACAGAAATAATATACGATATTCAAATGTAAACTTTAATTTATATCTCAGGGTTAGAGTATGATAAATAAAATCATTCCAACAGAAAGAGTACATTAGTAACTGATCATAAATCATAATATTTGACTCTTGTCATGGAATAGACAGGTATATTATTACATACTATTAATTCTTCCCTATTGGTTGAAAGGGTCACTGGGGCTTATTCAATACAATGCTTTACTGTTCCTTTGAATTGTCCCTGATGGAAAAGTGAGTGTGTGGCCAGCTGGTTGTTGATTTGCCTGCATCAGTTTGCACATCCTTCTAGACACAATCATCAACTATTGGAATTGGTTATCAAGATGAAAAAGTAACTATAACACAACCCCATGACTTTACATCACCATCTCTTATGCATCAAGGAGAGAAGAACATCCTAGTACAGATACAAAGTATGTACAAAGAAACAAGATGAAAATATTTGTTTTCCATTTTATCTAATTTTCACTTAATATACATATAAATGATTAAAACAGTAAATGAAACAACATAATACAACTATTACATGATTTTATTTATGCTTATAATGTAAATAACGATGTTTCATGATTCTTTCATCTAGTGGTGAGCGGCCGCCTCCTTCCTTCTGATTTCAGCCCACTTGCTAACATTCTCAGGGGAGTTAGCTGATAAAGAAAAAAAATATTTAAATATATAATAATTCTATATAAAGTATGTATTATAAACAGCTAATATTTCATCTTCAAATAATAATCTAATTAATGTGAAGAGGCACTTGAATAATATGATTTTGAATAACTTATTAAAAAATTGTTTACAAAGTTATCATTAGAAATTAGAACAAACTGAGAATTTAAATCTACTCCCTGTTAGGTTAAGGTAGCAAGAATATACATTATTCAAATTAAGTATGAATAAGTTAATATTAATGCTTTTTATGATTATAAGAATACATACCCATTTTGTGTATCTTGTAGAAGACTGGTGCAGCAACAGCAATACCAACCATCCAGTACCTCCATATCCATTGTTTCTCCAAGTAGAATTTAAAAGGAAACTGTGCCATTTTGGCCGAAAGGGTATAGGGGAACTTCATGGGGCGTCCAGGTGTTTCCGACATTTTCGATCTTCTGAAAAATAACCAACAATATTATGTAATATAACTTACCGCAAAATCTCCATTTGCTTTTTGTATCTTAGGATAATTTATATTTGTATTAGATAATAACAACAAAGATTTATTTATTCTCTTTAGAAAGTTAAAAAGAAAACAACTATATATTTCTTACTTTTTAAACAACGATTGATCGAAAAGTTAAAACGAAGTAATAGTTCTTTAACCACAGACAACCTTCAAACTAAATGGGGTTTGTGCTAATGTCAAATATTCTAGTGTTGCTAGAATAAAGATTATATATCGTTTTTTATTTTATTTTATATTTTTATTTATCTTGAAAATCATCTAAAAGCAGAATTTTTAAAATAAAATTTATATTATTTTTTCTAAATTATTTCAAATTTGTATAGAATTTTTTTGCTATGACAACATTACCTTTCTTTCTTACAATTCAAATTGTTGCCCACATACTACCAGTTTGAATCAAGTCTCGTCTTCTGTCAAATTTCATTAAAAATGTCAATTTGCTATGAGAAGTCGCATTCGTGTTAGCTGTTGAATAGATTTTATTAATAATCAAAGTTATTTACAATATAATGTGTGACAATGGCCTCTGTAAAAGTGGCTGTAAGGGTGCGCCCATTCAATCAAAGGTACGCTAAAACAGTATTTACTCCGTTGACAAATTCGATAACAATACTTGTTAAAGGACAATCATCCTATTTACCTGCCTTTGTATTGTTTTTAATACTATCACATATTTTTCCTAAAAATAATCGTTCCACTACTGTTGTTTGGAAATATACGTGTTCTAAATTCAAATTATCTATTGCGAAAAAAAGCCCTAACTTTTTGAAAGTACAAAAAGATGTCATGAAACGGCAGTGACTTTCACGGTTCAGCTGCATTTGGAGCACGAACCGTACTTTAGCAAACCATTTAAATGAAAGTTACCGAAAAAAAGACATTAAATGTATCGACCTACATACAGCCCTCTCTAATTGCTGCGGATTTTAAAGAATGTTATGAACACAATGTTTATAAACACACAACTAAAGCAAACAGATCTGTTATCAACAAAGACATATCATGATATGTTAAAAATGTATGTTAATAGAAATAAAATCTGTTGCATACAATTTGTATATACATTCAATCTTCAATATCTCCAAATGACATGGATTACATAGTATTCTATCAAGTATATAAAAGAAGTTGAAGTTAATAAATAAATATGTATGTTTCAAAAAGTTTTAAAATATTAAAATTTTATTTTATTATAAATATCTTTAAATTGTTATTCCATATAAAAAATGAAGATTTATCTATATTTAGGATGAATAAATTATAATCAGGTTTTTTGATGCATATGTTATTGGATATAGTGTTACAGTATTTATATTATTACTGTTGTTTCAGAGAGAGAGATATGAACGCCAAACTCATTGTGCAGATGGAAGGGAAGAAGACGAGGTTACTCACTGTAAAAGTAAATAAATTTGTTATCAAAATATATTATATTGTAATGATAATTGCTTACTTTTTGCATATAGTTGGTAAAGGTATAGAGACATTTTGAAACCTTTTTGGGTATTAATCGGTGTTATATAGATTGATTAAGGAGTTTGAGGATTATGTTTATTCAGTTAATACAAGTTTTCATTTATATATTACATACTAGCTTTCCGCCCGCAGCTTCACTCGTGTGGAGTTTGGTTATATATCATTTCCAAGAGAACTTTTCAAATGTCTGGGATAAAAACTATGCTATGCTCTTTCTCAAAGTCAACTCTATATTCGTACCAAATTTCATTAAAATCAGTTCAGTGGTTTAGACCTGAAAGTGTAATAGACAGACAGAGTTACTCTCGCATTTATAATATTAGTAGGGATGTATGACTTTAATATAACAAAATATAATATTATGTTCAGATATTTATAATATTTAAACTATTTGACCCCCAGACATACTTCCAACAATGTCTGTGTTTACATTTACACCAAGTATTTTCATCTCTGTTATATTTTTCTACATACACCAGGTAACATCATTTGTTTAATGTAGCTCATAAACAGTCTGGCAACGGCTTGTAATGGTCGGCACAACATACTATTATAAAACAATTAGGCCTGTTTCACGCAAACATCTTTATCATATATAAAACCTGCTTGGTGTTTTTTTCTCACAGATAAAATAATTATCTGTAGATGAGCTCGATCTTTATCTAAACGCCGATTCATCTAATGTTTCCTTGTTTGTTATTGGTGGACGTCATTTATTGTTATAAAAAAAATAAACGACTTTCTGTTTCACCATATTTTTTGATGATAAACTAATTCTATAATTGTATTAGATACAAAATAGACTGCAATATTTTTGACCATAAATTAGAATGCTAAAGAAATAGTTTTTTTTCTAACTCTAATTCTTTTGATGATGCCATAGTAAAGGAAATTAATAATCATTTGTTTAACAGAATAGCAAAGAGCAGAATGACGCTAACCGGGAGAAATACAAGGACTTCACGTTTGACCATTCATATTGGAGCTACGACAGCGCTGATCCGCAGTACGCGTCACAGGAGCAGGTCAGTGAATACATGTACCAACTTATATTGGTTATATATAGAACACCTCCGTACATGACGCCGTCTTCGCGTCGAATGACTAAGCACACGCATTGTGATGTCTTATATAACAGATATAAATTTTACTACTTTGTATTACAGTATAATTTGATTGAAATTTCATTGTAATTTCAGCTCTATCTAAATGTAATTCGACTCAATTTTGCGTAAAAAATATTTTTTATTGTACGTTACCACCAGTATTAGTGCAAGTTGCATCGTCACACTTCACATCGAGCGTTAATAGTTTTTCATACATTAGTATTAACGTAGGCCATTTAAGAAACGGGAAACGCAACTTACGTAGTATGGAACATATACTAAGCATACACTACTTACTGTAGCTTCGTTTGTAGTAATTTTAATTGGTTTATTGCGTTAAATTTTCGCATTAATTTATATTGTAGTACAAAACCTAATGACCTTTCACCTTTGAATAACAAGTTGAACACGTCTGAATATATGAGTAGTGTACAATAGATATTGTAATGCGATTCAAAGAAGACTTAAAGGATGAATACTGGCAGGAATACTTAAAGGAAGACTATGTAATATATTATGTATCTTCTTCTACCTGGCAATTTCCCAGCTTTAGCCAGGGTCTGCCTTACATGTTGTGACTAGTTTTTGGCTAATTGTTTTTACGACCGGCCGCCTGTCTGACATCGCCTCTCTTTGGGAATGCATTAATCAGTGATGTCTAAATACTCTTAGAAAGTACATATGACTCGGAAAAATCACATTGGTACTTGCCAGGGCCAGGATCGAACCCGCGACCTCGTGCATGAGAGGCGGACTATCGTCTTTCGGATATATCGTCTTTCTACTGCAGTAAAAGTAATAAAAATAATATGCTTTATTGTAACATCGCCACATAAAAATTACAAATGGCCTTGTTATTCTTAAAACAAATCTCAGTGAGACAAAATTTTTCACCTCGTCTGCCCGTGATCACGGTTGTTGCAAAGTAAAGGAGTATGTTGTTAAAAATATTAAATATGCGTAGTATATCTGAAAATATTAGTTTTATTTTAGGCCTCGGCCGGGTCTCGGCAAATATAACGTAATTTTTTTCTGAATGAAAAAAAAAGCTATATTGATCTATTAAATCCAGATTGTACATATATCACATTTAATCTTAAGCGTAATCCTTATACGGTGAAGATCATTCCCCAATTTGTTCAAAAAAAATTAATTTCTTTTATACATCGACGTTATACATTTACTGAATGTCAAGGCACCGTCCCCCATGAAAATAAATCTCACGTGAGATTGTGGGATGGGGGGAGTGGGTTGAATAATATCTCAGGACATCTCACCAAGGCGCAGGAAGGATCAGAAATTTCAAAAAAATACCTCACGTATCTATGAATGCCCCCTAAAATATAAAGTCCTTCAGTCAGTTAGTGTATAAATAAAGTTTTAAATGAATGCTAATTTTAATAACTATTGCAATTACAGAATTTTTTGACTATTATATAATAAAATATAATATATGTATATAAAAAGATATTAAGTCATTCCAAGTATGATAAATGTCGCTTCCTTTTTCATTACCGAAATTCAGAAACGTTTCGATTATTCAATTTATAAATAAACAGCATTACATTGTTCCGGATATGAGTCATGATTCAGTTTCTGATTTGACTATAAATAATCATAATTTAAATGATTTATCTATATACCTATATTTATAGTGATAATTAATATTCGAATTGATATCCAAATCAATACCGGAAACGGTGAAATTTAATGTCACAAATTGTATATTTATAATGTGAAAGGAGTTCATTGTAATTTGCAAATTTTCTTAACTATAGTAATACTAATGAGATCGAAGGCTTTCGCGAGTGTTATTCATTTAAATGAAACTAATATTTTTTGGATATACTACGCGGTTGACTTCTCGTCTGTCCGTGATCACAGTAGCTGAAAAGTAGCCGAAACGTCGGGAATATGTAGTTATTTCACAAAAAATAAACCGCGTAGTATATCAGAAAAATATTAGTTTCATTTAAATGTATAATACTACTTTTAGCCCGCTACTGCGTCTGCGTTAGTTTCAAAATAAGAAATGTATAGCTGACCGGGCGAACTCTAGTCCTCTTTAACCCTAGAGTGGGCGCGCTATGAGCATTTTGCCGCCCGCGCTAAAAAACTGTTAATAATAATTAAAGCAACTAGCCTTTAGACTTGTGCTTCTTAGTAGCTGCTTCCAATCTCATTAGCAACGTTTGCCTTAAATCTGGACACCGTCAGTGCCCGGGGGACCGCAGGAGAAGAAGGTATCTACTATCAGGTGTCGCCGGGCGGCAAATTGCTCACCGCGCGCCCACTCACGTAAGTAATATTGTATAATGCATTTTTGGCAAACTCGAAATGTTGACTATATTTTATGGTGCATTAATAACTTTTACAACTAAAAATATATTTGTTTTAGGATTTCAAAGAATTGATTGATAATAATAAATAAAAATGGATAAAATAGAAGATCAAAAGATGTGGTGGGATGCCAAATCTTTTGAACACCAAAGATCGGGCGACACCATCTTCAATGTTGGGATTTGGCGACAGGAAAGTATTACTATCTTATGTTAGAAATAAAAAGCAAAAGAAAATAGTATTACTATTATCAACTTTGCATGAAGATGATAAAATCGATGAAAATACCGGGCCTTCTGCAAAACCTGAAACGTGGTTGACCAAATGAAGGAAGAATATTCTGTTGGGAAGATGACTCGCAGATGGCCAATCAGATTATTTTTTTCAATGTTGAATATTGCCGGTCTAACAGTCAAATAATATACAAAGTCAATACTCAACATTTGATGTTACGTCGAGAATATTTGAAACAAATTGCCATGGTACCTGTCAAGCAATATATGACCACAACGACTTCTATAGGCACTTTAAATATTCCTTTGAGGAACCAAATTGCTCGCTTTGTCCCAGTAGGAAAAGCATCTTCTTCGAAAAAGGAGGGCAAATGCGGTATATGTCCCTCAAAGGAAAACAGGCGCACGAAAAAAGGGTGTTCCAGATGCCAAAAGTTACAGTGCAATGAACATTGTACAGGTGTTTGTGAAGACTGTTTTGATAAAGCGTGTCCTGTAGATTTAGAAAATATATAATTTTGTTATTTTTGTTTTATTTTTTAAGTATTAAAACGTATTATGTAGCTTAAGAGAAAAAAAGTCATTCAAAATATTAAGTTTTCTAAATTCTTTTGTAAACCAAAGTTTATAGAACAAAGTTGAATAAATATGTTGATTTATTATAACTTACTGTTTATTTATTTAAATCCTAAAAGAAAAAATATGAATTTGCAGTATTACTAGTCAAAATTGTCAAAGAAAATGAGGCGGCAAAATGCTCCCCACGCGCCTACTGACGTTACGCAAAAAGACGCGCCCACTCTAGGGTTAAAGACACCAGATATGAAGATTTTGGATTTTGATCAATTTATATATTTTTCAATCGGATGAAAAGTACCCTAAGTACTTTCCCTTGTTTTAAGCTATCTCTCCACAAATTGTCATCATAACCCGTACAGCCGTTTTTCAAGTTATAAATAGTGTAACCACCAAGACTTTCTTTATATATAAAGACATATAGTTATGATTATTATCAGCATTTTATCAGTTATCTGTCTAACGTGAGTTTCATTGTTGTGTGAGACGTTCATTAACGAACCGACTCGGCCTTTGCCCTTCAGCTTTCACTGTCACGATGGAGGCGATAGCGAATTCAATGCAATGCAGTCTAACAATGTTCATACAATTTATATTACTAATACTTATATAACGCTCTAATATGTTAAATATTTAAACTTTTATCGATATGAAATTCGACCTAGAATCCAAACGATTATGATAAAAAAAAAGTTGACATTAAATTTGGCGCCAATATGGATGACGTGTAATATTATACTAGTTGATAAACAAAAATTTATAACAGAACCAAAATAAAGAAAAAAATATTTGTTTTCCTCCAAATATACGAAAAAGTGGGATATATTGTATTAATGTTCTATCCTTGTCCTAATATAACAAATATGTAAAATATGTTTTAGATTTTGTGCGTGATAAATCAACAAATACTCACGCACACATACAAACTTTCAGTTGCGTCGTGTATGACTCGTCACTTGAAAAATTATAAAGTATAGTAAAGAATTTATAGCTCAAAAATTTAGTATCTTATTGCGTATCCTCCTGTATAGGATCGACAAAAAAGGAAAAAAAGGTTTTTTGTAATAATTCGGTAACAATTTTATACCTCCATTTTATAAACTTTAAATATTTGACAGAATAAGCTTTTAACTTAAAATTCAATACAAGGCAACGATCTCCATATTACGTCATACATTAGATCGTAATCTGTACTGTGAATGCTTTAAATTTTCCCATTAAACAGATGTAATTCGAGGAAGGTCGGGTGTCAGTCTAGCCAAGTCTAGCCAAGTCTAGCGTGGTCTAGACAAAGGGTTGTTTAGCTCACATACACTTCCTTCGCTAATACCTATTTATCGATTAAATTCTAGGTTTTTCCATTTAAAAACATATAAATAGTTCGTTTCTGGGTATACGACCTAAGCATATTATTTTTCTTTTATATATTCCTTTATGTTGTATTATTAGATACTTAATATTTTATAAGTTTCACTTTAAAATACCAATTTTCATGTCTTTATGAGTCATCTTCAAAAAGGATATTTGAAGTTGAAGTTCCATCGATTGAGGTAGTCTTATATTTCTTTTGTCAATAACGAAAATATTGTCTTGATCGACTTATATATTTCAAGCTGGTTATAACTATTTTCTTGTGATATATTTATTACTAGCTTTCCGCCCGCAGCTTCGCCCGCGTGGAGTTCGGTTATATAACGTTTCCAAGAGATCCTTTCAAAAGTCTGGGATAAAAATTATCCTATGTTTTTTCTGAAGGTCAACTCCACCTCTGTACCAAATTTCATTAAAATCAGTTCAGTGGTTTAGGCCTGAAAGCGTAACAGACAGACAGACAGAGTTACATTCGCATTTATAATATTAGTACATAGTTATAAGATTCCATAATATTAAAAAAACTCGTCGCTTTAATTGTCATTTAACGATTTATTTCTCACGCGTGATTCACTTAAACAATTTATCATTAGATAATGTCTGTTACATCATTTCGGATATGCACTGATAGTTACACTGTACACTGGGCGACTGATATTTAATAATTAATCAGACATAATTGACTACAGCGCAACTAAACTGACTTATAAATTGAAAAAACCGCATCGAAATCGGTCCATCCGTTTGAGAGTTACGATGAGACAGACAAACAGTCGTAATATTTATATTACGTCACACTTACAACAACGCTTTTTGTGGTATATAAACAAAGATGGAATAATATATGACTAATAAAGTTAATTATACGAGAGTTCGTTTTTATTTTAAATAACAAACAGACAGTCTTATTTAAACTATACAGGGTGACTGGTGAATTACTATCGATATTTAAGGACGTGATATTTGACGATCATATATGACAAAATAAAAATTAATATAACATAAATATTAATAAACTTCTAAGTAAAGTTAACCAAAAGTTATGTAATTAATTACGCATCGTATGAACACCCTACAGATTAGGTATACACACACACTCACACAGACGCGGCGGCGGCGTAGTGTTGTATCAGCACGCCGCCGCACGCGTCCAAACTTGGAACACTTGGAACGTGTACACACTTTATTTATTTATACGGAAATTTGGTCAAAAATTAAGTACCTATTTTTTTTACATAATTCGAATGGGAATCATGTACCGAGTATGCTCCTTAAATATTGATAGTAATTCACCAGTCACCCTGTATATTATATTATAGAAATAGATTATGTAGATATTATATGGTAGAATTAAAACCGGTCCTATACCATAACTACGTGTTTGAACCGTAGCACTAAATACGCGTAGTATTTCGTCGTCATCAGCTTATCAGAGCCCACTGCTGAGTAGAGGCCTCTTCTCACATGGAGAAGTTTTGAGCATCAATCACCACGTTTGCTCAAGACGGGTTGGTGATTTCAAACTTATAATTTGGAATTATAAGTACAGGCTTCCTCACGATGTTTTCCTTCATCTGTCAGTGGTGTCTAAATAATCTTAGAAAGTACGTACCACTGAAAAATCAAAATCAAAACGTAATTAGTATTTTCATTTATAAATCTTGTCACGTGTAATATCTAAGTTAGTTAATGAATATGAAACTTTAAACGTTGCGTTTTGTGTGACGGTGTAACGCCTGGTAAGGTTGTGGCCCTGAGCTTGAACACAGACGAACACACACAATGACGTAACCATACAACATCTGAATATACATTTAATATGTGAAACGTGACGGAAAGAACATATAAAGTAGATTATTATTATTGCATTTCCAACACTTTCTATGTATATTATTGAATTATTTTAATAAGATCCTAGACTGTCGAGTATTAATTTGAATGAAACTAATATTTTTCGGATAAAACGAAACCTCTTAGCATTCAATGGATTCATCGTGCGGATGCCGGGTCCATCGTTGCAGGGAGAGGAGCTTCAACAGTGACTGGGACTTGCGACCCAGGAGTAGGTTTAAGGGGTCCCTATGTAACGCGCGTTAAACGCTCACCTCCACTGTCCAAGCCACTACCGACGTTTCGACAATCGACCAAGTGACAGACATTCATATCTGTCCGTTATCACGGTTTCTGAAAAGTAACCGAAACGTCGGGAGGATGTAATTTTTTAAAATAATAAAATACGCGTATTGTAATTTGTAATCCGAAAAATACTAGTTTCAATTTACTGCATTCTTTGTTTTTGAATGATTCTGTTTTGTTATTTCATTTCGGATACCCTAATCTGTTATCAAATTGGTTCAGTAGATATATTTTGATATCTTCTTTGATGTTACGATTGACATAATTTATACTCATGTTGTTTTGATACGTCCGCCGCATTATTGAATTTAATTTTCACGAAGCTGCAACAAAGAAAATTCAAAATGTAATAAAATATACATATAATAAATTAATAGGTGTAACAAAAATAACTTCCTTTATACAGACGTAAGGAACAACAACGGTTATATTACGGTCGGACAAAGGTCAAGGTCGAGGTGACAAAATATTTACACTCTATATTCGGAAAGGTACATAAATAAAAGTGCATTGTCCGTTGTATGGGTAACACAAACTACCAAACTGAAATACCAAAAATAAAATCTAATAGTTTGTGCTTTAAAAGTCACAGAATTAAAATCTATACTAATATTATAAAGCTGAAGAGTTTGTTTGTTTGTTTGTTTGTTTGTTTGAAAGCGCTAATCTTCGAAACTACTGATTCGAATTGAATAAATCTTTTTGTGTTGGATAGTCCAGTTATCGAGGAAGGCTGTGGGCTATATAACATCACGCTACGACCAAAAGGAGCAAAGATATAGTGGTAAATGTATAAAAAACGGGAGAAATTATTTCATCTTTGAAGCCTTCCGTTGCGTGCGCCGTGAAAACGGTTCAAGATACACAAAAAATATGTCTTTGAATAATATCTCTTTTAATGATCTAAAAAACAGTCCGCGACAGTATATGTCTATCTTTTAAGATTAACTCACAAAAACCGTTTTTATGGTACCTAATTTGGTCGAAATAATTTGTTTAAGTTGTATCAACATAATAATATTAATCTTTATTCAAATAAACAAATAAATATGTTGTTGGTTAAGAGTACTTCATTGTGAATTAAAAAAAATATAGTTTTTATCCTGAAAATTCTAACGGGAACACGACCATTCCGAAAACCCCACAAGAACGGGAACTATGTGGGAGGAATCAAAAATCTGCCGGAAGTCACTATTCCACGCGGACGGAGTCGCGGCAAAAGCTAGTGAAATATATAATGCATAGGGTTTTGTCAGATGGTTCAAATTGTTATATTAATTATATTTAGCTCTCACTGAAAAATACACTCTGTATTGAATGCCTTTCTCTTGTAAAAAACACTTCATTTTGAGTCTTATTGATTCTCATCTAACAAATAGTTTCATTAAATAAATAACAAATTCTATACCACTTATTGATACAGATACGTAACATTCTATAGAGAGTCATAAAAGCCTTATGAATTTTGGATTATATGTTACCCTTTTAATGTTAATATATCAAAAAAACGCAGACTACAGCATGAGCATCAGCTAGAAATAGATTTCTTACATAATTTATATTTTTTTTTTGTTTAGTCCATGTAATTTAATTTTATTGTGTTCTTGATATACCTACTGTTGTAATTGTTTAGTAATAATACATAGTTATCTCCTGTATTGGAATTTGTTAACTGTAATAATTGGCAATCCCGTCATGTTGTGCATGCACCCTTAGGGTTACAATCTGTTCGATACTATTAATGTTTAAGAAATATTCTGTATGTGATTGTGACCTGTTGTGTTTGCCTTCATATGTAAATAAATAATGTAGTTAGATCCTTAATCAAGTAATCCAAGTGTAAATCTTCTTCCAGGTGTTCTCAGACCTGGGCCTGGACGTGATCGACAGCGCCTTCGAGGGTTACAACGCCTGCGTGTTCGCGTACGGACAGACGGGCAGCGGGAAGACGTTCACTATGATGGGGTCGCCCGTGAGTATCACACAAAGTTCAAGATATGGTTGGCTCTTGGTGACGACCGTGTGTAGTGAATTACCCACAGCACCAAACAAAAAGACGAATCGCACTAAGCGTTTGATCATGGTTATATATTGTCAGGATATGGTTGGCTTTTGGTGTCGACCGTGTGTAGTGTGAATTACCCACCAAACAAACAGTCCATACCTTTTATGGTAACAATTACTATTAAGTTTTATATACGATTAGTAAAGCATGGCTTAATGAAGAATTCACAGTTTTCCTTTAAAATCTTAATAATTTAACTTTATATCTCTTGTATATTTGTTATAAGCATCAATGATCAAAGTGCTGTCCTAACAATCGGTCACAGTTATCAAGTATTCAAAACAAATCAATCAGTAATATATGTAGATAAGGTAATGAATTATGCAAAATATTACTTAGTATGTATACATATATATGTAGTTATTGTTGATGTCCGTATGTAAAGATTTCTTCTTATATATAAATTATAAAGGGTATAAATGTAAGGCTTTTGCTCTATTTCTGAGATGGCTTCTATTCCAAGAAGCATACATTGTTTTATCGATAAATTTAGTTTTATTATAAGACTTATATCTATACAACATATTTTCATTTATCATTTTTACCATTTAATACTATTGCAATCTTTTATTCCTTTATCTATCTTTATATTTTTCTTACTATCTTTTTTTTCAAATAAATATTTATTCCCCTTCCAATATAAACTTTTTTATTCGTATCATGTAATTAGTATATTATGTTAATCATCTCGCCCACTACTACTTGTCTGTGCATTTTATTTAATAATGTAATAATAATCTTTGATTCTCGTCTTTATTATGAATACATTAAATATATCAAACGCGTTATTTTTTCTCACGGACGCTATATTTAGAATATATTTATTATCTGTATCCGTGTTTGTCTTTGAAAAAAATTGATAAAGAATTTAAATTTAGAATTAATATAAAAACATTAAGTAGTTTGATTTTTTTTAAAGTAAGAGTTTAAAATGTTAAAGGACGTTCTACAAAAAAGGTTGAATAGTTTAAAACTGTTTTTGAGTCTCCTAAAATGCAAGATCTTTTATAATTTTCAGAGAATTGTAACCATATTACTGAAGCCCGTGATGGAAATAGGAAACTTACTTTTTCACCTTATATTACGTTTTTTTAATTATATATCTTTAATGTATATTTTTTATGCGGTCGTAAATTTACTATTTTTATACTTATACTGACATAATACTGTCTGTTATACAACCTGAGATATTTACATAAGACTATGAAGATTTAACCTTGATGAAGTATGCTAAAAAGAGTTCTAATTTATTCAGATAAACGTTAAAAACGATAAATGTATTGAGATTCGTTGTTGTGGGATAGTTATATATTTTTTATATCAAACTTTATGATTCTGGTAACAAAAACTCCAACGCTATTTTTATGGTACATTCCAATAGCAGCTTGGACATCAGATTAAGATATTTTCTATAATGAATCCATTAATTTCTTGTAGTTTTCACTGGAATACGATAGATGCCGCTGTCCATAGGTTAATTTAATAATTAAGTATTATTTACTTTCTGAACACAGTGACCAGAAGGTTATTAAAAGTCTAATAAATAAATAAACGTTTAATTTATCCGTCGGCTTTGCTTGTATTTACATAACATTAAAATCTTACTTTCAAAGTAATTCGCCAGTCACTCCGTAATTGGTTTATGCATGACACAATTGGTTACTTCATTTTTATTTGCGAATTCACACAGCATCATGTATTCATATTATTTTCGTCGCAGTCTGTTATTTGAGTCATAAAGCCCACATATGGCCCGATCCAAGTTGCGCTGCGGGTGTCAACACTAATGATCAAATGTTCGACGCTATTTAGGTCACGAATTCGATTCCTTGGCAATATAATTCAATACAATTTTTTTGCCGAATTTCATCCAGTCCCCAAATACCTATTAATAATGATTTTTTTTGTTGTCTAATTAAGAATTGATTTTATATGTGACTAGCTTGTACCCGCGATTTCGTTCGACCAGGCGAACTGTTTCGCTCTAGAGGCAATAAATAACAGATTTTGGATTTGTTTAAGTATTTGTTTTATTTATGATTGAATTCATTGTAAAGTATCGTATGTCTCTCTCCTGGTTCTAAGCTACCTCCCCACCAACTTCCAACCAAATCATTACAACCGTTCTTGAGTTATAAATAATGTAACTTTTCTTTATTTATATAAATATAGATTTTGAAATTGTTATTAATTATGTTTCTTTCTTATCAAGATCTGAGCGAATAGCGATACATACACTTTCTTAGTACATATATCTAAATCAATATGAGTAAAGACAAAACAACGTTACTATTAGCTTGCAAAAATTGTACTAATCATAAATTTTTCTTCATTAAGGATTCCCAAGGTCTCATTCCCCGGATATGTCGTCAACTGTTCTCCCGGGTGGCGGCGGGTAAGGAGTCCGGCTCCTCCTACCGCACAGAGGTCAGCTACCTCGAAATATATAACGAGCGAGTGAAGGACCTCTTGGCCAGCGACGCGGGACACTCGCTCAGGGTCCGCGAACACCCCAAGCTGGGGCCCTACGTGCAGGACCTGTCCAAACACCTCGTCTCAGATTATGATGACATACAGGTATAAAATAAATTACTTAGAAATAAGTGTCGTTCATTTATAGAATGGAAGAACGCGAGATTTTTTTGGCTGATAGTTCCAAACTATACATGACTTGAAATACTTTCAACTACCCTCCAATATGAAATAAAATCAATCATTTTATATTTGACTTTGTTTTGTTGTTTTTTAGTTTCACCAGTTGATGTAATTAAATATAATAGTTCAAAATATTACATGTTACATACAGACTGTATATTTAATTTTGAGTCCATCACAAGTTTCTGTTAAAAACCTTCACAAATTACCTATCATATTAAAAAATATACTGCAATTTTTTCCCTTTTGTATCCTATGATCTGTTGTCGTGCAGGAGTGTATGCACCGCGGTAACCTGCACCGCACCACAGCCTCCACTCAGATGAATGACGTGTCATCTCGCTCGCACGCCATCTTCACGATCACGTTCGTGCAGGCCGGCTACCTCCGACACAACAACATGCCCAGCGAGACTGTCTCCAAGGTGCACCTGGTCGACCTCGCTGGCAGGTAGATATATAATAAATACCAATAGAAATATCACAACAGGTCTTCTATCATAGTTTAACAGATTCCAAAGTTTTGTGAATTCCAGATGGCCCAAGGTATTGATTTTGTGTCCGTATATATTATATCTGTGTAAAACTAATACAAAGCGAAGGAGTGTCCTGTGTTATGTGTAAATCATGATACATAAATAAAGAACTGTTGATATATGTACATATGTCTAGTAAAGACATGCATGCTTTTAATAATGATATAATAATAATAATCATTCTTAAGAGCATGCAGCCGCTGCCTTCAATATTTGGTTTAAAATATAATGTTTGTATGTTAGTGAGCGCGCAGACGCTACGGGTGCTACAGGCCAGCGGCTGGTAGAGGGAGCACACATCAACAAGTCTCTGGTGACCCTCGGCTCAGTTATCTCCGCCCTCGCCGAGGCCGCTCACGCTGCACACACCGCCAACGACAGTCAGTATAAACACACACAGACACACACACACGCACGCACGCACACACACACACACACACACACACACACGCACACATACAAATATAAGCTAATGCATTCGTCAGCGTTAATTTCGTATACGTGGCAACTGACAGCGCCATCTCTCGACTAAGCTATGTGACTAAACGTGTTCTCTTTGTATATATTCACTATCATAAATCTATGCAACCCGTCTCGTTTACAGTAAGTTTTATTTTAAATGAATGCAGCAAATAATTAAACCGTTTTTAATAATTAAGGTCCAGATCGCATTTTGCCACAAACGTATTGAAAATGTAACTAATTGTTAGAAAAACAATTGATTAAAAAAAAACATATATTTTTCTTTTGTATGTAAACTGTTGATTTTCACGCTGCTTTAACAGAGCCACTCAACGGTAAGAAAATTTAAGAGATTCCCTCATATTAAAATAAAAAATAAATATGTAGTTTTAATAAATTCTTTCAAACCTTAGGTCGAAGCAGCGTTAAGAAGAAAGTGTTCATACCTTACCGGGACTCAGTACTGACTTGGTTGTTGAAGGATTCGCTTGGAGGAAACTCCAAAACTATCATGATAGCTGCTGTAAGTAACTTTCTATATATTCTTCTGTTCAAACTTTGTACCTAAAATGATATTTACCTTATATATGTGTATGATGTCTTCAGATATCTCCCGCGGATGTAAACTACGGCGAAACACTGTCGACGCTGAGGTACGCGAATAGAGCCAAGAACATTATCAACAAACCCACTATTAACGAGGATCCCAACGTGAAGCTGATCAGGGAGCTGAGGGAGGAGATAGACAAGCTGCGGAAACAGATATCACATAATACGGTATGAACAACCTGTATATATATATATATATATATATGTACAGTGGCGGCTGTACCTTAAGTGCGCCCGTGCGCTGAACCACCAATTCAAAATATTTAAAAATTACAAAATATTATGTCATCTTAATTTTTAAATTACCATTTTAATATTTATTTTTTAAACATACAAAAAGGTATAAAAAATTTAATTTCCAATTATGGTCAAAAAGTTTGAGCGCTTTACTAAACTAATATCGTGCGCTCCGGCGAGTGCACGAGGACTGCTAATACATCTTGTATGAGACACGCTTTAATACGCCTGGCGCGTGAGACAAAAGATAGTTCATAGAAATGTACCGAGTAACGAGTCGGTTCTCGCGCGCCGCACGAAGCGGCCGAAGGTTACCGAGAGCACCCGATGTATGACGTATTGAGCCGGCCGGCAAGGGGCCGGCCGAAAGGATGGGTGCTATGATTGACATCTCGTTAATCGTTATTGGTATTGTTTCAACTTTCACTGTATGCGTGACGCGTTAATTCGTTATTGTTTATAATTATTTCCGTAATTCGTTTTAGTTTTTATTTCGTTTCTATAATAGAACTTTTATTCTGTACTGTGATTTTTTTAGTTGAAAATGAGTATAAATATTGATTATATTAAAGTAAATAACAAAATTTTTCAAAGTAAAGTGAACCACCAGTTCCATAACCCACCAGCCGCCACTGTATATGTATTGGATACAGTGAAAGGAAAATTCGCTTGTCTATATGTTTGTAAGCCTTACAGAAATGTATTTGACAGGCAGAATTACATATTTTATGTGGCCAATGAATTTGCAAATCTTGGCTCACGATATTTATCTTGTAATAATTACACATACTTTACTTTAGGGAACTGTATTGGGAGATATTATTATCGTAAATATGTTAACAGTTATGTCAAAAATATCAGAGTCGCAATAGTAAAAATTTTTGCTGGATATTCTAATGATATATCGATGGTCTGTATAACCAGGACCCCGTGGAGACGGAGCCGGACATGCTGGCCACGCTGCAGCGGAAGGAGGCGCAGGAGAAGGTGCTCACCGAGAAGTGGACCGAGAAGTGGCGCGAGACGCAGCAGATACTGCACGAGCAGAAGGCACTCGGTCTCAGGAAGAGCGGCCTGGGGGTCGTGCTCGACTCGGACATGCCTCACCTCGTGGGGATCGATGACAACCTGCTGTCCACCGGTGTCACGCTCTACCACCTCAAGGTACACCTAGTGACTAGTGTCACACATCATCACAGTTATGTGACGTATTAAATTTGTTGCGAGAATTATGGCATCTAGTGGGCATCGAAGACAACCTGCTGTCCACCGGTGTCACGATGTACCACCTCAAGGTACACCTAGTGACTAGTGTCACTCTCATCATCATAATTATGTGTTGTTAAATTTGTCTTGATCCATCTCATTGTTATGAACAACAAGTCATCTCATTGTCAACAACAAGTCTCCACACAACAGATTGCGTTAAATGAAACTAATATTATTCGGATTTTATCGCGTTATTTTATTATTTTTAACTACATACTCGAGCCGTTTCGATTACTTTTCAGCAACCGTGATCACGGGCAGACGAGATGTGATTGAAAACACATAGTGCTTTTATCTCATGTCAGTCTGCTCATCACAGTTATGTGATGTATTAAATTTATTTTGATCAATCTCATTATCATAAGAAAGTCTTCAGTCTTTCAATACATAATAATAATTTTTTTGTACACCTATATTTATGCTACGTACGTTATATAAGAATCGTCAAACTACATTCACTTGCTTATATTAGCTCATTCATTATTATATTGTTGCTTTTTTTTTATAGTATTTTTTTTTAAATGTATTATTAATAGTGTCTTAAACAGTCTATTTAAAAGCAATCCTTGAGATAGGACCCGTTATAATAATGATTAGTTTCATATAAAGACTTACTTACAGTCAACAATTACTTATTTCAATAATATGATATATCATAGAACATTAACACCAACAGGAGGGTGAGACAGTGATCGGTAGCGCGGAGTACTCCCCAGTACCGGACATCGTGTTGTCCGGGGCGGGCGTGTTACCGCTGCACTGTCGAGTGTCGCTGAGGGAGGGCGTGGCCACCATTAGCCCCGCCCCGGGGGCGCAGTGCTGGCTCAACACCGTGCTGCTAGACCGACCTGCCAAGCTCAGCCAGGGTAACACTTCCACCTTGCCAAAAACCCTCATTACTAGAATTACTTACAAAAACAAACAGTAAATAGTTTTGGTACTCAATCCATGCTCGCTTGATGTGCTATCAGTCTTAGTTATAGCACAAAACGATTTCCAAAAACATATAGTTTATTGTATAAATCTATTTTTCTTACAATTTAGGAACCACAAAGATCTAGTTATATAGTATTATATAATATATTTGCAGGTTGTATCCTGCTGCTGGGTCGCACGAACATGTTCCGCTACAACGACCCGGCGGAGGCCGCCAAGCTGCGGGAGGGCGGAGCGCCCATCAACCTGTCGCGCCTGTCGCTGCTGTCCTGGTCCGCCACCGACCTGGCCGCCAGCACCGAGAACCTTAACACTACTATATCGTCAGTACTAACTATATGTTTCATAGTACAAGCAAATACTAAGGGTTTTAGAACACTATGATACTATAAATACACCAAACTAGACTTGAAACAAAATAAAGAATGCATTTTTTTTACTTTGACATGGCTGATGGAGTGGAATTTTTCTTTCATTAAACATATTAATAATAAATATATGTAGAATAAAATATAATTCTGTCTACTTAAAGCTAATGAATTTAATTTAATTATTTAATTGAATTTAGTTTTTTATATTAATTTAATTTTTTAATTTGCTTTAATTTTTTAATTTGATTTGGTTTTTTAATTGTGATTGAATGCAACTAGTGTGTCTTTTGCCACTATTTTTGTAATGATTATGCCGTGTACACATAATTGGGAGTGTAATCATGTTAGGAGTTATTTTTAGACTAACTCATTTGTACCTAATCCTGATTATATTCTGTTTGTGTGCCTAAATAAATAAATAAAATAAAAAATAAATAATGAATTATATTTCAAGATATACATAGTATTTAAATTAGTGTTAAATCAATCAATAGCTAAATGTTTTTTATGAACGGATTAATGAGTCAGCCTATCGCAATCAATTCCCGAATTTGGGTATCATTAGTAATCTATGTGTAATCTTACAGTGACTTGGAGAGTGAGATCCGTTGTGAGCGGATCGAGGCCCAGCGAGCCGAGCTGGAGCGGGAGAGGCAGCAGTTCGAGCTGCAGCAGCAGGAGCGGCAGAGACGCTGGCACGCGGAGAGGGAACAGCTGCAGCTGGCGCAGAAACAGCTCGACGAGGTACAGCTTGAATATACAGCTGATAGACATTAACTTAAAGTATGCCATGTATACAGGGTGATCAAATATACACTTTATATGTCACTTGCAACATGGTGTTGACTCATTTAACGATTTTTGGATATAGTAAGTTGAGTTTTGTTAATATTATATTAGTCAATTATACTAAGCAGTCAACTTTATTGATTTTATAATTAAGTTAACCTTATTTATTTTCTTATAATGATTAATTGTCATCTTTTAAATAAATCATTCTTCATCATAACTATATACTATTATGACGGATACAAAAGGAGCGTTCAGCGATGGAGCGCGAGTACACGGCGGCGTGTAGACGTCTGTCGGGCGAGTGGCGTTCTCTGGAGCGAGGCTGGGCGCTGAGGAGGAGGGCGCTGAGGTGCCGGCAGAGGGAGCTGGCCGCGCGGGCCGCCAGCCACGCAGCCGCCGCTGACAGACACGCGCGGGCTGTGAGTACACACACACACTCACACACACACACACACACACGCAAACATATACGGACGCACACAAGCGTATGAAAAATACATACATGTGACATGGAATATAAATTCCTTTTCAGATCAGGTACTGCGTTTCTTATAAAACTTACGTATCATATAAATACATATATTTTATTAGATACTGTGTATAAAACATTATATTTAAGAACTGAATTTAAACATAAATCTCGTGCCAGTAGTAGTGTCATCCACACTCCACTTCGTATCATGCTGACTCACAGCCGCTTCATACATGTTTTTTGTTCCCGCTAGTTCTGTTTTGTTTCCATTCCTTGATAAGACTTCGATTTGGTCTTTATTAACATATATACGAAAATTAATTATTATTTTTGCTCCAAATCAAAGTCTTATCGCCTTTACGATTATTTTGCTATTCCCGTCCCGTAGATTGAGAAGGAGGAACCGGAGATCGCGGAGATTCAGGAACGACTCGCCGATGAGAAAGGGAAGTTTGAGGAATTACTGAGGAATAAGATACAGGAGCTGGTGGAACAGGGAGTCATAGAACAGGTTTGTTGTCACTGAAAGGAACACAATAGGTGGTCTTTAATATTTTAATTACCTTTCATTCTGCTCGATTTATTTATTCGCGTCCATTGCTGTAGTTGTACATTTTATACATACAACCTCATTAATGTGTTATCAATAGATTAAAATTAATTTCCTACTGTAACACTCATAGTAGTAATAATAATGCCTTCATAGAGTTTCCAGTATATGTTATATAGCTTATCTTCCCTGTGTTCCAGAGCTTAGTGAGTCCAGTGGCGTGCTCGGAGTCAGCAGACAGCCTGCTGCAGCTGCTGCAGAGGAGCGCGCCCGACGACGGCCTTCAAGATACTGTGGAGAAACATGTACGTATATACAAATGTACTAGAATCTCAATATGATATGGCCAGTTACTAAGTTGGCTAAGAACGATTAATATACAAAAAAAAATCAACTAGCATCATTACAAAATTCCTAAGGACATTCGTGCGTCGGCCACCAGATTAAGCATATTGATGTATTCCCGATGTGATGATAGAGCTTACTGTTCTTTTGGAAACCAACATCCCCAAAGACCATACCATCAAGGTCGATAAACATCACGAGCTCACTAACCACCTCACTAGAAATCGCTCCGTGAATTAATCGAATGCTAAAACATTTCGTCGCATCTCTAATTGTTATGATCAAGTCCGTGAACCAGTGGTAGTGTCTCAAGTGACCATCAATAAGAAAGTGTAATGCTTCTACTCTTAATATTGAATAAAGTTATTTGAGTTTATGCTTGTTGTGTAAACAGAAGCGCGAGGTGGAGAGTCTAGAGCGGTCTTTAGCGGCTCGCACGGCGAGTGTAGCGGCTCACAGGTCCAGGGTGGATAAGCTGCAGCACGAGCTGGCGCTGCTGGCCGCCAGGAGCAGGGGGCTGGAGGCAGCGCTCGCTGACGGAGCTGGTAAGACGCTAGGAATAGATAACAGACACTACACGATCTTAGAATAAAGGGTTCCTCATGACACTATATGTATATACTATCTACTAGAAGACCCGGCAAACTTCGTATCGCCCTATAATCAAGAAATATCTGTTACGTTTTTATATTTATATTTTTGGAGTTTACCTATTAAAGCCATAAATCTCCGTGTTTTGAAGTGCGACAGAATGATTGACATATTAGTTAATTGTTAAATCTAATGTCAGAAAAAAAACGTTGGTATCAACAACTACTAATAAATTAAAAATTAATTAAAAAACATTGTCCAGCGGACAAAATTATGAATCTAAATAATTCCCAGATCCCCTTGAACACACACAAAAATTTCATCAATATCGGTCCAGTCGTTTGAGAGAAGTTAAGTGACATACACACTCACAGACGAATTATATATACAGCCACGGGCAAAAGTATTAGGCACCCTACAGTAAGACAAGTTTTAGGGTGTTTTAGCATAGCGAGTGTAAATAAAACTGCATTTATGATTACAATGGTTTATTTTAAGAAAATAATTAATATTTTGTAGGTCCACCTTTTGACTTAATAACCGCAGCCACTCTTTTTGGCATTGACTCTACCAGCCTGAAACATTCTTCTCTTGATATATTTTTCCATTCCTGCTGTAACGCGGCCAATAGAGCTTGTTTATTGCTAATCGAGTGCCTGCGGATATTTTTCTTTAAAATGGACCAAATATGCTCAATCGGGTTGAGGTCTGGTGATTGTGGTGGCCAGTCCAAAAGATCAATATGATTTTCAGCAAACCACTTCATGGTATGCGCGGACTTGTGGCAAGTGGCGTTGTCTTGCTGAAATTTCAGGCCATCGGTGTTTGTATCACCGAAAATTTGCGTTATCGACGTTGCTAGTGCTGTTTCCAGAACTTCAGTGTATTTAACACTATTCATTCGTCCCTCACACAACACCATTTCGCCCACTCCGTCGGCAGCCATGCAGCCCCAGATCATTATTGAGCCTCCACCATGCTTAACAGTGGGAACCACACATTCTGGGTTGTATTCTTCGCCAACCCTTCGCCTAACATAAGTCACACCGCGTGTTCCAAACACCTATGCCAAACGAAAAAAACACATTTATTTTCAAAGTTATTATTTTTCATGCAGTACGTTATTTTAAAAACATTTATGTGTTTTAATATTGTACATAAAATAAATAACAATACCTCAAAGTTAGATTCGTCTGACCACAGTATGTTGGACCAATCTTCCACTGACTAATCTCTATGTTTGAGTGCCCACTCCAACCGATTTTTCTTATTGTGTTCTGACAGCCACGGCTTCTTCCTTGCTTTACATCCTTTTAATCCAGCTTTAAGAAGTCTTCTTCTCACAGTATAAACACTCACTGAGCTGCCTTTTGCCTCAGATAATGCTGCAGCGAGCTCTAAAGCAGTTTTTTTCCTGTTTTGTAGAGACTGCCTAATCAACAATCGATCTTCCCGTTCAGTAGTAACTTTTCTTCTGCCTGTTCTTGGTCTATTTTCATGGGTGCCAGTCTCTTTGAAGCGATTTATAGCATATTGAACTGCACATCGCGAGCACTTCACTTCTCGGGCTATTTTAACCTGAGACATGCCTTGTTCATGTAAAATCTTAATTCTTAGACGCTGTTCAGCACTAAGTTCAGATTTTTTCGGCATGATTAACACGTTAAATGTTAGTCTTTAGAATTGTGATAGGAATAGTTGCGTAGAAGACGTGTATGTTCACTGCAAGCAGTGGCGGCTGTACCTTAAGTGCGCCCGTGCGCTGAACCACCAATTCAAAATATTTAAAAATTACAAAATATTATGTCATCTTCATTTTTAAATTACCATTTTAATATTTATTTTTTAAACATACAAAAAGGTATAAAAAATTTAATTTCCAATTATGGTCAAAAAGTTTGAGCGCTTTACTAAACTCATATCGTGCGCTCCAGCGAGTGCACGAGGACTGCTAATACATCTTGTATGAGACACGCATTAATACGCCTGGCGCGTGAGACAAAAGATAGTTCATAGAAATGTACCGAGTAACGAGTCGGTTCTCGAGCGCCGCACGAAGCGGCCGAAGGTTACCGAGAGCACCCGATGTATGACGTATTGAGCCGGCCGGCAAGGGGCCGGCCGAAAGGATGGGTGCTATGATTGACATTTCGTTAATCGTTATTGGTATTGTTTCAACTTTCACTGTATGCGTGACGCGTTAATTCGTTATTGTTTATAATTATTTCCGTAATTCGTTTTAGTTTTTATTTCGTTTCTATAATAGAACTTTTATTCTGTACTGTGTTTTTTATTACTTGAAAATGAGTATAAATATTGATTATATTAAAGAAAATAACAAAATTTTTCAAAGTAAAGTGAACATAAAATTGGCCGGGCCGCCACGGCCCTTTTTAAATTTAAAACAAGAGTGTAAATCGAAAAATAAAGCATTTATACGAAGTTTTAAAAGTGAAATGTATAATAGAAAGAAATGGTTGTGTGGATGTGAGCGTCTTAATGCATTCTTTTGTTTTCCTTGCATTATTTTTGGCGGAGAATCGATTTGGACAGAAACTGGAATCAAGGATTTGACGCTTTAAAGTGAAAAAATAAAAAACACAATTCTTCACAAGTACACCTACAAAATGTAATGAGTTTGTCTGTGTTAGGCACAGTCGATATTCGTAATCAGCTAGATTCTGTGTATAGAAATAATATCCAAAAGTATAATAAACAAGTTGATAAAAACAGATACATTTTATCACGTCTTATCGATTGTGTCAAGTTTTGTGGTGCATTTGAGTTAGCTTTGCGAGGTCACGATGAAACTATTGAGTCCAGTAATGCTGGAGTGTTTCGTGGATTAATAGACTTTGTATCAGAGTTGGATATAGTTATGAATTAATGTACAAAAAATAAACATATTTTATGTCAATTGTTGTTTTTGTCAATATTTTAGTAAAGTGAACCACCAGTTCGATAACCCACCAGCCGCCACTGACTGCAAGCACTGATAACACACTATAACCCGAAACGCAAAAAAAGCAAATTCGAAGAAACACCGCTTAGGAGCACACCTGGATGTCATAAATATTTTCTTTTATCTTAATTTGGTTAAAAATTGCCGCTAATACAATAGCTAAACCATAAAACACAGACTTGACCGCAATATAATGAGATAGTGACTAACAATAGGGGTGCCTAATACTTTTGCACGCAGCTGTATATATATATAATTCGATGTCTTGACCTTGTATGAGTCAGATGTTTGGAACATTTCTTCGAATAATGTCGATTTAAAACTTATTTGCCTATGCACTGTAACTGACGTCTGCTTGATATTTTTTAAGTTATACTATTTTTTATAATAAGCTTATACTTATATGTATACATGCCTTCAAGGGTTGACACAGTTTTTCATACACCCTGTATATATATATATATATATATATATATATATATATATATATATATATATATAGATTTAAAATAATTTCGTTGCAAGGTTCCTCTGACAGACACTCTGACCTTAGTGTAAAGTATTCTCGATGTCACTATATTTATTTACTAGCTGACCCGGCAGACTTCGTACTGCCTCAATCAAGAAATTAATTATTTTTAATTATTTTTTTGGAGTTTAACTTTAAGCCATAAATCTCCGTGTTCTAAAGTGCGACAGAATCATTGACATATTAGTTAGTTGTCAAATCTAATGTCAAAAAACCCGTTTGCATGGGAAATAGAAAAGCGCTGTTTTTAGGGTTTTCCCGGAAATTAATTTTTTTTTCAGCTTTTATACCTTCCCTGAACCTCCACGATAATTTCAAAACTAAGATAAGATAAATCCGTTCAGCCGTTCTCGAGTTTTAGTGAGACTAAGGAACAGCAATCCATTTTTATACAGGGTGACTGGTGAATTACTATCGATACTTGAGGACGTGATATTTGACGATCATATATGACAAAATAAAAATTAATATAACATAAATATTAATAAACTTCTAAGTAAAGTTAACACAAAGTTATGTAATTAATTACGCATCGTGTGAACACCCTACAGATTAGGTATACACACACACTCACACATACGCGTGCGGCGGCGTGGTGTTGTATCAGCACGCCGCCGCACGCATCCACACTTGGAACCCTTGGAACGTGTCAACACTTTATTTATTTATACAGAAATTTTGTAAAAAATTAAGTACCTATTTTTTTACATAATTCGAATGAGAATCATGTACTGAGTATTCTCCTTAAAAATTGATAGTAATTCACCAGTCACCCTGTATATATAGATATTTGCCATTTTGCGATTATTTCGTTACAAGGTCCATATAGATTTTGTTTGTGTAAAATAATAGTGCAAGCAGATTTTTTTTTAATATCATAAATATATAGAGTTCAATATATGTAAGTCTACTCACAGATATACACAATACCAATTTACTACATTCGTATAATTTTTTTGTTAGTACTAATGAAATGTATGTGTTTCAGACGGGGCGGAGTCCCCGCCGCCGGGGGTGAAGCGGTCCAAGTCAGAACTGGCGCTGCGGGCCAGGGTCGAGTCTGAACCACTGTCAGCTGACGAACGAGAGAACTTCCGGAACAAGAGACTGAGGTTTGTATTATTATTAATACATATGGATACTATATACATCATATGTGATCGAGGATGAGTTCAGACGTTGTGTATAAAATTAAAATATATGTCGTGAGTTTAATGTATTAAGATTTATCAAATTTAGGACTTGCTTCATTGATATATAAATAGATATGAGATGCACAATTACTATGTAAATAATGTATATCAATACCTTACTACACCCTCTGACCAGTGGCGGCTGGTGGGTTATCGAACTGGTGGTGCACTTTACTAAAATATTAAATTAGAAAATGTAACAAAAAACCAATTGACATAAACTATGTTTATTTATTATACATTAAATCAATGCGACGACATTTTTCTGAAGCGAAATATTCAATCAAATTTTTATTAAAATCGGATATTGTTTGTATAATTATTTTTTGTCAATACTACTCACAGAAAGTGCATTTTGCAAGTGCACGGTATATCGGAAAAAAGTTTTGATTCTTTTCAATTCCAATTCGTCATACATCGGGTGCTCTCGGTAATCTTCGGCCGCTCGTGCGGCGCTCGAGAACCGACTCATTACTCGGTACATTCCTATGAAGTATCTTTTGTTTCACGCGTCAGGCGTATTAATGTGTATCTCATACAAGATGTATTAGCAGTCCTCGTGCGCTCGCCGAAGCGCACGATATGAGTTTAGTAAAGGGCTCAAACTTTTTGACCATAATTAGGAAATTAAATTTTTATACGTTTTTGTATGTTTAGAAAATAAATATTAAAATGGTAATTTAAAAATAAAGATGAAGTATTATTTTGTAATTTTCAAATCTTTTGAATTGGTGGTTCAGCGCACGAGTGCACTTAAGGTACAGCCGCCACTGCCTCTGACTATATATCACATCTAAATGTCATAGTAAATATAATATTTTATTTAAATCTTCAGCCTAAGCCTGAGTCTGGACCCGCTGCCGTCCCCCAGCTCATTGTCCCCGGACACCTTCCACACAGCCACCTCCTCCCCCAAGGACACCTTATGGCCGACACCCACCACGGAGGGCTCCACACTGTCCAGTGACCGTCTCCCGGTGTCCAGGACACCCACCACCTCGCCCCCCACCACCTCACCGCCCGTCCCCCGCTTCCGCTTGGGACCCGCGGCTGATGACAGTGATGACATGTCCAGCACAGAAGACTACCATAAGGTAGAAATCATACTACCAGTATATTTTAATCATATTATGTGTTTTACAAGAAACTTTTCTTTCAGCCCCGAATAGTGGAGGGACAGTCTTCATCATCAGTGGAACGCTCGCCCGAGGAGAGACATCGCTCGCGACACAGACGAAGACTCAGTATGTTCAGAACACGTATCAATTATTACAATAGAAATTATTTATTAATCATGTTGGTAAACATTGATATACTTAATGTTTCCCAGATGATGGTAAGAACAGGCGGCAGGTGACGGAGGCCGAGGCGCTGAGAGCGATGCAGCGTCTGTGTGCGAGGATCGCCTCGCAGAAGATGCTGGTCATCTCCTCCCTGGAGAATGACTGCTCCAAGGAGGAGCTCAACAGGCAGATCGCTGTGAGTACATGAAACTGAAATAACTTATATTGAAGAAGTCACATATACTACGTACATCGGGAAAGTTCTTCCATAACAATTATATTTTAAGGCAAAAAGTTCCTTCATCATCGTCATCAACCTATCAGAGTTCTCTTATCACATAGAGAAGGTTTGAACATTAATCACCACTCTTGCTCAAGACGGGTTGGTGATTTCAAACTTGTAATTTGAAATTATAAGTCCTAGGTTTCCTCAAGATGTTTTCTTTCATTGTCTGTCTGTGTCTAAATACTCTTAAAAAATACATATGACTCGGAAAAATCACAATGATACTTGCTAGGTTACGAACCCGCTCATGCACGAGAGGCGGGCCTTTAACCAATAGGCCGTTACGACCTAGATTTCTAATATTTCTTAATTATACAGGCTTAAAGTTACACCTGCAAATTTCCAAATAGGGCTGTTATAAATGGTCGAAACCGTCTGGTTTCGTTGTTTATCACAAAAAGATACTAATACATTGACATATATACTTGCAGGTGCTCCAGGAGTTACAAAAGAAATACGTTCGCCTAGAGATGGCGTTGCAGTATTCGTTCTTTGACGGACAGCCGAAGAGAGCTATCATGGTAACACCCATACAGGAGACACCCTCGCTCACACTCAGCGAGAGTGACATGCAGGTCACCACGGAGCCCGCCACAGAACACACTAATAATAGGTTCGTTATCATAAAAATGATATTAAAATTGGTTATATATAGCTTAAAATAGCTCTAAGGTGATAAAACTGATATACCTAAATAAAATTCGAACCAGCAACTGCATATTTCCCCCAATACTCATATTATCTTTTCCCATTATCTTATATCATATCATTATCATAAAACTTAATAATCATTTGACAGTCTTCTTAATAGAACAGTACATTTTTGTTACAGATTAAAAGAACCGGAAGTAGAAGCGTCAGACAATGTATCGACATCCAACGACGAGCTTCCGGAGACCACGTGGTCGGATCCGCTGCGGGCTTTGTCACACAAGAGTGACCACGACCACGATGACCACGACCACAACACTGACTACTACAAAGACGACAGGAGCCGGTACAGACGGGAACAGAACAACAGACACACACAGAGCGTACAGAGTATACCACTGGCTATACCGGTAAGTAACATAGTCGTTTATACTATATAGGACAAAGTAATAAAATTTATAAGTAAATGGCTTTGAAATAAAAGATATATTTTTATATGTAAAGAAGAATATTGCTTGCTTCTCTAAAATAACAGAAGCAATTGTTAGTCATTTAAAATAACACTTTTTATATACATAGAGTGCAGGCTGTACCCTTCATGATATATGTTTAATATTTATAAATTAATAATAGTATTTATTTATTACAGGACTACCCGCAGGAAGGTTTAAATCACCCAATTGATTTCTGTAAGTTTATACATACTTCCAAATAATTTTATAGAGAATTAACTCAAAGTATCTATATGTAATATTTTGTTGTGTTCAGCGGAGGTGGTGAGTATATCAGGCTGGGTGACCCGCGGGGCCGGGGCCCGAACTCATCACGAGTACGAGGTCCGGGTCCGCCTCCCCGCCACGGCCTGGGCCTTGCTGAGAAGGTACCGGCGCTTCCGGGACCTATACCTCGCCGCACGCGCGCTCTATGGAGATAAGGTCGCTATAATTACCATGTCTTCTTTATATAATGTATTCTTTTCCTTAACATATATCGAGCTTTGTTAGATGTATCGAGCGTCCCACCACGCGCTAATGTCTGTTCAAATGTTTTAATAAGACATTAATATTAATTCCAGCTCTAGAAGTCCGTCAAATGGCTGATGGACTGTTAATTTTTTATATTATCAAAACTCTAATATCAATTACCATAAAGTTTGGTGAAACTGACAATAAGTCTTAATGTCACAGTTTCTGTGTCTCACTAGAAGGGAATGATAAAGTTTTGCAATAAAAACAATATATCGCCAAACAAATGTCACCAACTCCAGTCTGTACAAACTAACTCAACTGGCCAAGATAGTACTCCGACCCAGAAATCGTAGCTTCTAACCCTGATCATCTCATTAACAATACATTCAATAAATTATTGTTGAAATAGTGTATCAAAATTTGTTACTACTAACGCCATCTATGCAAAAGCATGTAAACTGTGTATCTGACATCGTCAAAGTTAAATTTGAAGAAATAGTCTGTTGCGTATACTTGACGTGTCCTAATAATTATCTATGTACTAGAAGACCCGGCGAACTTCGTATCGCTCTATACTCAAGAGATATCTGTTACGTTTTTTTATTTATATTTTTGGAGTTTACCTTTATGCCATAAATCTCCCTGTTTTGAAGTGCGACAGAATGATTGACATATTAGTTAGTTGTCAAATCTAATGTAAAAAAAACCGTTTGTATGTCAAAATAGAAAAGGGCGGTTTTAGGGTTTTCCCGGAAATGAATCGATTTTTTTCAGCTTTTAAACCTTCCCTGAACCTCCACGAACACTTCAAGACTAAAATAAGATAAATCTTAAAGACTAAAGAACAGCAATTCATTTTTATATATAAGAAGATATGTGAATACATTCCGCTGTGTTACTCCAGGTGGCAGCGATCCCGTTCCCGGGCCGCGCGCTGTGGTCGTCGGAGTCCCTGGCCCGCACCCGGCGCGCGCAGCTGGAGAGCTTTCTCCGGCGGCTGCTGACCGTGTGCTCCGCGGACCGCCGCTGTCCGCTGCACGCCTCGCCGCTCACCAGGGACTCGCTGGTCGCCTTCTCACCGTTCTTTAGGAAGGTATGCTTCAACTAATATGATATTGTTAATCATTACCACACCGCTGAGATGATTAGGATAACAGTTTGGTGGTAAACGACTACTGGTGTTGTTATTTATATTACACAACGAGTCATGAGCTATGTGTCTGCTGTCCCCAGGGCGTGTTCGAGAGCGGCAAGTGCGGCACGGGATGATGGCGCGCGGGGCCGGTGGCGCGCGCTCTGCGGCGTGACGTGCGGCGCCTGGCGCGCGGGCTGCTGGCCGTGCTGCTGCTGCTGCTGCGGTGCGCCGCGCTGCTGCTGCTGCTACTGCTGCTGCTGGCCGCGCCCGCACGCCGGAGGTAGACTGCCGGCCACCGCCTGTACTGCTGTACTACAGACGTTGAAACATATGAACCATTGCTGAGATGATGTCGATGACGTCACATCTCACTCGCGTATACTTCATAAGGTGCTGATAGAAAACTATGACGGCCTAGTAATTGATTACCAATAGAACGGGCCTCGATTGTATATCGGTGATACATATTAATAGTCGACTACGGGATCACATGTCACAAAATAGAAATGTTAAATATTTTAATATGAAGTAGACTTTATAATGTTATGTAACACGCGAGAGGTTGTAGAGGATATTATATATGTATGAAGATTATATCAAACTAACGAGCTAGATGTGCCCTAACAGAGTTTATTTTGAACCTCGTGCCTTAACTGAGTATATTTAGCATCAGAGTCCTAAAATAGTGAAACGAATATTAGTGATCGCTGTCATTCATAATAAATATATTTTTTGACTTCCTCCACTCTGAAAGTTTGTAGATGTTAGTCATAGAATAATAATTAAATATGTAGAGAAAACAGAAATATAAATCACATACTAGCAACATTTGATGTTTAAATATTTTTCTATAGTATTTTTCTAAAGTAACGGGTATCGTTTTGCTTTTAAATTCCTTTTAAATGGTTTGTCATATTTGCTTTACTAAATAAAAAGGGATATTTTTCCTATATGAATTTTTGGAAGGACTGACATTGTAATGTCCTATGTTCTTATCATTCCCTACTCGTCTAGACGAACGTAGCTTGAAATTTTCTATACTAAAAAGTGTGAGGTAAAACTTATTTTCACACTTTCAAGTTCAATGTAGAACAATTTAGCAACATCTTTGATTTATTTTTTACTATTATCTATCTTAAACACTTCGATAGTATTATCTGATTTTTAATTTCCAATAAGTAGTTAAGAATATTCTTACTTTGTATATTCTGTAATTATATTTATTACTATTATATATTATCTGTGCAATTTAGGACGACCCCATAAGGTTATCTGTTACGTTAGTTATATATAAAAAAATGAAGTCTTATTTTTTGACGTTATGTGATTTCATTATTATTGTGCTATGAATTTACTAAATGCAATATAAAATCGTCAAAAATGTATGTGAGAGCGCCTATTGCAGTACTTGACGCCGCTGGCCCTCGAAAATTAATGAGTTAGGATATTTTTTCATTATAAATAATTAATAAGGACATAGTATAAACTAACAAGTGTGCTAAAAAGTAAAAGGTAAATATAACGACTAATGAAGTGATGACAAAATGATAGATGTAACTAATTTTGTTTACTCGTAATAAAATTACTTGATATATATCAAAACATGTTTAAGATGAATGCTTAGTTTAATTTGTAAATATATGAAAGGTATTATCTTTATCTTGTGTAGTTGTTTTAAAAATATTTTCTGAGTCACACGAGAGGTCTGTGAGCCAAATAAATGTCTACTTATTAATGAAATGAAAACGAAATTGAAAATATTCTACCTCGCGTTACTCTGACTATAAAATGACCTGTGACTGACCATGAGAAACTTATAAAAAGTCACTAATTGATGTTTGAAAGATCCTCATTTTTTTATTATTCTCTGATTTTCGTTAACTTAATCACTTAAAATATTGCTAGGGTTGTGATTGTTATTCTACATCACTGGCACAAAGATGTAATTTTTTTTTCATGATACATAGTTAATTTTTTTCCGACCCTGTGTAAATCTGTATACAAATGTTCCATTATTTCTAATTAAACTATAGCTTTTTACAGTAATTAATGCTGAGCTGTTAAGATCCAATCTAAGACTAGGAAAAGATTTGGCTTAAATTCCTGGATATTTAGCTTTTCAGAAAAAAAAGTCAATTTTTAACAAACACAGTATGCCTAATTATTGAAATGTCTGAATTTTAAAAACATTCTTATAGTTATAAAGATTTTTTTCCCATAGTATTAGTTTTTCAAATGTTCAAAATAAATTTTTGTTTAGTACAAATTTATCTAACAAGTATATTAAAAGTAGTTTATATAAAATAACTTAAAATTGTATTTAAATGTGTTAACATCAAAACACAATGATATCGATTTTAACATTCTCAATAATTAGATTTTATACCAAAATTAAATTAGTTTTAAGCATTATATTATAATAAAAAAATATATTTATTTTAGTTATAATTAATATAAAGATATGTCCAGTAGTGTTTATATTAGTCATACAAGATGGGTCTAATGTTCTGTGTTGTAAACAATTCCTTTTTGTTATAAAAAAACTAAAATTATATCGACTTTGCCGGTACCTCATATACAGGCCTGATTATTCTCATATGTTCTATGTACTGAACTTTCAAACACTAACTTGCTCTAGTATAACTTAATTTTATATTTAGAAGCAAATTTACTTAATTCTACATGTATATTAGTCTACTGTACTCCAGATATGTTTTAAATAATGTATTTCTAGCGAGGAACAGTACCGGGAGGCCTTGAGTTGTGTAATTTCCTAAAATATCTATATTTATAAGACAATATATATTGTTGTTGTCGGATGAAATTTTAATATTTGATTAGTTATTGGCGTAATAGGAAAAGGAATAGTTTTGTTAAGAATAAAATGCAAGGTGTTTTTGTGTGTGTTTTATTTTATAACCTTATGATTAATTTATTTTATATTAACAGAATGTATATTCTCAATAACTGTACAATAAGTAAAACATGTTAAAAAATATAATTCCCATATTATCTTAGGATATCATCGAGGTCAAAGTTAGAATAACATGAGAACTCATTAGCGAGGTTGTTCCTATGTTTTGGCTGGAATGCACATTGTTTTAGGTTCAACAGTTTCTCAACATGATCCTTCATAATAGCCCCCGTACAGACAACTATCTTCTCTTTAGCTAGCAGTTTTATAGTTTGGGAAGTTTTTGTTATACATTCCTCAGACAGGTAAGGTGGGTCGGCAACAACCAGATCGAAACTATGGTTTAAATCTGCAGGCAACTTTTCAGGGAAATTAAAGTCATAAAACATGTAATCAGTACCGTGGACCTCAAATCTTCTGTCATGTTCAAGAAGTAGAACTGAAATATAATTGTTTAATTTATAATATGTTCATAGAAGAAGTTGATTGTTTTTATAAGTTACAAACCATCAATTCTGCTTCCAACATGTCTCTTTGCAGGCACAAAGAGTGTGGGACAAGATATAAGAGCTACTTTGCCTCCATCGGGTACAACTTTATCAATTATTTTGACGAGTGCCTGTACTGTAGACTCATTATACCAAAACTGACTTAATTGCTAAAAGTTAAGAAAAATATAATTATGTATTATAGATTTTGCAGATCTATTTTTTGAATGTTTATAACTGATATAAATTTACCCAATTTTCATCAAATAAAATATTTTCATTTAATTGTTTCTGAGACTCCAACTTTTCTAAAATCTCTTGCCGTTTTTGTTGCTCGGCATAAAATTCTTGGAGAGCTGCGAAAGTTTCCGCAGAGAGTGCCGGTACGTCGTCGTCATCTTCCATTTCTACTCAAGGTCTAAAAAACTAATTAAACCTTTTTTAAGATAAAATTTCATCCCAACCAAAGTTAAATTTAATCACCGGCTTACTACATGACAGTTATTAATAGATAATAGGTTAGTTTTCTTACAACAGGCATGGACAACGTTACTCCGATACTCTGATTTGCAACATGGATAATTACGATCTTACCTCGTTCTAATGTGAAAACCACCTCAAGTACAAATCGTAAGTAGAAAAATTAATTCAAACGGTGTTAGGAATTAATAATAAACTTGATATTTGTAGAATAATAGCAATCCTCTAAAGTCTAAACAATAAACTTTAGAACTGTCAATGTCATCAAACTTATGTGATTTGTTAATAAAGGCAAAGAATCGCAACCTTACAGCTTTTTAATATCGTTTTTCATAATACCACAACTTTAATGTCGCGTTATATTTTAATTAGTACTTTTATTGAATAAAGAGCGGTAATCCTCAAACTCATATGACATTAAAAAAAACACTCGTGCGTATTTTTGTTATTTTACACAAAAAATGACGATATGGTTTTGATAAAATAGATTTTTATGAAAATAACAACTAACGGGAAAACATTTGTTCCTAAGCATCTTTAAGTAAAGAAGGCAATTGTTGATTCTTATTATAAAATAGTCGATATTTAAGATATATTATATTTGTAGGAAAACCATGGAACATAAAGATTTAAGAGTACTACCATTACACAAATTTCCACAATATTTAAAACCATGCTGTGACTTAATTAACGAAGAATGGCCTCGTAGCGAAACGGCTAGGATGATGTCTCTACAAGCTTCGTGTGACCATTTACCGACAAGTTTAATTTTAATAAATGATCAAAGACACATCCTGGGACATTGTAAGCTTTCACGGATACCAAGAATACCAGACAGCTGTTTCCTGGAATCAGTCGTGATAAGGAAATCTATGCGAGGGAAAAAACTAGGAACATATCTCATGGGACAAGTAGAAAACTACTGCAAGCATGTTTTGAGATTAAAAATGGTATATCTGTCTACTAGAGGCCAAGAGGATTTTTATAGTAAATTAGGATACGAAATATGTGAACCGATCAGTATTTATGGAGGGAGTACAGTTAGTTACAAGACTCCGATCGCCAAAAATAAAAGTCTGCCTCCGAAGGTCATAAACAATTCCAAGGACACCTCTATCCCCCCACCCCCACCGATGCCAGTACCTCAGAACATTAATACCGCCGTTAAAAGTAATATGACATACATGTCCAAAAAATTAAGCTGAGATAAAATTTGAAATATACGTATTTTGTAAAATAAACATTGAACAAAATGTATTGCTTTATTTATACCTTATAATACGATATTTTACTTAAAATATAAAGGTAAAAATGGTATTTATTCAGAATTTGGCTTTGTCTAAGAACTTCAATGCGTTCTGCCGTACGAGCTCCACGTGTTGTTCGTCTCCTATCTTCTGTTCTACTTCTATCCACTTCTTGTACAACACCTTCATCTTCCTCGCGGGCATCTTCTGTGACGTCATTCGTTCCATGAGTTGTCTGTAAAAATATGCCATTAGTAAACAGTCAATATTCGATGCTTATTAAGATATTTGGAGTATAATTTTTGGTATTGTTCAGCGTCTTTCGATTTTTTCATGCTTCTTTATAACTTTACTTACACTTACTTATCTGTTTATTACGAAATCTACATTTAATATTATAAATCCCTATTAATATTATAAATGCGAAGTAACTCTGTTTGTCTGTTACGCTTTCACGCCTAAACCACTGAACTGATTTTAATGAAATTTGGTACAGACATAGAGTTGACCGTGAGAAAGAACATAGTATAGTTTTTATCGCAGACTTTTGAAAGGTTTTCTTTGAAACGCGATATAACTGAACTCGACGCGGGCGGGAAGCTAGTAAATTATAACTTTTAACTAACACACCGTTAATAGGGCCTAAGTATGTAATTCATGTTTATACAGGGTGACTGGTGTTTTACTATCGATACTTGAGGACGTGATATTTGACGATCATATATGACAAAATAAAAATTAATATAACATAAATATTAATAAACTTCTAAGTAAAGTTAACCAAAAGTTATGTAATTAATTACGCATCGTGTGAACACCCTACAGATTAGGTATACACTCACACACACGCGCGCGCGCGGCGTGGTGTGGTATCAACACGCCGCTGCACGCGTCCACACTTGGGACACTTGGAACGTGTCTACACTTTATTTATTTATACGGAAATTTGGTCAAAAATTAAGTACCTATTTTTTTTACATAATTCAAATGAGAATCATGTACCGAGTATGCTCCTTAAATATTGATAGTAATTCACCAGTCACCCTGTATATTGTGTATGTCTAACCTGACTCTCTGCACGTCTCCATCCTTGCACATCATGTCACAGTAGACGCCCACCACGTCCACTCTCTGAGGGTAGGTGGCCAGCATCTGTTCCAGGAGCGCCTCGCACCTCTCACGACCTTCGGGGACTCCCCGCGCACGCTCCATCACAGCGAACTTCACCACCATGGATACGTCTGGAGAATAGTTGATAGATTTAAAGCTTATTTATAATAGAATAAATATCATCGTCGACATAGATATTAATGTTACAGGTTTATTGATCTATTTGTTTAGTAACTTTATAAAAATATTTAATATCACTGAAACTTAGTGAAAATAATATCATTATTTGCTGCAAATGACCAGAATTTGAATACATAAGCACTTTTTTATTATATATCATATGAACAAGATTCCTAATACGCTAATAACAGAATCCTATCCACACCCCAATGTTCAAACAACCAGTTAATCTCATTAACTCACGTTCCTTCTTCTCCAACACGACTATTCCTCGTTGCATCACGTGTCTCGCCTTCTCCACCATGCCCGCCTTGTAACAAGCTTCTCCACACGCCACGTAAGCCTCCAGGGTCTTGTACTTCCTCATCATGAGCTCCACTAAGGCCGTCAGTTCCTGTTGTTTGCTCGTCTCCACCAAAATATCCAGTAGCTTCGAGTGTATGCTGTACGTGTCATTCATTTGCAGCGCTTCTTCGAGGGTTTTTTGTTGGGTTTCCTATGGAGCAGATATTTAATAATTTTACTATATAAAACTAACGAGAGCTAACTAGCATGCAATTTATGTTGTGTGTGTCGGGTTCATCGTTGTAGTGAGAGGAGCTTCAACAGTGTCTCGGACTTGCGACTAAGGTGTAGATTTAAGAGGTTCCTATCTAACACGCGTTAATAGCTTAACCACCGTCCAAGCTCCTCCCCCTTCCTACCCAGATTTGAAAAGAGCCTACTAGTACTTTCTTTGAAGTACGCAAGTAGGTACTTTTTTGTTGTGGTTGTGGGAATAAATTGCATAACCGAACCGATAATAAGGATTAATTTTGTTCCATTACTGTTGTATTTCTATAAATTTACATAAAATCCTTATAGTAATGCATATTATGATATATATTACATACCTTAGTTCCAAAGCGATGCTCCAGGTTGAGTAGTGCGAGCCACACGTTCAGTTTCTCCCCCTCCTCCCGGAAGTTGATTGTGTTCAGCGCCTTGCGAGCGACAGCCCCGCCCTCGCTTTTTCTATTTCCGTCGCCTGCGAGTACAAAAGTAATGTAAAAAATTTGTTATAGATAAACAAAAATTTATTTACTGTATATCTTCATATATAAAAGAAAGTCGTGTTAGTTACACTAACTATAACTTAAGAACCGCTGTTCGGGCATCACTGAAAAGTGTTGGAGAGATAGTTTAAAACAAGGGAAAGTTATTACTTATTAGATACTTTTCATATAATTGACAAAAAAAATAAGTTGATCAAATCCAAAATATTCTTATCTACTGTCTCTAAAGGAGGAATAGATTTCGAGCGGTTAGCTATACATTTCTAATTCTGAAATTAACGTGAAGTCGCGGGCAAAAACTAGTATATTTATAAATTTATTTGCAGTCTTTTGTATTTTCACCTGTAAATGGAATGCCATGTACGCGATCCACAGCTGGCTACAGTCAGGCTGCGCGAGGAGAGCTCTCTCAAACTGTTCGCTGGAGCGCGGAGAGCTCTCACTCTCTATCGCTCTCTTCTCCATCTCTCTCAATCTCTCCTCCTCTTCTCTTACCTTGGCAGCTTTTTCTGCTGCTGATAACTTTTTACGTTTCTTCTTAGGTTTTTCTTCTTCCTAATTAAAATATAACAGTTATTTGAAATTTTTGTTAACTAAATTTGACTCTTAATAATTTAATTTTGATAGCTGTGCTCAAAATCATTTTTACCTGAAATATTAGGAATTAAATATTTTTATTTAGAAAAAAATTACTGTACCAAAAAAATGAGTTTTAGATTTTGCATTAAATTTATGGATACTAAAGTAAGTAGTTATTTCATATTAGGATTGTAAGTTATTCTAACGCGTTCGTTTCTGCATACATTATTATTAGTAATAACTTTATTAGGATCATGTACCAGTTTTACCTCATCATCACTGCTGCTGGAGTCATCTTGAACGTCCTCCGTCTTTTCCGAAACCTTCCAGAACTCCTTCGCGCTCGGTATTTTGAGTACGGGTTCCAAAGGTTTTATTTTCACATCTTCTTTTATTATATTTCTATTAGGTTGTTCCTTTTCATTTATTTTATTCTGCACCTTGTTGAGATCACTAGCTTTTGGTGGCCGAGAAGTTTCTTCGGCGCATATCTTCACGTCTTGTTTTTTGATTAATTCTTTATTAGTTTCAATTTTATTCTCTTCTTGTTTCTTATTTGTCTTCACTTTAGTTTCTACTTTTGGGTTTTCATTTTCAGAATCTTTGTTAAATTCACTCAGTTTCTTCTGCGCCTCTGTCAGAGTTTTCATAAATAACTTTAGTTTGTCCTCATTATTTGTTTTTTCAAAGTACATTTCTGATCGTAAGAGCATTTTCTTCGGATCAGGTCCTACACCTTTTAAAGCAGCCATTTTCTTATCGACTCGTTCAATGCGATGTAATCTCGCGTTAATCGCTTTCATTAAAGAGACAACTCTCTTTTTGTAATGCTTCTCTGTACTGCATTCGCTTAAATCCACAAGTCTTTGCTCTGTTGGGTTCAATATTATCGTACCATCTTTATTTTCGTGACTTTTTATAGTTTTCTCTTTGTTTTTATTTTTTTTACTTTCTTTCTTGAGCTTTTTTTCACTTTTACCTTTTTCATTAATATTTTCCGTATTGTTTTTAGTTTTGGAACCTTTAGTTTCACTTTCTTCAGTTATCGCACTATTATCTTCACGTTTTTTATTTTTCTTGACTTTTTCTGGACTTTTGACGTTATTTTCGTTTTCCGCGCTCACCATTTCTGTGTCTTCATTATTCGCTTCTCCATTTAAATCTTCTTTCTGTAAGTTTCTTCATTATTCTTCTTTTTTTTCTTCTGAATTCTATCTTCTGACTGTTCGTTATGTTTTTCTGTATCCGAGCCATTTGCTTGATCTTCATAAGTTTCATTTTTCCGTTTCACTGCCTTCTTAACTTCAGTATCCTACAATTATGAGAAGACAGTGAAAATACATGTATAAAAAAATATTTTATACACCACAATTATAATTTACTAGTAGATACTTACAGCGCCTTTGAAGGGTGCGTTAATGAGGCTGCCAGACATTTTTCTCTCTTCCGGCTTAACATTCATTATTGTACATTTTACCTACGACAGAAAAATAATACATCCATTTAAGAATCCTGATATCTTGTCAGTTTACTCATAAATAATTCCTATGTTCTTTTATTTTCTACTATTTTTTGTACCCTATGGTCTGTGTGTTCGAAATAAAGGTTATTATTATTATAAAGCCATCGGATAGAGGAATTACTATATGAAGTAGTTTCTTACTATCTGTCCCGTGTGGAATGAGTCCGCGAGGTCCCCGGGCTGCGCCCCCACCAGCCTGCTCGGTACAAACGCCACCACGTTGTTAAAAAACGACACCAGCAAGTAATGTTTTATGAGCTGGAAAATATTATTAATTTCATTCAATCAAATTCATTTTAGTTACATATGTTTTTATCAAGATCCAAGTGTATCAGATACTTCGACAACAAAATATTAATATTATTTCGCTTTACGTTATAAAGTCCTGTTTATTATATTTTTATTAATACTCAGATCGGTATATAGTTACGACAATGGCAGTCCAACGAAACAAGATAAATAATTGTTCACCCATCTAATAGATTATTATTTAAATGAGATTATTAACTAGATCTAACGAGTAATGACAGAAAATATAAATATAAAGTATTTCATAAAGTTTTTATGTTCATTTTTTGCTATAAGAAATGGCAAGAGATAAAATATACAGGTAAATAATTAACTTCATATTATTGAAGGCTGAATCTTTATTCGTCTTAAATATCACTGAAATCCTTTCAATTGTTGAAGTTTCTGAGATTTCCATTCCATATATACAGTAAAGTAAAATGCTCTTTCTTTATAATATATTATATAATGAATCTCTCGTACCGATATAACCCCGGTGTACATCCTGCCCACGTGTCGTTCACTGTAATCCGTCAGTAGAGGCAGCTCCTCCGCCAGCAGGGACGGCTTCAAGGTCAACACCACCGAGTTCTTGGTCTCGTCCACGAACAACACGCGCGCCCGGACCTCTTGACCCACCTAGAAAATAAACCTCATTATTTAGGTACCAATAATGTTAGCTTCCCCTTAATATATTTCACTTAAGATGCTTCCCCTTAATATATTCCATGTAAGTTACTTCACCTTATATTTCTTGGATACATTTGAGTTCCTCGGCTTCTTGGGATCTATAAACACGCCGGTCTCCGTCATGTGCGCGCGGGGAACGTAGCCTGAGAATATCAAATAAATCTCAATTATTATTTCACTTGTTTTCAAACAGAAAATGTTTTATATGAAACTAACTAGCTTTTGCCGCGTCTACGTCCGCGTGGAATAGTGACTTCCGGCAGATTTTTGGTTCTTCCCACATAGTTCCCGTTCTTGCGGGGTTTTGGGAATGGTCGAGTTCCCGTAGAGTTTTCAGGATAAAACCTATGTTTTTTTTAATTCACAATGAAGTACTCTTAACCAACAATATATTTATTTGTTTATTTGAATAAAGATTTTATAAAATTATTTCGACCAAATTAGGTACCATAAAAACGGTTTTCGTGAGTTAATCTTAAAGGATAGACATATACTGTCGCGGACTGTTTTTTAGATCATTAAAAGAGCTATTATTCTTTAATACATATTTTTTGTGTATCTTGAACCGTTTTCACGGCGGACGCAACGGAAGGCTTCAAAGATGAAATAATTTCTCCCGTTTTTTACACATTTACCACTATATCTTTGCTCCTATTGGTCGTAGCGTGATGTTATATAGCCCACAGCCTTCCTCGATAACTGGACTATCCAACACAAAAAGAATTATTCAATTCGAACCAGTACTTTCGGAGATTAGCGCATTCAAACAAACAAACAAACAAACAAACAAACAAACAAACTCTTCAGCTTTATAATATTAGTATAGATATTATTCTGATTACTACGCGTATTTTATTATTTTAAGAAACTACATACTCCCGACGTTTTAATTACTTTTCAGCAACCGTGATCACGGACATACGAGATAATGTCTGTCAGTTGGTCGACTGTCGAAAATTTGGGTATGTAGTTTTAAAATAATAAAATACGTTTAGTTATCCAAATAATATTAGTTACATTTAAATGAATACTCAATAAAGTCTTAGATCTCAGAAAGTATTATATCGCTATTGGATGGTTCTTAAAGAAAAATTATCTTATCTATGCTCATGTATAAAGTCTTACCGCTGATTCTATCCACCGCGACCCTAAGATGTTGGTCGGCGACTTCTGTGACGGTCCCAGAGACCAGGTCCCCCACACTCAGCTGTGAGATGTTGAAGTACTTCTGCCGCAAGAGGGCGGGGTCGTCACTCACAGAATACACGTAGTCTGATAGATTGTAACACAAGACGCGGACTCGATGTGTACTGCCTGGGAGATATTGTTGAGAGATAGATTAGTATTTTATTGTATTTAAAGTAATTTTTATATTATATATGCTTATATTTAAAGACGACTAAAATAGCGCAAACTACATGTTGCAAGAAAAAATTCTCTTCCATTTTCTTTATATGAATGGAAGGACGTTGATTACATAACTATTGATAAAAGAAAATATATAGTAATAATATTAAATAATAATAATCACCTATTGGGTATGATTTAGCAAGATCGTCGTGGTCATTGAAGTCGTGGCTACGTTTTAGTGAGAGGAAGCCGGTGGAGCTATCAGACAGACGCAGGAACACTGTGCGACCCCAACTTTTTAACACCTGGATACAAGATACATACAGACATACATAGAAATATTACAACTCTTATATAATATCGTCATCAGCCTATCAGAGCTCACTGTTAAGCAAAAGCCTCCTCTCACATGGAGAAGGTTTGAGCATTTATCACCACGCTTGCTCAAGACGGGTTGGTGATTTCAAACTTATAATTGTGACATTATAAGTCCAGGTTTCCTCACGATGTGTTTTCCTTCACCTTCTGTCAGTGGTGTCTAAATATGTACTATTAGCGAGTACATATGACTCGGTAAAATCACATTGGTACTTGCCAGGGCCAGGATCGCACCCGCGCCCTCTATCAAACACGAGTGGGAGGCGGGACTTCACTAACATAACCACTACGCCACCACCCGCGTGACATTATAACAAGATAAAAGTCACCAAAAACTATTTTTCTTTCCAAGGTCATCTATCAAACATGGTAAAATCGTAGTGGGGTTTAGGGGAGGCGTAACACTTACATGACAGAGTAATAAATTTATAATATTAGTATGTAAGGTAGCAAGAGTAAATAGAATTCAATATCAGTTATATTATATGTACCTTTGCATCCTCGATGACTTCACCATCTTGGTGTATCTGTTCCTTGCTCATGTTTGTTTTTGAGGAGTCAAATATTTCTCTCATAGTCAAGAATGGGGTCTGTTGTGGTGGGACGGCGTACAACAGACGAGCTCTGATCTGTAACAATATTGAAAACATTACTATATATTGACCCTGACTTTGCTTAACTGTATATCATATTTACTCATTAATTTTTTGTGTTTATTAGAATTAAATGTTCTTAAACATCTTAATAAACCTTTTGTCCAAGCGCTGGTTTCTTTCCCTTCACAGTATCTATTTGATGTCTCTGTATGTACGCGAGTTGATTGTTCAAGATGTGTCCCTCAATACCGTTGTCCAGAGCCTACAAAACAGTAAATAATAAAATTTTTCATTGCATTATTATAACTTTATAATTCTAAATAAATTAGAAGTTTTGTCTGTAACTTTCACATTTCTGTATGTATTTCTACTTTTTAAAAAGCTTAAATTACTTTATAAATAAAAATCAATTTATAATTTGGGTTTAAACAAAAAAAATCTGCTCTCCTCAAAATAGTTAGGATGATGCAAAGAATTTTAATAGCTTCCAAGTATCTTCATACCTTATGTACAGTGAAATCCACAGCGGTTCCAGGATATATAACACCTGATTCCTCTGAAAGGATCGCTGTAGAGCACCCAGGTCCGAGCTCAGGGTAACAACATTGAAGTCAGCAGACAGAGATTTGATAGTCACCCACGTTAGCATACCAATATCTGATGATAAACAAATTTTCTATTAAAAATTTTATTGAACTTTCTATACATCAATTCCACTTACTTTATTTATGCATGATAAATTGAGAACCGACTTTGTTGATCTTGGTTAAATATTATTATTTCTATAATTATACGACCCTATTTTATATCTGAAGTGCTTTACATTAAATATTTAACTTATAAAGTATACAATTTATTATTTATTTTGATAACATATGAAATGCTTTTAATCAAATCACACAAATTGTGAGATCAAGAAATATTTAAATACTGATCATGTATCAAATAATATTTAATTTTAATGAGATCTAAGACTTTCGCGAGCAGTATGCCACAGAAAATCGGCGTGAAGAAGCCTCTAATGGCAATAGATAACAATGAGTGGGAGAGCCAACTGACCCTTTCCCTATTCACACCCTTTCGTACCATGCCCTTGATTCCCATCCCTGATAAAAAAACAGGTTGAAACGCATCGCATCAAGAGTATTGCGGATGTCACATAAATAAACACCTCCCATAGTATATCAGTCTGCTTGTTTTACCTTTCACATAAAAAAAAAAAAATATCTAAAAATCATCACTATTTACCGAGTTCCATGTCAGAGTTAGCGGTATCTTTAGCCAAGAAGGCTCTGGTGTTAGGAATGCCGATGTCCATTACATAGCCATGGTCTTCAATTGATGTCACCGCAGCTTGGATAAGTGCACCTGATGACAAAAAATGAGTTTAAGAAGAATCTTTCATTAATCTATTAACACTAAAAAAAAATTTTCCTATTAAATAAAATAATATTTATAAGTTTATAACAAATAAGTTATACAATTTTATATATGATGGTGCTTGTCATAGGATCTTTAAAAAAATGTCATACTTCTCTTAGTTGCTATGTTTTACTTTATTCCAAATTAAAATTACTTCAAACATATAATGAGATCTAATATTTTCGCAAGTACTCATTTAAATGAAACTAATATTTTCGGATTAAAAAAAAATTGCGTACTAAATTGCTAAAAATTCCTAAAATTTTAGTTTCATTTACTTCAAACATATTCATTTAACTTGAGTTAAATTAATCAAAGTAAGATAAAATGGTTCAAGTTTTACCTTTATGGAGATCTGTAGCTTTTCTATCAGAATTAATATCTTGTGGCATCATTGTTAGTGTTAGCGAATTGTCAGACACCTCCAAAACTTTAACAGCTACATATTGTCCCACTCGGAACATTTGGGGCAGCTCGCGGACTTGATCCACCTATAAGTAATATATGAAACCGTCATAATGTTTCAATCATTATTTATATTAAATAACACTTGAAAGCTATAAAATAAATATGTGTAAAAGTTAATATTGTTCAACATTAAATATAGATATAATAATTTATTTCTGAACAAATCCTGATTGTAATATTTGTTTGTTTGTATATACCTTATCATTAACGTAAGCTTCAAGTAAGTTATTGTATGCGTCACTGATGTGACAAGCCATGACCACGCCGTTCATTCTACATGGTAATGATAGCAGTATTTTAGTTTCAAGAACACGTCTCACTCTTCCCAATAATAACAGACCTTCTTTAACAACCTGCGGAATTAAAATATAGTCATCAAAATGATAAAATGATTTTTTATTTTTATCTCTGTTTCAGTTTTAATACCTATATAAGTTAATAAATATGTATTTGATAGTAAAACAACGAACCCTATAATTTAAAAATATTCCACAAGTTTTGTAAGACTGATCAAATTCTGGTGTAACATCGTCTGATAAATAGCCATCGTCATCTTCAGATTTCTTTTTTTGTCTTTTCCTCTTCTTCTCTCCCTTATCCGGAGCCCCTAAAAACTAAATAAATGTGTAAATAGCAACTTTACATCTTTTTTAATTTTAAATATCAATGAACTTACGTTTTCACTTTGCTTAAAATATGTGGTAGTAGGTTTTTTACCACCACGAGGGAAGTATTCTTCGGTTTCAGTCATATTTATTATATTTTTTATTTAATATATCACGCAGCATCCCAGTTCATACGGTACAATAATAACGTGAAATTTGTAGGTTATTTAATGTGTGTCTGTTTTACGCAGATTGCTATAACTGTCAATGCCATACATCAGGATTAAATTTTAATAATAAGCACACTTCATTATTACAAAATAATTATAATAAATTGAAACGTGTTCTTTTGGATATTAAATCAATATTAAGAATATTAATAATGAATGGAATGGACTAGAATATACAGAAAAAAAAAGTATTCATAAAATATTTTGCGTATAGAGATTTGCAAAATAAATGTTGCTATTATAGTTAACTTTGATTGTTTTAAAGATGTTTTATCTAATAAAATTCAAAAGTCAGTATGCTTATAAATGATTTTAATTCGAAAAAATAATAAAAACGATGAGCCTTTTGTATGCTTCACATTCAAATCCAAATTTTATTAACTTATTTTTCCCCCATACTTTGGAATGCCGACAGAAAATTTAAACTTTCTGACATCAGTCATCTGTCATATGATTTATTATAAGCGTCAATTGTAGCATTAATTTATTCAATGAGCGGCAAGTGATACTGCGATTGAATTTATCAATCAGTACAGAGTTTACTTTTCAACTATCTTGTACAGCTCGAGTGTTTAAAAGTGGGTACCGCTTTATTAAATTTACACTGATAAATATTATCTAATCGAACATGATAATAGTTTTAAAGTAAATGTATAAATGGTATTTAAATCGGATCGCCGGTCTTGTATAGCGTCTTATGTGTTCTTTTATTAACAGATATGAATAAGATCGTGGTATTCGGCTCTACCGGCATGACCGGCCGCAGCGTCGTGGAGGCGGCTTTGAAACAAGGTATACCCCATCGTTCTTTTTGATTAAAATTATTTTTTATTTTCTCCGTCATGAAAATCAATCACAAAACGAAATAATAAAATCTTTAATTCATTTACTTAGCGTATTTTTATATTAATTAATAATTAACTTAATTACATAGCACTTTTTGCGCGATAACTTTGTATTTAAGAAGTTTTTATAAGAAAAAATATTTAGTTACGGTATTAATAGATTAAAAAAATTTCTGTTTTATGATAATTATTTTTTTTATCAAAATTAAGTATAAATTTTTAAATTGAAGTGTAATATTTTAACAGTTAGAAAAAAAATATTAATTAATAATTATAATAACACTGACACAAGTACATATATAAATATTATTTCTTTTTAATTTTTTTGTATCTTTTAAATTTATTACTACCTCATAGGTGTAAAAAATTGCTGACTTCATATTTTGATAGTGATTCTTATCTAACTGAAAAAGTGATATATACATATATACTTTTTAAATAGAATTCTCTTTAAATATGGTTAATCTTAGTTTATATGACATATAAGAATATTTTATTGGATTTGAAAAATAATTATACTATCTCACAATGTCTATATACACATAGATATATATAAACTTTCTTATTTTTTACATATTTTATGTATATTTTTCCTGTAATAAAAAAGTACATAGTATGAATGCAAATACATTAAATGTATAGAAGGTGAAAGGTTAAGAACATTTAATTTTTACATAAATCAGGTTTACAAGTACGTGCCTTTGTTCGTGATCCTTCCAAGTTGCCGGAGGAGTTAAAGTCTCAAGTGGAAGTCTTCAAAGGAGATGTTTTAGAACCGGATTCCGTTGTTAACGCTGTTGAAGGCATGGATGGTGTGGTCATAGCGCTCGGCACAAACGGAAATCTGGATCCAACATCTGATTTATCTGAGGGAACAAAGATCATTATTGATGCTATGAGAATGAAGCATGTGAAGAATGTCTCAGCATGTGTGTCGGCTTTCCTGTTCTACGAGCCGGAGAAAGTACCACCGAGGTTTCACGCTATTACCAAGGATCACAGGAGAATGTATGAAGCTTTGAAGGACAGCGGATTGAACTGGGTTACTGTATTCCCGCCACATATATCTGGTAAAATATATTTTATTACTATTTTTTTCTTATAATTAAGTTATTAATTTTATTATATCGCGTTTATTATCGCGGTTAATATATCGCGTTTCCAAGAGAACCTTTTAAAAGTCTGGGATAAAAACTATCCTATGTTCTTTCTCAAGATCAACCCTATCTCTGTACCAAATTTCATTAAAATCAGTTCAGTGGTTTAGGCGTGAAAGCGTAACAAACAGACAGGCAGTACTTTCGCATTTACAATATTAGTAGGGATAACATTGAGTTCTTACTTGATTTTTTATATTTAAATTTATGTATATAATTTTTCGGTTAAAGAAACAATAGAGAATGTACTCTTTGATATATATACATAATTAATTACTTAGTTGGTGTTTATTTTTCTATACTATGCCGTATTGACGTCAATTTTGCATGACAATGCAATAGTTAACACTATGAAGTAAAATAATCGCGTGGTTAGACATTTTTATTGAATTTACGATACATAAAATATATTCGTCAAATAAAAAAATATCGGTTACGGCCGATACAAATGATAAGATCGGAAAAATTATTTAAAGTTTACGATCTTAAGATTAATTTTCACAAATTTTAATGTTTAACCGATGTTTTCTCACATCAATTTTATTTCAAACACTCATGCGTTAATTCGAAATAATTATGGAAATGTTTACGTCGATTTTATATTATTGTACTGCAATAAAAAATCCTACTAATGTATGCTACATTATATACCAATGGACATTGTACATATATTTAATTAATAAATTCATACATTTACATTACAATAGGGAACTAATTAAAGTTAAAAAAGCAGTCAAATAAAAAAAATGGCGCCGAGTTCAGAGCGCGGTCGCGGTAATGACGTCACGACTGTAAAAACAAGCGTTTATTTTATGTATTCTGTGAGTGAAAATTTTTCACTGAAAAATATTTTATATATGGTAATAAACAGTTTTATTTGTATATTTTCCAGTCTAGACTTGGTATTACTAAGTCTAGCATCATTATTCAATCAGTCAACCCTAAGAGTTATTTGCAGTTTAAGCAATATATCCGGTTGCTATTTATTTGATTATCCGTGAACTGAGTCACAGATAAAGCGTTTTAGTCTATAGTAATGTAGTTAACTTTCTATTTATATAATTTCTAATAGTTTAATATACATTTAATATTTCAACTCCTATTTTTCTTTTATTTGTCACTAGTTATTCAAGGCATTTGTTATACAGCCAAAAAATAATTGTGACGTAAATATAAGATCTTATTGGTAGTTAGGTTTTTTTATATTTAATAATATTATTTACGTTTATCCACAGATGATCCAAGCCGAGATATAATCGTAGAAATCAATCCAGAGAAGTCACCAGGTCGTTGCATTTCAAAGTACGACCTCGGCAAGCTGTTAGTGGACGCTTTGTCACAGGAGAAATACTACAAAAGTATACTCGGCGTGTGCAACGTACCTCAGTGATTTGTGTATCTGTGGCGAGAATATATGGCGGGAAAGTGATATGACAATTAAATAGGAAAAAGTATAGCTGTTAAATAATGTTATTTAAATTATTACATATGAACTGTGTAGTATTTTTATAATATATAATTACATTGTATAGTGCAATTATTATGTTCACAAGCACGTGAGGTTAGTTATTAAAATCATAGATATCGTGCTAGCTTTAGAGCCGTTATTAGTTGAGAATGCGATTAAATGAAGGTCTTATAAATATGTTGTTTTATTTGTTTGTATGAAATAAACCTCATTAATAAATAAGTTTTGTTGGTTCCTTATATGAAAATGAATTTCAATGTTCATTATCTTAGAATCTATTTTCTTTCGTCTGAAGACAATTTTATTCTTTTCCAAAATGCGAACTTTAAAACATTTTATGAAAACAGCTAATTTTAATATAGTCTTTATGTTAGAAATTACATCACTTTTATGAATTTTTTATAAAGCAGTGAAACATAAGAATGTGGGTTTACTCCTTGGAGTCTTAAACGTGCCATCCCTAAAACAGTATTTAGACAAACCATACGTCTAGGACATCAACCGCTTGATTGTACTTCATCGACAAACGCTTGAACTTCAGGTGTTAAATGAAAGCCTTTGTTGTGGAGCAATATCTAGATTTTTTTGAAATAAAACTTCCAACAAGGTTGCATTAAACGTTCAACGCTCCTGGGGAGGGGGAATAGGGACGGAGTGAGAGCAAAAGGGTGCGTCAATGGTGAATTGTAAGCAATGTTTATAAAGTTTATCTTAAAGAAACAATACGAGTTCACTAAAACTTTTTTTACTCCTGACTATTTTCATTACGAAGTTTCACATCTTCCTTGGGGAGGGACTCCACGCACTATATTATTTTTTTATAGAATTTATCTCTTGTAATTTGATTGATTTGAAGAGAGTGTCAGAGATGAGATAATTATTATCTCAACCGAACATTCATACATAGGATACTTGCAGATTGTAGTTATCTATCGATTTTGCCCACAATATACGAATGTTTTTGATGCACTTGAGAATTAGGATATTCAATTTCTTAATTCAATATAAAAAAATATGATTTTGCGAAAAGAAAAGTAAGTTAAATATTATTCGAGCATTAAATAATATATCAGAGCCCACAGCTGAGCAAAGGCTTCGTCTCAAATGGAGAAGATATGAGCATTAACCACCACGTTTGCTCAAGACGGGTTGTTAATTTCAAACTTATAGTTTGAAATTACAAGTCCAGGTTTCCTCACGATGTTTTCCTTTACTGTCTGTCAGTGGTGTCTAAATACTCTTAGAAAGTACATATGACTCGGAAAAATCTCATTGGTACTTGCTCAATTTTTGAACCCGCGCTCTCATGCAAAAGAGGCGGTCCTTTAACCACTAGGCCACCATGACCATAAGTGTTTTCAGGCTGCTATATACATTATAATATAAAGCAACCTGAAAAGACTGTTTTGCTTCTTAAATATTAAAGTGATACTTAATATTTTATCATTGAAGAAATATTGTGCAAGAGATCAAAGACTGTCCGTAAATATATATATGATACTCCTCCGTATAATCGAATTTTAGAAACAAAAACTTAAGTTTGGTCAAGCATTTGATCTGTTATGATCATGTTTCAGGGTAAGCCGATACTATTATAAACAATACTATATTTTTTGTTTTACGTTCGTTTTCAGTTCCTTGTGTTTATGCTTCGTTATAACCGATTATGTGTAAATTTCCGCTACTATTTTTTTTTGAAGAGCCCCCTTTTTTTGGATGGCTTTATTTACTGAATATAAATCAAGTTTTTTACTTTATATGAACCTCTGTATCTTCACGGTCATTTTCCTAATAACATAACGTGATGTTCAAAAGCGTAAAGGTAACGCAAACAAGAAATATATATTATGTACCAACTGTTAATCAATGAAAATATAAAGTTTTTTTCATGTTTTTATAATTATCAGTAGGTAAATCATTTTATTTTTTCGTATAAAAACGTATTGCCATTTTGTGTTCAGGACGCTTATGATTATTTAAAACATAAAAAATGATATTTTTTAAAATTCATGTGTCAAGTAGGTAGTTAGATACTTAAACTTTATATTATTTGTCACATAAAGTTACAAAATAGTTTTTTATTTGTTTAAATTTATTTTGACTAAAAGTACCATAAAACTAAAAAATAAATGGTTTCATTCATTGTATTCAGGCTATGACTTTATTATGAATTAGCAAAAACTGTTTGAAGCCATTCATTCATAATAATTAGACAAAGTCAATGTATTCGAGTAGGTATGATGACTAATCAATTTTATATCTGCCTCTTTGGAATAACATGTACCTTCATGGTATTTATATAATCTTGTTTATGAAACAAAAACCGTAATAAAATTGTCAGCAAAACAACTAAAGTCAAACGTCATATAAATGCGATTGATAGTAAACGTAAAATAATTAAAGAAATAACAAAAAAAAATTGTAAAAGAAGATGAACTAAACAGTGGAATTAGCGTCTAAGGTGTCCATCCAAAATGAACCTACTGGATTACGTGCATATGATAGTAGACTCACTTCAAGACATAAGGTGGATCATGGACGCAGCAGCGGCTTGCTACCCCATAGCTATGATGTCTAAAATACACACAGCCTAACGGAAGATGGTTTCTGATCTAACTTTCTATAGAAAACCTAATAATAACTGTTGCCTCACCAAAGATAGGTACGTTTTGCCTACAATCGATTCTTTAAATCTCAGTACATCACAAAGCTCTCCCGAATTGAGTGTTACAATACATTCGTCCTCAAAGACGAGTCAATCGACGGTGCGGCCGATATCGACTTTGACGGATAATACTTTGAGCATGGTGAGCACACCGTGGTCAACCGAATCTTGGTATTCCATGAACCATGTACTGAACGACTTATACTCCAATTCTATGACTTCTTCGTCCACTATGATGCCAATGTCCACGTCATCAGGCGGCTGTACTCCGGAGTGTTACGGCAGTAAGAATACTATAACAATACTAAGACCAGAAGATCCGTTTTCAAACGCATCGTTCACCGTTCGCCCGCTTCAGACCGTGCCGTCTAGAGATTCTACAAGTACGTTGAGTTCTTGGACCGTAGAGTCTTTCGTTAGTCCCGTGAAGTATTCAAACTCTGAGATTATTAAAGTGAAATACCCCTGGAGTCCGTGCACATTCATCAGCGGTACTGATCTGTACCCGAGCACGATGGACACCTTCAACAGTGCATCTGATGTAGCAACACTCACCACAGCTGACAGTGTGGAAACACTTAGCAGCAAGTTGACATCAAGCGCTTATCGCACTTTTGGGTTCTTATGTTTGGCGTGAAATTTAATGAAAGTAGTTTAAATGAACAAATTTATTTGACATACACAGTAAACGATTGATCTATGAATGTTTAATGTTTTTGATTTTTTACGAATATCATTAACCTTCCTAACCCGCGGGATAATACAATATGTACAGTTGTATACAATATATTAAGTAAAATAATGTAAGCCAGTACAAAACGAAGCGGCATCATTTACCACCATCTACATAATATAATGTCATATCTGGCTTAAATAAAATTAAGTCATAAATGCGTATAATATCTAAATATTATATAATTAATAATTATACATGCTGCTAGGCACGCTTAATATTTTAAAAAGTGTAACTCTGTAAAAAAACAAGTTTAAAGCACAAATATTTTTATAATTAAGAAAAAAACAATTAATATTTAAATTAGGCGTGTTTTGTACAAATATTTGTTTCTTTTTTGTTTATTTCTTTTTCGGACTTCATTGTTTAACATACGACGTCAAAAAACATCTTGGCCACTTCTCTATATACCTATATAAAATGTAGGACTGTGGTGTTTTATTTTTATTAGAATGTTTCTGATTGACAAACGGCCTATAAAACAAAATCCTCGGAAATCCTATTAAAAAAAATCATTAAAAAGTTATATATTAGACGTTTTAACATTTTTATATTTGCTCATCTTGTAGAGCGTATATATATTAAGTTTATGAGCTAAATCTTTAACACGAAAGAACATTAAAATAGCTAGCAATTCCTTTTTTATTTCTTTTTCAATAAAAGGTTCTTATGAATATCAATCTGAGATAACACGTTGTTAAACAGCTAACGAACTATTATAATAAACATATATTTTTGTGTTTAGTGTTTGTATTTCTTTTTTTTTACATCTGAAGGTCTATGAAATAATGAGATGGTGAAATTGTTTTGATGTATGGATGTTACTTCCTGCTGTACATAAATCTATGTACATACCTTCATATGTTTAGATTTGAAAAATCATTCATGATGAAAATTTATAATATTGGAAAGAAAGATTTATAATTTAAATGTTTTGTTCGTGTGATTTATAATATACAATAAAGATATTTTCTTGCTTGTATAGCAAATGCTTTTTGTTTTATGATAAAGAGGGTAAACGAGCAGACGACCTATGTGATGAAGGCAATACCGTCTCCCATGGACATCCGCAAAAGTATTTTGTGAATAGGGAGAGGAAAGGGTGGGAAATAGGAAACGGCATCCGTCTCTATCAATCAGCGGCCGCTACGCAACCAGTAAGGCCTCGGCCTCGAATTTTGCGGGCAGCGGAGCGGCAGCGGGAGTGGCAGGATCTTACGCGTATAATCAAATGGACCGACCCTCGAATACAGCGGTGCCCGCTGCTCGCTATTTTGGAGAAATGTATGCGTTTCCGTGCCGCCGCCGCTGCCGCTCCGCTGCCCGCAAAATTCGAGGCCGAGGCCTAAAGGCTACTTCACGCCGATCTTCTGTGAGAGGGTGGTACTTCCCCGGTCGAGCCAGCACATGTTCGAGCTGCAGTAACTCAACCATAGCTAGACTCTACCACCGTCGAATGCTACATGAATTCTTCGATATTGAAATAATGTATGATTGATTTAAATATCTTATATGTCTAATGGTAGGTACTTTGACCTAATTAATATACTATATTTTTTGGTGACTGGTAACTGGTGAATTACTATCAATATTTAAGGAGAATACTCGGTACATGATTCTCATTCGAATTATGTAAAAAAAAATAGGTACTTAATTTTTGACCAAATTTCCGCATAAATAAATAAAATGTGGACACGTTCCCAATGTTCTAAGTGTGGACGCGTGCGGCGGCGTGCTGATACAACACCACGCCCCGGCTTGCGCGCGTGTGTGTGTGTGTGTGTATACCTAATCTGTAGGGTGTTCACACGATGCGTAATTAATTACATAACTTTTGGTTAACTTTACTTAGAAGTTTATTAATATTTATGTTATATTTATTTTTATTTTGTCATATAAGATCGTCAAATATCACGTCCTCAAGTATCGATAGTAATTCACCAGTCACTCTGTATATAGGTATCGTTTAATTACAAATGTGTACTCGCGACAATCTCAGATATCATTACTATATCCATATGAATACTTTATATTGTTAATAGGAATGTTATTGACATAAGTAAGGTATTAATTTGTAACATTTTAATTACTTACGATTTACGATCGCTTGAGAATTTCATGCAGGTCATTCTTACACAACATAAACTAAATTAGGTGATAGCAGAGTGAAAATAATCAATATAGCGACGAAATTAAATAAAATTCTTGTCCTCGTGACTCGATTGAGTTGTGCCTCCTGTTTTAGCCAGGGGGCCCATAGTTCTAAGAGTGCATCAAGTCAAGTAAAAATTAGAATTTAATATTTGTATTTCATAAGCCCGGAATGGCGCATTTTCTTATGTATAATGCTCTAATGTAAGATCTTTTTATACAATTGTTGTTTTAAATCCTTATCATCACTCCATATTATAAAACAGTCCTAAGTCCTCTGCTACTGTTTACAAATAGACGGGATAGGACTGCAAGTCCGTAGAGTGAGAGTATTCAACCTCACATTCAGTACTAAAATAAGACTTCACCACCCTTTAAAACATAACAATCAACTCTAATATAACCGCTTGTAAGAAGAATTCAATATTATCGAGTTTGAGGTTATCCCTTTAGACACTCGCTACAATATGGCTGTAAAGAAATGTAAAGATTCAAAATTTTATAAATATTTTTTTTTGTAATGACTATCTATATATAAGTAGAACATAAATTTTTATGAAGCATTTAATAAAAGTACCGATGTCATGTGATGTGAATGAAATAAGTCACCCTGTATAAGTATCTTATTCATTTATGAAGCATTTAATAAAAGTACCGATGTTATGTGACGTGAATTAAATAATTTTGTCAACATAGAAGCTGCAGCCTGTTGCTTTGCTTGCATATATGTACAAAGCCCTTATACTTTATAGATGCGTTTCATGATAATTATGAGATTTTATTTGATTTTCGGAATAATCCTTAACTAATGGCACTAATGGAGGACTATAAACCATTACATTGATACGATAATGTTTGAAATCAGTAGGTACTAAAATATTTACGAATTGGGAACTTCCTCCTATTTGAAGTAAGTAGATTAAAAAGTAGTCGGTTTTACTTTTTATCATTTTACCTATCAACGAGTGACATTCTAGAAAAATCTGTCTAGTCATTCAAGAGATTACCCGAAACAAACGGATAGACACACAAGCAAAAAAAATTCTGGATATGTATAAAAATATATTTTTTTTCTCATATGCGCTTATTAAAATGCTGTTACTTTGAAGTGACAAACACTAAACAGACACTTCTATTATATTTATAAGCATAGATTATTATTTAAGCATATAAATAGGAATGTAAAGATTATTATAAGTCCAAGTTTTTCATCGACTTCATTTAATTTCCGATATCTCCTTATCAGCCTTTGTTGAACTCTAAATAATTAGGTTCTAGGTACAACTACAATTCTACTCTTTTATTCTAGACAGTCGTTACTCACACCACATCAAAGCCTAACTCCACTTTTACTAAAAATGCCCATTGAGTTGAGTTAAATCTTAATGGAAAATTTTTAATGCTTGTTATAAACTATCTAGATTTGGTTTCAAATTTTTTATACGTTATCGTTTAATACACAAAAAAATGTAACATAAAACCTCCTTTGGATTGAATTGTTTAATTTTTTGTTTCAAAACAGTTAAAGATAGCTTGGATTACTGTCATGTACGTATATATTTGTAGCAATGTTATTTATGTAATGAGAGAAAAAAATAATTATTCCAAGTCCATAAAATTCACGCAATTACCTAATAGGTTTATGGTCAGGAATTCAATAAGCATGCATTTATAAGGCGATAAATGCATTGTGTTTACACTTTGATGTTTTGTGATACTCAGGAAGTTACAATAAGTACCTCTTTGTCACATTTCCTTTTAGTTCATCATTGTTCAATCTTTTTCTGACATTTCATTACAACATGTCTAGTAATAGCATTATATTTAGGTGCTGATAAAAATATAATTATTATCTGATTAAAAAATAATATCATTATTAAAAACGACTGTATTAAATTCGACAAACTTCTTCGTGTTTCCTCCACACAATAGTCAAAATTATAATTCGTCCATCACATGAAAACGTTTAAATTGATAATATATTCCAGGATTCCAGTGCGAGTGAAGCCATAGTAAAAATAAAAAAAAATTGTTTGTCAACTTTATTTTTCCTGTATATTTTGTACAAATTTGTATCTCAACGAATTACATTTTCTAGTTATAACGTTAAATAACTTTTTTTCGGGGGTGGATTTAAATGAGGATTATACCTGAGCTATCTATACCTAATTAAAAACTGACCAGGAAAACAACAAGTCATGATTTTAAATGCGTACTAAAATAATAATGATTAAACTTCATAGTTTAAAGGTATATGTGAAATATATCATATATTTAAAAGTGTGAACAGCAATGAAACACTTAATAACAAAAATATATTTATTTACATTGAAATAATACAGGATACTTTACAAGCTACGATGTACAGATTCATTCTATTTTCTTACAAAAAAAGTTAATTTCTGACCACTTATTAGTGTCTTTATAATTTGGTAAGTTTACCTATACACTGAAGGTAAAGTAGTAATAACTTTTCCGTTAAATATTATTCTATTTCAAATACGGCGGCTCGCCTTGATCTCGTTATAGAGAAGTATGTAGATGAGAAAAATAAACATGTTTTTTATTGAAGCACGGACGAAGGAAAGGGTCCTTATATGAAACATACAAAGAAACGTTACATCGGTTATTACTCATTTATTTTTTACTAGCTTTCCGCCCGCAGCTTCGCCCGCGTGGAGTTCGGTTATATCGCGTTTCCAAAAGAACCTGTCAAAAGACTGGGATAAAAACTATCCTATGTTCTTTCTCAAAGTCAACTTCATTTATGTACCAAATTTCATTAAAATCAGTTCAGTGGTTTAGACGTGAAAGCGTAACAGACAGACAGAGAGTCTTTCACATTTATAATATTAGTAGGGTTACATATCTTTTTTTCACCCGCTCTTCCTATATCAGGACGGAGATGTAATCTCATTGTATTTATTATGTAATCATTATCTTCTATAACATTACCCGACCAATGATATGATAACCACGACCGTACCCAGCTTCTGTTCTTGGGGGGGGGGGGGGGGTCATATTGTATGCGGATGTTTCGTAGCATACTTTATAACAAAAGGAATTTTGTTCACATGTTATCACATAAGATCGCCTTTACACTTTTATAAGTGATTACGTAAATCATATTTTTTTGCGTGATTTCTAGGAGGGATGGGAAGGGGGACTAAACTCATGTGGCTCCATGGATTTTTTTTGTAAATATTTTTACGGCTCTGGATACGAGTCTTTATGAGCTTGGCTCCTTGGATACCAACATGAAATGTCACCCTACTGATGGTAATACGAGAATACTTTCATCATACTTTAGTTGATTCAAAATACTCTTTAAAGGTTGATTTTATTGTTTTTTTGGTCCGCGTATACTAGCATTTTATTTATATATAAAGTACATATTCTATGATAACGCTTTATCCTGTTCTATCTTCGTGTCTCTATGTCTCAGCATGTCCACGTCTAGCAGCGTCTTCCCCAGTTCTCCCGTTCTGAATGCTTTGATCATGACCCTGGCGACCTCCAACACATCAGGCACGGTCCTCGTTCGACCGTCAAAGTCACGGGTCGTTCGGACCCGATTGAATTTCACTGCACCAGATATTAATACCTGAAGGAATAGGGAGGCTTATGGGAATTATCAGTCAAATTACATGATTTCAAACACATCCCTTATACTTATCATTTGGGTCGGAAATCAATAAAAAAGGGGAAATTTAGACTAAAACCTGGAAACTGTATTTTTGTATTGATGATGTAAACTCGTGGTAAGAATGACACTGATATAGAGAAAAGTATGATTTTTATGTAAAACTAGCTTTTGCCGCGACTACGTCCGCGTGGAATAGTGACTTCCGGCAGATTTTTGGTTCTTCCCACATAGTTCCCGTTCTTGCGGGGTTTTCGGAATTGTCGACTTCCCGTAGAATTTTCTGGATGAAACCTGTTTTTTTTATTCACAATGAAGGGATTAATATTATTATGTTGATACAACTTAAATTATTTCGACTGGAACAATAAAAACTGTCATTTTTGTATACTATCGCGGACTGTTTTTAAGATCATTAAAAGAGCTATTAACTACATATTTTTTGTGTATCTTGAACCGTTTTCACGGCGCACGCAACGGAAGGCTTCAAAGATGAAATAATTTCTCCCGAAAAATATGCTCCTATTGGTCGTAGCGTGATGTTATAATAACTGGACTATCTATTTTTCAATTTGAACCAGTAGTTTCGGAGATTAGCGCTTTCAAAAAAACAATGGCTTTATAATATTAGTATAGTAAAATTTAAAAAAACATGATAAAACATAAAAGAACAAAATCAAAAGAACACAATCAAATACAAATGATTATTGTATTCATACAATTTGAATACAATTACAAATTATTCCAAATTATTATCTGTGGCGGGTCCGTTTACATTAAGAATTGATTTATAAAAAAACGAAACTAATTCGCATATATTATGAAAACGTTAAAGTGCGTGACAAATTACAAAAAAAAATTTATTCTCATCCTGAACGTGCCCGGAACAATTAACATAGAAAAAGAAATAGATTATAATCAAAAAATATTTAGCAATAAACGTCAACGAATGATCATTTTTTCCCGCCATTTATAATGTATCGTAATTAGGTCAGATGTAATGAGTACCATGAAATGCATAAGTAAATAAAATTTATACTGAGACAATAATAATAATAATTTGTTGGCCTCATAGAGAACAGATTCCAACTATTTTTCCACTCAAATTATATATGCAGAATTATGTAATTTACTATAAAGAATGAATGTTTAAGAAATAATCCAATGTACACTTTGTATAAAAATAATTAGAATGCCCTAAACTTGTTTGAACAAACATCACACTATGCTATAGAGACGGGACGAAACCTCTCATCATTCAATGTATTCACCGTGCGTGTGCCGGGTCCATCGTTGCAGCGAGAGGAGCTTCAACAGTGTAGGTTTAAGGGGTATCTATCTAACGAATAATGTATTATGTTATAGTACAAGTAAGTGTAACCCGAAATTAATATAGGATCAGACCTTGAATAGTAACTATACGAGGTCAGAGGAGGCCGCTGACGTCACCATACATAAAATATACGAACCAAAAAATACACATTACTTTTAGTGAAATAATTTGAATAAAAAGTAATACTACTTAATTTCTCCTTACTTTTTCTTTAGTTATTGTCTGTGATATTATAAGTTCCACTTCAATGTTTAAACAACATATAATACTTAACACTTTCTTCACATTCTAACTACTGAGGCATTAGGACCGCATACTCAGAAACATTCATTTTGTTTGGACAAATTTTTATATGTATAGTAATTAGCTTTTTCCCGCGTGTTTGTCAGCGTTAATTTCATAATTAGAATTGTATAACTGACCAGACAAACTGTTTCGATTTAGAGGCAGTAAATAAATAGATTTTGGATTTTATTAAACAATTGTTTTTCGGTCAAATGATTTCAAAAGTATCCTATGTCTGTCTCCTCATTCAACCCTACCTCCCTACAAATTTCCAGCCAAATCCTTACAACCATTCTTAAGTTACAAATAGTGTAACTAACAAAACTTTCTTTTATATATACCTATAAATGTGTTAAAAGACATTCCTGTAATACTACTCACCCTATGTATATCATCGCAAGGCTCCAAAAGTCCCATGTAGTCAACATACTTGAAGTTACTGTGACTGTTCAACCAATATAGCAAGTAGTCTGCGATTGCTTCCTCACCCACTAAGTGATCCTGGAGGGACGCACATAGAGCGAGCTTCAAACCCATTTCTACATCTTTTACCGATGGCTCTAGAATACCTGACAATAATTCATAGTATTTAATCAATATGAATATAAAACCAACACATTCTGACTGATGTGTTAGTAATTCTATTCTCTTCATTAAATCATAATAAATTTTCATTTGGGAATGTATATAAGGAAGCTTCAGGGTTGTAAATATTTTAGAAGTTATTAAGTACAAAAAAACATGAATAAACAGGTTTTTATTCAACATAAAAAATTATTGAGGAAATTTATAATTATATCAGTTTTCAGTAACTTAGTTTTTTTTTTAAATATAAATTACAATTTTATAAAATCAAGGTAATTGTTATGCAAAGAGTATTTATATATTAAATGGATTATATAAAGTTTAATCTTTATTATTATCTACAACCTTACCTGGTGTGTCAAACATAAAAATCTTAGGGTTGTTATTTATTTTCATCTTTGTCATCAAACTCCTCGTTACTCCAGCAACGGCACCAACTGGCAGTGCATGTTTCACATGCATGTATGTGCTTCGTAACATATTGATTAGTGATGACTTCCCCACATTGGGCACTCCGATTATCATCACATTATAATCAAGCTCTTCACTACGGTTATACCTATGGAAAGTTATGTTTTAAAATAATTTTTCTAATGTGTATGTGTGTCGTTAATAATGAAATTAATGTCACACCTATTCGAATTTTTGATTAAATCTACCATAAGAGGTCGTAAACTCTTTAGACCTCGACAACTTTGGTCTTTACAATTTGTAAACACTACATTCTGTATGCCTTCTTCTTCGCGTAACTGATCCTTAACTTTGGGAAGTAGCTTGGGTATCGTTAAATCTTTTTTATTAAAAACTAATATATGAGGTTTAGCACCAGTTATAGTGCTTGTAAAGATAGGATTTCGACCGCTGAATGGAATTCTAGCATCGTGCACCTCTATTACACAATCTACAGATTTTAAAGTGCGCTGCATCTGTTTCAGTCCCTTGTTCATGTGACCTGGAAACCAGCGGAGAAGATCTTTGCCTATGTAAGGACATTTCTTACGAAAATTATATAAAGCCGCATCGAACTTTGTAGCCATTTCGAATGTTTTGTTTTGTTTCGGAGGTTATGTTTGTTACATAAATACTGATTAACTATATACACTATTAAAGGGATATAGAATATAGGGTGCCTAAAGATTCATTTGAAAATTATACTTGTCTAAATACTTAGTAGAATCAAATTAATTTCTAAATATTTATTTTGTTTATTAGTTTGACGTTGACGTTTAGTTTGACAATACAACTACGTTTAAAAATTCTTAATTAGGGAAACCCACGTTTCATGTAATAATTTTAAAATAAAACACTTAAATCCTCCAAATCAGCTTTTGCAAAAAAATATTGATTATATGTCCTAAACGTCTTTAATATTATATTTTGTATACTTTGATATCTATACCATTCATTATTATTTACAGAGACAGCAACAACGAACAGAACAAGATAATGAATGATTGCCGATGTAGGGTCTATAGCCCGCACCAGCCCGTTTCCCAATCAGTTGCCTGTCCCCCGAGGTCTCCTGCTTCAGAAGGAGTCAGCAGGGAAGCACTGTCAATGTTGTCTGAACAATGTCGTGGCCTCATAGGGTTAAGAAAGACCGACACTGACCCCTACTATATTATATTGCCACAAGTCACAACTGTGCTTTTTCTAAAGAGAGTGCGCCGGCCGTATCGAAGATCTCGTCACCATCTCTCCCTCGAAAGGAAAGCCCTAACTCGAAACAAGACCCAACCTGGATATGTTCACTCAACTCTTGACTGATTGCACCGGATACAAATGGGACATGGGGTTATCAAGTCTCTACGACGAGAAGCCTAACACTCATAGAGCCACTTAATATAACAACTCCATTCCTTAAACAACGATCACCGTTCTAGTTCCTAGAAACATAATACTTCTTAGACTGACACAAATCGCCTTGGATATCTTTTGGATTTTATGTTACAATTTAATTTTACAAATATCTTTTTTCTATTATTATTTTAGAATACACATATTATGTAATATGTTTTAGCTTTTTCACACTTTAAATTTATCAACTGCGTTAAAATTTCATGTTTTCAATAATACAAATTGATGATGTGTGTGGATATTCATAATGCAACTACTGTTATGCTTTTACGAAGTTGCTCTGTTGTCAGTACAGCCATGTGTAACAATTCTGTATAAAAAATATATGTATAAAAAAAGAGAAAACAATAATAAAACTAGTTGTAACCTAAATATTATCTACAAGCTGATTAGCTCACTTACTTCTGTCCACTGGTAACGAAAATCATGTTAGGAGCTGCAGCGGGTGGCTTCAGCAGTTCTGCCATTTCTAGAAGCAGTTCTATCTGGAGTTGCCTGGGATGCCTAGATATTATTTTTCCTTGAAACGGATTACAAGGGAACTAGCAGCCTACCAATGACACTCGTAGAGGTTTCAGCTACTCGCTCTGTGTACAACTGACCCACGACATGTATGAGTTATTTTTAAATTCAACTATACAACACGAATGAAATAATTCTTCACCAACAAAAATTTAATTAAACTCATTCCATATTAATGGAAAGATCAGAGAAAAAATTCTTAATCTGATTTGAATAAAACCTTTTGCTAAATCTCGCTATTTTTACTTTTAATAAATTTGATTTAGATTTGAAAGCAATATCATTAATTGACACATTTCTTGTCAATCTGACGAGACTTTATTATTATTTAAATATTGTTGTTGTGATTAGAAATAATATAAAAATGTCTAAAACGTATATGTGCGAGCCTGATATCATAGCGGCAAATGAGAATGTAATGCCGGACTTGAACAATGATTTGGTTATGGCCAAAAACTTTTTAAAACAACAGTGTGCTGCGACTGGCGACACATTGTAAATATAACAAAAGTTGTGAAAACATAAATAGATACGCTTAGTTTATATTTATAAGATATAAAATTTCTAATGCAGGTACGATCATCTGGTGGATATTGTACATAAAATTATATCTCAGAGGCCTCCAGATGTGGTGGATAGCTTTGAACAATACTCTTGGCAAGTGAAGCAAGAGAAATTTCGACCGAACTTCGATCTGCTCAACGATATATACTTGTCGCCTCCACAGCTTGCTATAGTCCGACGAGTTGATGAGATGTTTAGGGTTCCTATTTTTGGATTTTTATAAAAAAAAGTAGTTCTTAATTTTGCTATATTTTGATAAAAAAATTTTAGAAAATAATGAAAGTCCATATCAAAACATGCAGATTTTGAATTAATAATGAAATAAAATCAATGTATTAGGCAAAAAATCATGAAAAAAAAATTCAGAATTGATTAGATGCAATATTTGTAATATTTTTATAGTAGGTAATAGCTTAACACACATTTTCCACATGTGCAGTTAGTGGCTAGCAAGTCCCAGAGACTGGAAGACGTTGGTGAGGAGGAACAGGAGCTTGATCTTGAAGAAGATTCTTTTAAACCAAGGATCGCGGATCTCATAGACCACAACTACTACTTTAGAGAGGTGAATGAACTTTTTACATTTTAACTGTATTAAAATTTTAAGATTCTAAGTTCTGCCTACACATATATATATATGGTAAAACTCTTTTATAAAAATTCTATTGCATTATTATTTTACTAAATTATCAAATTGGTTGAGTACCTATGATTAGACTTTTATTTACACCATGCATTTAGTTAAATGTTTTTACGAACTAGGTTTTGATCAGCTAATTATGAAACTCTGTATTAAATAAAAAACATTAATATTTTCATTATTATCGTAGGTAATATCGCTTCTCGAAAAAACCGATTTATCGGAATAACCGAATATGCAGTAGTAAGATTATAAGAACATTTCAAAACATTCTTCTTTATATTTCTACTTATTTACAGACATTAATAATTATTATAGGAATGCTTTTGTAATATATCGTTAGTAGTTTAGTCCACTCGTCACAAGATGGCGTGGCGTGGTAGTCAAACTACAATTTCGATGTGATTAATTTTTTTTTCATGTTTGTGCAAAGTTTTCCTTTAATTCAAAGCATAATTGGCTCAGATTAGTAAACATTACAAAAATTTCACTCGTTTAAACTAAAGGTTAAGATTTTTAGACATTGGTTGAGCGATTACAAAAATTGGTGAATTACTATCGATTTGAGGACTGATATTTGACGATTATAGATTTTAATAGACATAAATGGTTAAGCGAAAGTTAACCAAAAGTTGGATCAACTCTACAGATAAACAGTTAATAATGTGCGGATGATGATCAACAACACTTTCTTTAAATTTGGTCAAAAATATACCCATTTTTTTTACATATTTGAAATCTACCGAGTATTCTCCTTAAATATTAATAGAATTCCTCCCCTGTATTTTTGATGATCAACAATGAAAATATTTTAACTGTTTGACTCGTGAATATTTATATGCGTTAGGCTATTTACAAACGCAAAAGCCAAATTAGTTCATTGGGTAACGTAATATATTTATTTTTCTGTTTAGGGAGGATATGGATTGCCTGACAGCGAATGTTACGCTGTTTACATCGCCCTTAACATGTTGGCAATCAAAGAACCAGTGGCTACTGTTAGGTATGACATAATTCTTTAAGGTCTTAGGAATTATTTCGATAGAAGATAATATTTTTAGACTAAAATATTTTTCTGATACAATATATCATTATAGATTTTTTGGCAAGATTTTTGGTACTAAAGCAAATTATTACGTCGCTGAAGTTGACCTTACTATTGAAGAGTTGGATAGGAGGATTAGGGTAAGATATGAATGATTTATCAACATGTACTTACAGTAAAGAACCTTTTTGAAATAATGGTCTTTTCTAATGTTCGACAATTCAATGAATAATTTAGGAGTTTGAAATGAAAGACATGCCCGGAGAAGGTGAGGGTCTGGAGGAAGATAAAGCACAGGAACTAGAGGAACAGAAAGAAATGGGTATATTGCTTATTACAGTTTATATTTTTGACATAAAAATGTCGTAAATCCTGAAAAAATTATAAATCAAATGAATTAATGATTAAAATTTATTCCTAAAATACTGAAATTTAAACTCCATTTTGATGTTTAGTTGGTGAGGGAGAAGGAAAGGAAGAAAAACCAAAAGAACCAGTTCCTCCTAAACTTCCTGAAATTCCAGTTTCCACGTTTCAGCCACCGCCTCCAATACCAGTAGAGAGACCTGGCCAAGGAGTTAATAAAAAGGTTCTATCTGAAGTAAAACCTATTAAATCTGGATTAAGTTAAGAGTTCTCTAGTTTATAACTAATTATGCTTACAATCAATCCAGCCTGGAGATATGGAAAATTATTATTTTTTTGTGACTTTTATCGATACTTCTTCTCAGCGGTTGTCTGAACAATAACGCCGAAGCACAAATATAAAGGCACAACATTCTACCAAACATTGCAACAAACGCACTTTAGTTTCATTTGTTAAATAATGCACTGTATTTTATTGCCTAGGTGTTTTACGTGTGTAATCAACCCGGAGAACCCTGGATCTGTCTCCCGGACGTGACTCCAGATCAGATACGTGTAGCGAGGCTCACTGTGAGGTGTATGACTGGAGATTTAGATGCTGAAGTGAGTTGGAATACTTTTATTCAATTTGACTACGTCGGTAAATGGTTACTATTAGGTACAATGAAAGTTGTTTATAAATAAAGTAGTACGTTTTATAAGTTTTGCCTTATTCTGAAACTGTAATTTGTAATATTCCTGGAAAAAACTTAAGAAAATCGGTTCTGTATATTCGGAAATTATATAATTATTATATTTAAGAAAGTTCCCAATTGCAGGTGTTGACCTTCCCACCGTTTGAAGGCACGGAGCGGAACTACCTGCGGGCACAACTAGCGCGGATTCAAGCTGCGACCTCTATATCACCACAAGGATTCTACACGTACGGGTCAGGGGAAGAAGAGGATATCGACCTGGAGGAAGGAGCTGGTTTGTTATAGACCCAGTTAACGTGGTCATATGAGTTTATTAAGGGCGATACATTTGATTAAGGGCAACTATTTAGAAGATTTTTTTACCAGAGAGCAACTGGTTTGTAATTTATTTACATAAAATTACGTAAAATGCTACCTCATTGTTTTAGGAATGATAGAATCCATTTGTTTAATTTCTTAACTTATTCCAAATTCAAAGCTTTAATATATAATAGGAATAAAATCATTCTTACTTTTGAATACTTGTTTTTCTTTCAGGTGACATGGCTTTCAATCCAAATCCATTCTACCAAGGACACACACTGAAAGATCTCGTCGACCCCAATCTAACGTACTGGGTCCACCACGGGAGGTACATCCTTAATCAAGGACGGACTATCTGGTGGAATCCTAACGCTGGGATGGTTAGATTAATTAATTACTTAATCTTTTGCAAGAAATTTAATGAAATGGTACTTAAAAGTATTCTGTCCTTTATTAAATTTATAAGTTAAAGTGGAGAGCACTTTAAAATTATATTATTACTTATTTAAATATTTTTTCAAGTGAATTTTAGTTAAATTTTACTCAAAAGTCATCCTACCCTTGCTAGTCCCATAAATTAGAATATTTATCCCTATCGGTCAATTTATAAATATAATGCCAATGCATAAAAAATATACTCAAACCTTAATTAATTTCGGTCACAATGACTCAAAACCCAATAAAAATATATTATAATTGAAACAGCAAAAGTAAAATAAAAAAAAACGAGTTGCGGATCAGGGAGACTGCCTCTTCTGATGATCCACTCCTGCGGGGGAGACTTAGTTTGTAGGGCAGGGGAGAGAGAGGAATAACGGCCTCCACAAATAAGGTTCCAAAGGCGTTCAAACTACTCGGAGCACTTTTATTGAGAATTTCTGAAAATGCGCCATACTTAAGTTCACTCTTCGAATTCGCTAACGACCATGTCTGTCTCCGTAAAAGTTATGAGAATAACTATTATTGTTCAGTTTTCCCATATGGAGTAAAAAAATATATTTAGGAAGAAGGTCTGGAGGAAGAGGATGACGAGGGTCCTCCGCCCCTAACACCGGAGTCAGGACCCTCACTGTTCAGTCCTCTGGCGGACGACGCGCGCCTGGAGGGAGGAGTAGCGTGGACTCCACGGAGCAGCACCTCGCTGTTACCAGACAGGTCCATCGCTGTACTCAGGAGCAACGTATGGCCAGGAGCTGTGGCTTACTCGAATGTTGGAAAGTTAGTTTATACTGAATACATAGCATGACTCGTCTACGCTTGATACGATATTTAAATTGATAAAATTATAATTTCATCAATAGATAATGTTAAGCTTTTATTTAATTTAAAATTAAAATGGAACATATAGAATGAAAAGTTCAGGGACAAGTGCGAGATTTACATCTATAACTACCGATGCATTTGGTTTCCACTTCTTTCAATAAAGAAAAAGATCAAAAAGGTTTCTTGAAAAAGATCAAAAAAGTTTCTTGAAGTTCATCATGACTCAATCTAAATTATTGTAAATTAGAGACAATATCTAATACACAGGAAGTCGGAGTGTCTGTATGTGGGTTGGGGTCTAAAGGCACAACCTCCTAATTTCTCTCCGCTCCAACTCCCGCGCCCACAGGACGAGTACGTTATAGGACCAGAAGTCATGGAGATGGCTGATCCTACATTTGCAGATGAAGAGGTATCTATCATAGAAAAATAAGTTTATAAAATAACATCATCATAGATTTATAGATTATTTTTTTTTATTAACAAATTTAGTGCAGGAATAGCAAAAAATTAATAATTTTTTTAATCAAATATTTTCCGGATATACTACGTGACTTTATTTTAAGGAAAAAGCTACATGATACCGACATTCATTTATGATAATTCACATCTCGTTGACAGACAGTCACACAGTTGCCCGTGATCACGGTTACTGAAAAGTGACCGAAACGTCGGGAGTCTGTAGTTTTTAACAAAAAAATAAAGTCGCGTTAAATATCCGTTAAAGATTAGTTTCATTTAAATGAATAAAACACGCGAAAATCTTTGATCTCAAAAAATTTATATTAAAGGAACTATTTAATAAAATATATTTTTTTTTTTCATATTCAATACAATAATTAATTCCTTTAATACTTTCTAGGCATATCGTATCGCCCACTTGCCTCCTCCTCCTCCGCCGGAACTACCGGGAGAGGGAGAGGGATTCCCCGAGGAAGAGGAGGAAGAAGACTAGAATATTGTTATCATTATATTATATATTGTTGGAGGAATAAAAGGAATATATTTACAATAAAATCTTTATTTTCAATTAAAAAATACGGTAACAGTTATACCATTATATGTAGCTACTGTAACAATGTATAAGGAATTCTCACAAATGATAATTGGAGTTGAGATAACAAAGAGTGTGTCCGGAATAATTTGTGACGATGGTAGCTTCTTTATAATTTTTTTATATTGTATCCCATATTAATATCTATTTCAGCTTTTATTATACATGTATTAAATAGACACGATTGTCAACATTGTATATAGAACAATATCAACCAGTAACAATGGAAGTTCATTCACATGGACCTAATCTAATATCATTTCTTATGTTTATGCAGCTGTGGGGCGGATAACTTCACTTTTCCAGGGAAGTTCCTTGCTATGTTTTCTTCCTTCACAGCTTTTAACAGGTCTTTTTCCCTCGGGCTCGTGTTCTTGTCTCTTAGGAACACCTGGACAGCTGTTTTTGCCGCTTTACCTCGCTTGTTGCTGCCAGGCGTTAGCTTCACTTTGAACCTGGAATAAATCAGAAATAGTTCTTGAATTTGGTCATTATCCTTTAGCGATTCATAAGTTAGCTGTATGTTGGGTCTGGTAATATTGGAAACTATAACTAATTTTTTGTCCTATATTATGACTATAATATAATATAATATGCTGGTCTATGTTCTCTGTCATATTTACTTATTTTTATCAATAACTAGTAATATAACTATTCAAAATCATTATCAGCTATACAATATATTCACATCTCGTTTCCCCGTGAAGTCACGGTTACTGCAAAAATAACCGAAACGTCAGGGGTATTTAGTTTTTTAAAGTAATGAAATACGCGTAGTACTTAATTCGAAAATATTAGTTTTATTGAAATGAATACTCGCGAAAGTTTTAGATCTTATTATACAGTTACAACAACTTGATCTCATGCACGAGGCCGCGGGTTCGATCCTGGCCCGGGCAAGTACCAATGTGATTTTTCCGAGTCATATATACTTTCTAAGATTATTGAGACATCACTGATTAATGCTGATTCCCAAAAGAGGGTTGATGTCAGGCAGGCGGCCTGTCGTAAAAAACAATTAGCCAAAACTATTCACAACATGTAAAGCAGACCCTGGCTATAGCTGGGAAATTGCTAGGTAGAAGAAGAAGAAGTAACAATAACTTGATCACTTTATCCTTATAAAATGTTATTGATAGTCTTACTTGTATTGTAGTAGTGATGAGTAAGGCGCCACTACGGGCACTGCGAACAGCAGTTCGTCTTCATCAAGCGGAGCGCCCGTCAGTTGACACAGGAGCTCCGCGTCCGCATCCGCCGCGGGTTCCGCTTCAGGCTGCAAAAAAACGACTCTATTTATAAAACCATAGGGCTGATTTTTCTAATAATCTATATGCTTGTATAAACTCTCAGCTACATCACTTAGAATTTTCGTCCAAATTCGTGATAATTTTTGACTTGAAAGAGTATTAAACATCCAATCATTTAAGTATCGTCAAAATTCGTCGAAAAACTTTACGTGAAAGAATAACTAGTATCCAAAAATGTGAAATTTGATTTTATAACTATAATATAATATATGAAAAGGAAGGTGTTTATGATATGTTCTGTCTGCAACCCATCATTGAAGCAAGTTATATACCTTCATAAAGTTTTCTTATATACCTTTGCTGTGTCTTATTTAAATGTATATTATAATCTGTCCCCACCTCATTCTCGGGGGGCGGTTCTTCGTCTGACTCCGCCTCCAGTAGTACGGGCGCTGGTTGTGGTATCTTCTTGACGGCCTGCTTCTGTTTACTCTTGCTAACCTGCTTCTGGGCTTTCTTCGTCTCTTTGAGCACTTTTATCTGGCTGGAAGTATCAATAACGGTTGATGTTAAAAATATTTTGTATTAATTTTATAATTTAACATGAAATGCGTCTTTTAGAACTTGTAGCATTCGTAAATCAAGTATGTTGAAAATATTACGATCATAAACACAGACAACTGAATTTATGTATTATACAGGGTGACTGGTGAATTACTATCAATATGTAGTCGGTACATGATTCCCATAATTATGTAAAAAAAATAGGTACTTAATTTTTGACCAAATTTCCGTATAAATAAATAAAGTGTTGACACGTTCCAAGTGTGTTCCATGTGGAATATAAAACCACGCCCCCGCCGCGTGTGTGTGAGTGTGTGTGTATACCTAATCTGTATGTTCACATGCGTAATTAATTACACAGGTTAACTTTAACTTAGAAGTTTTGTATATTATTTTTATTTTGTCATATATGATCGTCAACTATCACGTCCTCAAATATCGATAGTAATTCACCAGTCACCCTGTATATTAAAGTCCAATATATAAAGTTTGTTAAAACAATAGATTAGGTAAGGAGAGTAGACAATTTTCTGATGCATTGTCACGTGACTTTACAACAATGAATTAACAACATATTAGATTGGGTGACCTAGCATAGCATTGGTATTTTGAATAAAGCCTCAAAGCCTCACTACTTCTATACAAGAAATACTGAGTAACTCTAGTAAGTATGTGTGACCCGCGCGTTATTATATGACTAGAAGACCCGGCGAACTTCGTATCGCCCTAGACTCAAGAAATATCTGTTACGTTTTTTTTAATAAATAAATTTAGATTATACCTTAGCCTCAAAAACACGTGGTGGTTATGCTTTTATGTATTAAATAGTCGCTCATATAAATACGTTTGTATTTTTAACATAAATCCATCTATTGAATACTTAACTCAGTCAACAGATAATTGTAATAATGACAAATAATTTTCTTTAATAGACAAATAATATAGTGACTATAAATTGAGATGTAAGCTATCCTATCTTTCAAGTTGGATCAAAATGCACACGGAATGCAAATCAAATTTAAAATCTGTTTAGTAGTTTAGGGGTCCATCGCGGACAAACACGTGACATTACTATTTTTAAGGACGTGGTATTGACGATCATATATGACAAAATAAAAATTAATATAACATAAATATTAATAAACTTCTAAGTAAAGTTAACCAAAGGTTATGTAATTAATTACGGATCGTGTGGATACCCTAGCTGCGTTATCGACACAAAACAGTTACGTACGTAGGTACATTTAGTTATCGCGCGGTAGTTTACCTACATCCAAACGCCGCGCGCCGCCGGGTGTTAGACCTTAGATAAACAAAAATGATCATACTTTAATCCTGGCTTAGGACAAGCAAAAATACCAAGATATTTCATTCGTTTAAGCAACCAATTTATTGACTAGGTAAATGGTGTGAACTTGACACAAAAAATAATATGAACTGTTTACCTATCTTGGTATTTCCGGCGTATTTAAAAATGGAATCATACTTATTTACAACAATTGTCAATCATTAAACTACCTATTTACCTACATAACTACACTAACCTTAACGAATGTTCAAAGCGAGCTCCTTCTCGTGTGATACACAGTTCGGCACGTTTACACATATTCTCTTTCACACGATTTAATACGAATGGGTCACTTTTAATAGTTTTGAAATCACTATTGATTTTTAATTTCAACTCCTCTCTGTTTACATACTCTGTAGCATACACAGGACGTTTCCTTGGGCATGTGTTGGAACACGGAACTGTCCGAAGTCTCGTAATCTTTGATTAGCGTTTAAGATGACGCTGGCCGTAGGTACTCGACGATTGGGGAACATCTCCTGGTACAAATTGATTGCGCCCGGCAATGTCCATGTCCAAGTATTCTGCATTTGTGTATTGAAAAGCCATACTTAATTACTAATAAGTAATAACGGGTCACACGCACACACGACTGATTATTATTAGGTATACGCGTAAGATCGATCGCTAGGCGCGCGCGCGGGAAGACGAACGTACGGACCTTACGGCGGCGCTCGCCCGAATAATTAGCCACGGGGCGTCGGTGGGGAGTAGCGACACACTGGCGCCGGCAAAGCGGGGTACGTGTCCAAACTTTATTTATTTATACGGCAATTTGGTCAAAAATTAAGTGCCTATTTTTTTTACATAATTCGAATGAGAATCATGTACCGACTATGCTCCTTAAATATTGATAGTAATTCACCAGTCACCCTGTATATACGTATAGCCGTTCTTGAGTTATAAATAGTGTAACTAATAAGAATTTTTATTATACATATAGATAGAGAATATTTATTATAGCAGTCCCAGTACTATATATAACACGAATCTGTCCTTCCAGGTGGACCACGCTACGGGCGAAGTGTTCGTGGCCTCCAAGACACGGACCATATCTGAAATGTCTGATAAAAGTAAGGATCCAACTATTTAAATACATATTATAGTAAAATATTCAATTCAACATACTTACAAGAAACTTTGCATACAATTATTGGTTACGTCTGTTAAAAAATTTCTGTATGGCTTAATTCATATAATAATTTAAATATATGTATAAGAATGAACATGGTAGGATGTAGTGTGCATTACAATTTTATTAAAAAATCCTGCAACAGTTTTATACTAACGCCTTAACTATGAACCGTCTGAACATACTCAGAATTTAATTTCAAATTTCAGGCGAAGAACCCATGACCTTCCCCAGTCTGCCAAAAAAGGGCGGCAAAAAACCTCAGAAGGAAGTTAAGAAGAAAGAAGAAGTTAAAGAGAAGCAAGGACCGAAACGAGGACAGAAAGGAAAACTCAAGAAGATAAAAGAAAAGTACAAGGACCAGGATGATGAAGACCGAGCGCTCATGATGGAGATACTCAAGGTTGGGACATCTTTATATACAGGGTGACTGGTGAATTACTATCAATATTTAAGGAGCATACTCGGTACGTGATTCTCATTCGAATTATGTAAAAAAAATAGGCACTTAATTTTTGACAAAATTTCCGTATAAATAAATAAAGCGTGGATACGTTCCAAGTGTTCCAAGTGTGGACGCGTCGGCGGCGTGCTGATACAACACTACGCCGCCGACGCGTATGTGTGAGTGTGTGTGTATACCTAATCTGTAGGGTGTTCACACGATGCGTAATTAATTACATAACTTTTAGTTAACTTTACTTAGAAGTTTATTAATATTTATGTTATATTAATTTTTATTTTGTCATATATGATCGTCAAATATCACGTCCTCAAATATCAATAGTAATTCACCAGTCACCCTGTATATATTTAATTTTGTAGAGAGTTAAGTTAAAATCAGGCAACGGACCAAATATACTTTTGAATTGAATCGATAAAAAAAATCAAATAAAAGCCAAAATCGGCATATTCACTGCCTCTAAATCGAAACAGTTTACCAGGTCCGCTATACATTTCTAATTATGAAATTAACGCGGACAAAGTCGCGGACAGAAACTAGTATAATATTAATATGAACAAACCTTCACATGTGTATGTAATACTCCAGTTTCACTATCAGACTCGCTCTCTTCATTTTTCAAATCATCTTTGGTTTTTAATTCATTTTCATTATTATCTGTATCTTTGTTGTCCAACTCTTCTTTATTTTTTTCCTTAGATTTATCTTCTATATTTTCTTGTATTTCTATTTTCGTAACTTCTTCGGCTATTGTATTCAATTTTTTCTCCTTGTCTTCGTTGTCTGAAGGTTCGTCTGCAAAAAATAATTATATTGTAAATATATTACTGATACATCTCTGATGTTGATTAAAGCTTTTAATTTATAGTAATAAAGTAAAAAAAAAATATGTCAATGTATCTAACAGCACCAAATAAAATGTATTAGAATGTTTGACGTTAAATTTAAAAGTACTTTAATGACATTTGGCATTATTTCAAAGTCAATGAATTATTTTAATATTGTTCCAGGACTTGCGTCTTCATGACCATTGATTTAACAGATCATATATTTGGAAGATTATTTCAAATGATCACAGTCATACGAATGTCCCTGGTCATATTATTTCAATGAACTCTAAGTGTTTTACTAGCTTTAAATTCCTACCGTCATCCGACACTACAATTTCCTGTTCGTCCGCGCTGATGACGGATGTGACGTCACTCGCGTCATCAGCTTGAACAGCCTTCCGGTCGTCGCGGTGACGGTCGATGGAACTATCTTCAAGCTGAAAGTGGATAAAAATATCATCACAGCCACAGGTCAACATATAATGGTCATTTAAATGCTGGCTTAGACTTAGTTTTCTATACAAAATAGTATATAATATATAGGAGTAAATATATACCAATTTATGTAGGACTAGGACTATGCTGGTTCGCGTATAATTTTTCTATGACCGTATGTCACAGACACAGGTCAACATAGGACGGTCATTTAAATGAACTGCTGACTTAGATTTAGTTTTATATACAAAATAGTAGATATGTAGGAGTAAATATATACAAATTTATGCTATATTATGGTGGTTTTAGTGTTATTTATATGTATTTCTCACCCTGAACATAAAGCTGAATCCGAACTGCAGATGTTCAGGCAGCAGGTAGTTCTTCTTTCCGCGGATCATGAACGAGCCAGTTGACAAATATTCACCCGTCGGAGCTGACTTGGACACTTGGTGACCGTGCACCCACCACGCACGAGTCAGGACTTTGGCTTCCCATGCAACACTGAAAGATATTCATGAATTAGTGTATGAAGATATGTTTTTAATTTGATATAAAGATATAATCTTTATAATAGAGTTGAAAATATTTGTCAGAACAAGTGTGAGAACATAGCGAGAAACTAGCAAAATAGTTAAGATATTTCTTCTTACTTTTCAACAGACTATCTCTCCATGTGACGTCATACACATTTTTGAATCTAATATCTGTAAATCTCCATGGCTTTAGACTTGCTTGTCTGTATGCGACGGCATCACCGACATATATTCAATCTATATATTTTCCAGACCTTAAAGTTTCTTACCTGTATGCGACGGCAGCTTGTCCCGCTTCACTGAGCGTCCTTGGGGGCGGAGGTCCCGAGGGACATTTAATGACCACCGATGAAGCCCCAGATACATCCGCGTGAACATACACGTCTGTAGATCTCATATAACGCTTCACTAGCAACTCATTCTGTTGCTGGTCACGACCGGCTATCACCTGGAACAGAGATAGAACGTAATGGTCCAAGGAAACAAGATAAAGAATGTAAACAAAACCATCATTTATTGAGAGCCAAATTTTGATTCTACTTCTATTAGACTATTTTTAAACAAATCAAAGGCAAACAGAGTTTAACATTGTAGACTATAACTACAAAAATGTTTAGTTTTACCTTTTCCTTTATTTACTAAGTTGGAATAAACGAATAAAAGACAAAAATATAGCATTCGATATTGTTAATAGTACATACCAAGTAGTTATCAGATGATATGAACCAGTAGAATTTCTCGAACCAGTAGTTCCTCCTCGCCTTACTGATGCTGCTAATAGCCTGGGCCTCCTTCAGAGTCTGTTTAGTTTTCTTCTCAGCGCTCTTCAGCGCTTTGTCTGCTGACTCCAGCGTCTTTTGCTGCTTCTTGGCAGCATTGCGTTTTTGATCGTAGTAACTAAAATATATGATAAGTATTTCGTTTATTTTATCTAACAAGTTTTTTTTTCTTATAATTACAGTCAGGACCGATATGGATATATATATATATAATATACGATATGGATCCGGTTTAAGCTAGTTTCTTTGCGGTGGTTTTAGCTCCATTGAGTTAATATCGACTTAGATGTGTGAGTGGCGTATACAAAATTTTAGATATTTCTGGCCTATGACTATTAAGTGCCTTAGAGGTGCCAGTAAAACCAAAAATTTAAATGATACTTAATGCATATCGCCTTTTTAAATTCTAATAACATTTTCTTCTCTATTATAAATTTAATTGCGCGATAAAGTAAGAATATAGTGACCATTGAAATCAATCTGAATTGTTTTAGTAAAAAAAGTCATCAAAATTAATATACCGTCTAGCGTTAGCGAAGGCAGTCAAAGACAGGTCGATATCAACCATCATCGGTTCCAGCCTCTCTTTATCACCGCCGCCGTTACTTTCATCATCATTATCATCGTCATCATCATCATCATCATATGGATCTTTGAGCAGCAACGTAATGTGGTTGGTGTTCAATTTCAGTTGTTTTATAGCCGACGCCACAGGATCTTTATTGTCTTGAGCCGTTTTCACTAATAATTTGATGTCATCCCAGCTCATCTGAAAATTAATTTTATTACATATAGTTTTTCAACTTTTAGAAATTCTTAATTTATGTGTATACTGTACTACTTCATTGACTGTATGTCCATAAATTTCCCAATAATTTTTTGGCTTGCATCATAAGAGTCGACCGATTTTGGCGAAACTTGATATGTACTTACAATGATAAAATCATTGTCTTCTAAGTATTCCATTGGATGTACAACATACGAACGTATAACACATTGTTAAATTTCCGAGATTAGTCATCAAAGAGAGATATCTCTAGCACTATATATTTGAGTTAACGACTAAACAGAGTTCTCAGTATCTCCTAATACAAATAAGGAACTCTTTGTAGAGGAATAGCAGTTAGGTGAGAAGGTTTGTACATAATTGTTGTGAAGATACAATTTTTGGGCAAAAAGAAAATCAAACCGTGTTGCTTAATCTGCGTCTTTGTCATAACATTCTGTCTCTTTGTTAAAAAATGTCTTTAAATGATGGTGGATTGGCAACAGAATATGGTGAAGATCTCTGATGTTAGTAGGGTGGATTTTGTACGGAATCTCTTTAAGCTGTTATATATTATATAGAAGAAAGTCATGACACACTATTTATAAAATAATTCAAGAAAAGTTGTAAGGAAATGGTTGAAATTTGTGGGGATATAGCTTTGTACCAGGAAACTGATATAGGATATCTAATCCTGTTCGACCAAAAAGACTTAATAAATTCCAGTATCTGTTTATTTACGACCTCAATGACAGAAGAGTTCCCTCGATCAGATGTACATATATCACTAATTCCGATATTACCGCGGACGAAGTCCCTGGCAAAAACTAGTATATATATACCTGGTTGGCTATAGCCGTCTGTATGGCGAGTCTCGCTTGTTCCACTAGCGGTTCGTTCCTGGCTATCATTTCAGCCGCCCGCCGATCCTCGAGCTGAACCTTCTCCAAGTTACTGAGTCTCTTCTCGTGATCGGTGCGAATATTCTGCAGCTTCTTCATAGCCTCACGTTCGACTTGAATTGTCTGAAAATAATAAATAATCCATATATTCAAATGATACTGATACTTATACGCTTTGTAAATCAAAAGTGTTTGCTAAAGCATTCTTCAAAAACAAATAATAATGTAAAATTTAATGTAGGAATATGAGGATATATATAAAATTATATTTGCTAATGAGTATGAAGTTGCCTTTTCTCTGAAATTATCAGATGTATAGAAGTCGGTTGTAAGGGAAACAGCGCTTAAGAACCATAAAGTCAAATTGCTTAATTATATACACTTCACCATGAATAACTTGCAGAAAGTATTTATTTTAACTATCTAAAATTTTTTTGTTCTCCAAATAAATAGCACTCTTATTGTATATACCTTAAGATCTATTTTCTGTCCTTCCAAAGCCGAATAGAATTCATCGACTGCTCTATCAAAGGTGTCATACTCCACATACACCTGGTCTTTATTCTGAAGGTACAGCAGGGGATGGAACTCCTGGTTGGTGAGGAAGAAGTCGGGCCCACCGTCTTTATTTGGACGATCTTCTCTCTTTTGGATTATATAACCCTGGAAGACATATTTATTGTAAAAAAACACGATCGCTGTAAAGTAGTGTTGCGATCACGGTTGCTGTAAAGTAGCCGAAACGATGGGTGTGTGAGTTTTTTTAATCAAAAATGAAGTCGCGTAGTTAGTAGTAGTAGTATCAGAAACATATTAGTTTCTTTTAAATGGATAAAACTCGCGAAAATCTTAAAAGTCATTATATTTCAGTTAATTTATCTTTAATGATAGCCCTTTATGTCACTTAAACTGTTTGCTGTTACTTGTTAGTACTTCATCTAAAGTATAATTTGGAAATGAAATTATTCTTTTCAAAAATTTCGAAATTTCAGATAGAATTCTCTCTTAGTAAATATTTATTTCTTAATAACATTTATTACATAATATATTTTATTTGTACCGGTTGCGAAATATCTGTTTTACAAGTATAACTAAAATTCATGGTACTTTTCTTAGAGTAACTATTATATATATTCATATATTAAATATAATATAGTTTGTAAGATATCCCTAAAGTATATACTGTAATATTTATTATAAAAATGTACCTTAGCTGTTTGATTCTTTCCATTCTCTATAATAGTCTCAGCTTGTTTCAGAGCATTTGCTAGCGTTTCCAAATCCCTTTCCATATAAAATCCTTTGTTAGGATCCTGTGATATCTTTAAGTTACCAGACAGACCACTTTGCAGCAGAACATGATCTATTATTGATGCACCATATTCTAGAAATTCATCAAATTATTATGTGTTAATAAATTTGCAGATAACATTTTGTCTCATAAGGATGGTAAACAAGGAATAAGATTATTTTATTAATGAATAATAATATTTGTACCTAAATTAGGATTAAGTATTTTCTTCAGATTATCACCAGGTTTGCTCTTTCCTAATATCTCTTTAAGAGCATCTTCATTTGGTGCTGAATAGTCCGTTTTGAGCTCTGTCAAGAGGATACTTTTCTTTGACTGCAAACCTAAAAAATAATTTTATATTAAATGCATAATATAGAAAATATTCTTTTCTAATATAAACTGACCTAACATTATTATCTTAATGAAATAAAAATTAAATACATAGGTATTTAATTAATCTTTTGCTAGATTTTTGGCTAAACTAAATAACTTGTCTTAAATTTTTTTATCATATTCCTATGCTGTATAATAGATATCAAATAAATAATTAGGAAAATATTAAATTAAACAGTGGGCAAGTAAAACAAATATTATATCTATGTAAATGAAACTACAATTTTTTGGATATACAACGTGAGCTTCATTTTTGTAAAAAACTAGATACTCCCGACGTTTCGGCGTTTGGTTGCTTAAAAGTACCCGAAAAATAGTAGTTTCATTTAAATGAATACAACTCGCGAAAATCTTAGATCTCATTTATATATCTTATATATAAAATTCTCTTGTCGCGGTGTTAGACAGAGAACTCGTCCGAAACGGCTGGACCGATTTTGATTAAATTTTGTGAGCGTATTGAGTGGGTCTGAGAATCAGCTAACATCTATTTTTCATACCCCTAAGTCATAAAGGTTGTTCAGTCTTAATTGTTTTTTAATTCAGACAAAAAAAATTGTTTTTATTTTTTTATAATGTAGCATTAAAAAATACATAGAACCCAAAACTTTTTCGTTTGTAACACGAATCCCTATTTTATATGGCAAAACAACGTTTGCCAGGTCAGCTAGTTAAATCTAATAAATAATTAATGAAAAAACAAAACATTACCTTATTTTATCTCCTTCGACGTGTGGACGTAGTACATTCAGTATTGTCCACTCGTAATCCGTCAGAACTATGTTTCCTCGGTCATATAGTTCCAGTATAACATGATACGCGGCCTCACCGCTACCAAACTGTAACTCCACTATTCTGTCAATACCCAGCTGGCTTAGCTTCTCCAGACGCTTGTTTTTAAGATGTTTCCGGAGCTGAAAAGGATAACCATTAATTGAAATACTATTTTTAATGAGTATATATCCATACCTCCTACATAAGTTTTTGTAACTCCAAAACTGTAATTTTACAGTAGAGTGTTTTAAAGATACAAATTAAATCAAAATTTGCATTTATTGATGAATCTTTTTAAAATTTCGTATTTAAATTTAACATAATAGTCTTCTTAACTACGTTAAAAGATATTTTAATTAATATGCCTAATTGCAGAGATATTGTTGTTATATTGTTCATACGACATTTTACTCCGGAGTAGAAGCTAAAAAAGGTGTTGTATCTGAAACTTACAACATTATAGTGTGGCACCCAGGTAGCATCACTTGTGGTGTATGATAGTTACAACTGTATACGTTGAAAAATATAAGTCTTACTCAGTTGTATGTAACCAATACGCGGCTTGAGTTCGTGATTTTACCCACCTCGCACCCCGCGTAAACAATTGCATAGGCATATACATCAGTGTAATACGTTCGCGTTTGAAAATTACAACATTATGCCTCTGACAAATCCTTTAAAAATAGTGTTTTTGTCGTTTTTTTTTACTTGGAATGGATGTAATGATCCTTTATATGATATTTTCAGAATAAAAGCAAAATAGCATTTTTGTGGTATACAACAATTTATGTGGGAGGTATCAATATATTTGTTATGTATTAGTTATGCTTGCTTGGTATTGTTAAAATAATAATATGATGTCAAGTGTAATGTAGGTGGATTACTTTATTATATCAGTTGCTATCATTCAACTGTATATATTGTGCTTAGTATCAAACTTGATACTAAGCACAATATATACATGACTAATTTAATATAGTTTTATTAAATGCTACAATATGGTGAGTGTCATTTTGTAACATGAAAAGCAACAATAATATTTCTTAAAGTAATTACAGTGTTAAGTTAAAAATATTGAAGACATTCAAGCTGATTTTGAGAGCATTTGAAGTAGTGTAAGTTTCCAAAGTTACAGTAATTTGCTTTAAGCAGGACAAAGTTACTCAAAACACCATTATAAATGTTATCTAAGAATTATGATAAATCGGATTGGTTTAAAAAGTTTTGAAGAATCATACCAAATTTCAGCTGGGTGCGAATTATTGTAACTTGGGGGCCGTTTAAGTATTATGTAAGCATATTTATTATAAATATTTACCCCTCCATCCCCCTTGTCAGCAAAAGTAAGCAAAGCTCTTAACCAGCTCCCCCCATGCTTATGTAAACATTTGCAATTACTGAATTGGTTTTTTTTTAATATAAATTCATTAAAAAATAATAATTATATTTTTTTATGGATCTTCTCTCTAAAATAGTAAATAACTACTGACGTCGTAATCATCATCTAGACTCCCCTACCCCCCATGTCATCCATAATAAGCAAAGCAAAGACCTCCCCGCCCCTCCATAGTGCTAACGTAATACTTGAATGGCCCCTTGATTCCTATTTTTGGGTCTAATTTGACTTGATGGGAAGTATAAATTTACAAATTCACATATGTAATCTAAATTTTTTCTACTGTTTTATTAATTTTTAAGCTATTTTAATGAAGATTATAATATTACATAGCTACATAAAACTGTCTATATGACATTTTTCCATATTATCACAATATAAAACTAATTCTTATATAGTACCATATCCGAATAAGTTTTTCATACAAATAACTTTTAGTATTTAGTTTACCTTCATAGTGAACCCAGATGGAGCCACATTCTTGGGCCATTCAAACTGTGTTGTGTGGAACCTGTTCCCCGACTCCAGTAGCAGCACAGCCTTCTCTTCGGACCTCTGTAGTCGGATCACATATGTCTTGTTATCAATATCATACACTTGATTAACTCGCATACCCACCAGTCTGGAAATAGTTTTTTAAACAGTCAGGGTCGTTACTATGGCAGAGTTTAATTTTAAATATTAGTTAAGTGATTTTTAATTTTGTTCTGCATCTATTTTAATTGTATTTTTTCGGTACTTGTAAAATATTACGTTAACGATAAAAACATTTACCGCGTAACGTTAGATTCAAGTGCATAAACAATTTCAAATGCAAATAGCCACATTTTTTTGCCATTGTTTAAAATTTCGATTACGAAAGCTCTTCAATATAAAAAAATGTTACCTTTGCAGTTCCGACACCATACACACAATATCGTAAGTATTAAATCTTGTCTTCATTTTGGTTTAGAATTTTTATACTATATATACCCTTTAAAAGAACTTGAATAATTTTCAAGTTAGCTTTATAACTATATTCTCATCATAGCAATTAGCAATGTATTCGTGTTTTAAAATCGGCCGAAAAACCGAGTGTAAAATCGCAAATATGAAATACCACAATATTCCAAATATTCTGTGTACGTCAAAGTCCATGTCAGATTGACACGTGTGTCTTATTAGAAGAAATATTGGTGTTGTATTTGAAAAAAAACCCAATGAAAATAGAAACACATCTTCAATCAATGATCAATCAAGGATGGAATTGTGCTAGACGCATACATATATAATTATAGATTTAAGCTTTATATTTGAATTTATGAGGATATAAATTTGTAATAAAATCTTATTTACTAACATAACAAGTGTATATGGCAAACCAAAGTTCAAAAATTCAAAATAAATGTTTAATGTGCCTACTATTTAATATTTACTGTTTTCGTAAGTTAAGGTTATAAATTGTACATATACTGTAAGATTTGTTAAATGTTAGTCTTCTTATAAAATAAAATGGGTCAGAAAGATGATATATATCAAAACTTTCAACTGAGACCTATGAAATGTGAACTTAATTTTCTTAGCAGATCTGATGGTTCGGCGATTTTATCTCAAGGTAAATATTCATTGTAAAGAAAATATGACTGGAATATTTTGTTTATAATCGAGATATATTGAAAGTTCTCTCCTATGCACATCAAGAACTAAGTATATTAATTTTAAAAATACAATTTCAGGTGAAACTGTGGTCACAGTAAGTGTGAATGGTCCATTGGACATCAAAACAACCAGTCAGAGTATAGAGAAGGCGACTCTTGAAATTCTGTTCAGTAGCAAGGGAGGAAAACCGTCAGTTGCTGATAGGTAATTGAGAATATTGTCTCATTATTTAATTCCATATATTTGTTTATTGCAACTTAATTCAGAGTTAAATTGTTTTATATTAAATACATTAAGTATTTATTTTGATAATAATTAGAATATATGTGCGATTTTTTAATAGAACAAGTGTCTGCCTCATACAGTTTTCTATGTATAATATATTATAATTTTATCTGCAGGTTTAAAGAAAATGTAATAAGACAAACATGTGAAACAGCTATATTAGGATGTTTGTATCCTCGAACGGGAATAACTATTACAATACAAGAGTTAGAAGACTATGGAGGGGTGAGTTGGAAATAATAATATGTGAATTAAATATAAAGTTTTTGTAATGTTTAAGACTGCTTGAAATGTATTAACACAATAAAATTAGTTTGGAAATCCCTACTATATATATATATATATATATATATAATATTATAAATGCGAAAGTAACTCTGTCTGTCTGTCTGTCTGTCTGTCTGCTACGCTTTCACGCCTAAACCACTGAACTGATTTTAATGAAATTCGGTACAGAGATAGAGTTGACCTTGAGAAAGAACATAGGATAGTTTTTATCCCAGACTTTTGAAAGGTTCTCTTGGAAACGCGATATAACCAAACTCCACGCGGCGAAGCTGCGGGCGGCAAGCTAGTTACTTAATAGATCTCATGAGCTTTGAAAATTATTAAAAGTGTGAAATCTTATATTGCAATATTTTATACATTGATTGATTGATTTATATATAGATTTATGGTATAATGAAACTGATTTCTTTATATGTATAAGAACTTGATAAGAATGATTGTTTCCTTAAAATTATTTATTCAAAATGAGTTATCATATCACATAAAGATTGGAAAAAAATGTGTGTAATGTAAAAAAGTAATATATGTAGTTGATTTTAAAAATACATATAAATTAATAGTCTAATTACCACTTTTAAAATACTGGTTACATATTAACCATGTTACAATTTTTATTTATACAATGTATCTATGTGTTCATATTATAAGCAAACTAGTTCACTTTTTATCTCTTTCACTTGCAGCTTCTTTCCTGTGCAATCAACTGTGCATGTCTAGCTCTTCTCAACAGCGGTATATCATTACATCATGTTGTAGCAGCGGTGAGCTGTATAGTAGATGAAACTGGAAATATTGTATTGGAACCTGAATATCAGCAGGTTCAGTCTGCCGCTACCAAGTTATACTTTGTGTTTGATAGCAGAGATAAGAATCTTGTTACAGGTGAGCATAATTCATTAGTTGTATTGTTTATGACTTGAATTCTCATTACATTTCTTAGTAAGGGTTATTTTAAATTTAATTATATTGTTGGGCGGCTAAGATAAGTTCAATGGTTGATACATTTTCATTTTGTCTTACTGTGATAGGGATTTTTGTAAAATAATTGAAACATCAGACTTTAGAAGGGATAGATATGTATGTGAAAATTGTAGAAAGTATTATTAATTGCTATGTTATAAACTATGGTAAAGATGTAGCCTTCAGAAAAATAATATAAAAAGTTATATTTTTTTATTATTATTAAGTATTAATCATAAATTGTGGCGGCCTAGTTGTTAAAGGCAAGCCTCTCATGCATGAGGGTGTGGGTTCTAAGAGTATGTAGACACCAACTGACAGGCAGTGAAGGAAAACATTAGTAAAAAAATCTGGATTTATAATTTCAAATTATAAGTTAAATGTGTCATTTTATTTGTAGGTTTCACTGAGGGTGCCGTTGGTGAAGATATGTACCTTGAGGCTTTAGAAAAATGCCGGGCAGCCAGCGATCTAGTGTTCAACTTCTATAGAGATGTAGTGACGAAATACAGCAATGTTATATAATAGGGATATTATTTTGACTGAATAAGAATTAATAAATATTTTTCTATGGACAATTGGATCTTTTCGTAAAATGTGAAGTGATTTATGTTATGTTTACTTGTGTAAATGCCTTAAGTGCACTTATAAATGTTTTCTATCTATGTATTTTGTGTACAAAACATATGTATGTATATAATATTATATAAATATAAGTAATTGATTTTATTTTTCAGTTCAGGTCATTTCTGTTAGTTTAATCTATTATGGCATGATCACACTATATTAAACATAATAATTAACACACACTATATACTGTGATTATAACAATGTGGAAAATATATTCTGTTCTTTATTAATTGCAATCTTCATATGTGTGGAAACGTGCTAATATATTCTGGTTATATAGCTTTGAAGAAAAGTGATAAGAACAGAGATTAACTTGTAAATATAATAAAAGCGGCAGACTACCCTCACACCTAACGCCCCGACACGATAGGTTACGCCAAAAAATGTTTTCTTAGGGACTTACGACAAAATAAAGACTAACACTTCACACATAAAAGCCTAGGAAACACCATAACTGCACAAACACACAATATATCGCCATCGCAGCCAAAAAAAAGGGACCCGTTTCATAGATGTCGCTACGGTGGTCTGTCGCACATGTTATAGGGAGAATATATACAGGGTGAAAGAGATTAGTTATAAACAATCAAAAAAATCATATTGACAGGTGGAGTAATCCTTGATCATAATATGTGGAAAATTAGTTGTATGACCATATGAAAGACCAAGATGCAAAGGCGGCAAAGAGCAGAAATTATCTAACCACTCACTTCTCATGACCCCACTAACTTCTGGTACATTGGTACTTGCTCAAGGTGATTTCTCTTCGTATTCTGACTCCATACAAGTTATTATCGCTATTCCGGTATTTTTTTTTTCTCGATTGGAAAATCCTCATGGAGTCGAGCCGCACTCGAGGAGCGACGAAGGGTACTGTCAGACTCTCAAACTGACTAAATCCAACGAAGTTTTCACAAAACTGTGCTCGATATTATTTACTACGGCAAAATTTATAAAGGTGTTTTCTGGAAAATTTCTATTTTTTAACTATAAAGTATCTTAATGCATTTCCTGATATGGTGTTCTAATTCTTTTATCGTGGACAGCATTGGAATTTGTTATAAGAATGATCACTTGATCTTACATCTGTTTACTAGTGGGCAAGATTATTTGAGATTATTGCATAGTATTTTCTCTACAAAATCATATTAAAAAAACAGTAATTTGTTTCAACAATGCCTGGGGTCAATTGAAACGCTTAAAAATAATTGAAAATATAATCATTTATCATGTTTCATTAATCATCTAATGACATTTTATAGTCAATCTTTCGCGATACTTATAATCTAACATTATTTTTATTAGGTCTTATATAATAAGTCTTATATTATATTAGGTACAACAAACTAAATAATAAACATTCGTCGGTGTCGATAGTTTTACAGTATATGTGTATATATATTTTTTTTAAATAATAATATTTCAAAAAGAAATATTTGAATTGTTACGAGGTTATTCGGAGTAATATGTTATTAGTTTTTTCGCAAATGCTACAAACGTACGCGCAGGCGCTGTAGAGGCATTTGAGACAACTGTACGCAGTTTTTTCTTTCACATCAGTCTGTGTTTTTAATTTTAACGGTATAGAATTAAAAAGAACATTTTTAAATAAAGCATTTTTTTCATCATAAACCAAAATAGAAAAAAAAGATTATTCCTTTTTGTAATAAGGAATTGTAAACAAAAAATCGAAATTCGTAGGTAAACTTGCCCCTTAGTTTTAGTAGTCGTGCCGCGTGCGTATTCTTGTGGGGTAAATAAACGCACTTCTTAAACAATTTTCAAGCACAAAAGAGCCTCTTATATAAGCAGTGCACTCTTCGTGCCACCAGTCATCACAAACTACACTTGATCAATTCTTCTGATGGAGTTTTTCATACTTTTTTTGATAAAGTGGACAGTGGCAACCTCTCTCTTTGGCCTTAGAGGTACCTGCTAGGCTTACGTCTATTTCTGGTAACTTTTCCTTATTTGGTTTCAGTAAAAACTCGTGCCTGGTTTTTAGCAGAAGTATATAAGTGGAACTTTTGTTCATTTTCTTTTTCTTCTTCTAATTGTTGTTTGTAAGGTAAGTAAGCAGTGGCGTAACTACAGGGTGGCAAGTCGGCAAAATGCCATGAGCTCCCAGCCGGCCCAGGTCAGATGAAGATATCTATTCCCGACATCCCTACTTATAAATGCGAAAGTAACTCATTCTGTCTGTCTGTTACGCTTCCCCGCCTAAACCACTGAACTGATTTTAATGGAATTTGTTACAGAGATAGAGTTGACCTTGAGAAAGAACATAGGATAGTTTTTATCCCAGACTTTTGAAAGGTTCTCTTGGAAACGCGATATAACCGAACTCCACGAAATAATGATAAATATTATTTCTCTGTTTCTTAATCTGGTGTAAAGTTAGAACATAAATGGCTGTTCTATTCTCTATTGCTTCAAAAGGCATATAGTGAACCGTGTAGGTTATATTTTATTTTCAATTCTTTACTCTGTTTCCTCTTTCTATAATTTCGAAAGCCAATAATCGTTTTTGGACCTATGTTTTTCCCATATTAAATAAACTATTTTATCTTGGTTTATTTGTTTTATTTTTAGTATTTTAACCGAAATCATCGATATGTTAATTAAGAATTTTAAATATAAATAAGTACCTATATACAATTTACATGTGGATATTTTGACTAACATATACACAGTATATATATTTTATGAATCAATACAAAATTAAAAGAAAAAAAAAACGTTTTTAAAATAAATTACAAAATGTTAATGGATTTCCTCCATTGTATATTTTCAACGACTAAAAAAAGGATTAAAGAATTTTATTCTCAAAAAGACATAGTAACTTACATGAGAACATACATACAAAAGTGAAAATACAAAAGGGGTCGCAAGATTATTTGGAACTCAATTAAAGATAGTAAGATATTATTACAAGTGTGTTACATCGTTGGTAAGTATATCAATTATTTTCTAAAATATGTTGTGAAAGTTGAGATTTAAATTCGTTAATCGAGCTTGCATTTCTTATAGTAGACGGTAATTTGTTGTAAAGTTGTACTCCCTCAGATGTAATATCCTTTTTTTTTATTTTTTCCCTAGTCTTTGGGAGAACTAGTAAGCTTTAGAGTGTACAGATTTATTAATAATTTTTCTTATTAGAATGCATTAATTGTATATATAAAGTTGTTTTAAATTCATAATCTTCGTTTCTTCAAAAATTTTAACTGTAGATGTAGATAACGGATATTTAAAGAGTATTTTTATTATTTTATTTTGTTTTCTTTGAAGTTCTTGTAATTTTGTTTTTTAGCATTACCCCATACTTCAATTAAATATAACAAATTGGATTTACCTAAAGAGTTGTAAATATTATAGTGTAGTTTTTGTGGTATACACCTAGAAATATTCTTTAGTGACCCAATTAAAGAGGACAGTTTTCTTTTAATATGGTCTATTTGAATGTGAAAATTAAGGTAGTTATCTATTCTTAAGCCAAGATATTTTTCGCAGGTTTTTTGCTCGATTACAATGTTGTCAATAGTTAGCGGATCATGTTGCAAAATTTATTTTATTTTTAGGTTTAAATATTATGTAACATGTCTTAGAAGCATTTACAACAGACTAACTATCAAGTATTTAAGTGTATAGTAAAAAAATGTATGTCAGTAAAAATGTCACAAATGACTCGAAGTGAACGTCACGCATCAGGAAGTTACTGTCAAACGGTTTTTTCGAACAAATGGCAATTGTTTATAAGCGTATTGGCTCTAACGCCGTAGTCTTTAATTAGGTTTGTTATTTCAAATGTTGCAAAACGGTCTGAAGTAACGATTGCAACTCCTTTGACGTGCCGCTACCGAATATAAAGGATGCGGCATTTCTGTTTGTAAACTGTTTTTCAGTAAAGTCTGTGGTACACTTGATATATGTAAAAATCTACGATCCTACCCTTTTAAAAACCTAAAGCCTATAAAGTCCTCTTTTATCGTTGCAAACTTTTAAGGTAACTTAAGGTATATATATAGGTATTTTTTATATTAAACTGAAAAAATTGTAACGTCTTCGAGTCAAAAAAATAATAATATAAAGAATTCAAAATAATAAAAGGAAAAGTTTTCCGTAGGTATTAATAGCAATACGACTCACACTCCTTACAAGGTTTAGATAAATTCGCATCGCTATTAACTTTGTAAACAAATGTCACTGTAGTTATTTGAGCTCAGTGCGTCCACAAAGCAAACACATCAGTGGAAAAAAACGAACAAGATGGCCGATCAACGCGATCTCGAATGCAAATGGCCGACGTAAAAGAACCGCCGGTACATTTAAATGTCGCCAATGATGCCGATTCCACGACATCCATAATTTTTGCTCTATTTATCGGGTATTTTTGCATTGTCCGTATGAATCAGGTCCGAATCAAAATATAGTAGGTATGAGATATTTAAATAAGGGCAACGACAGCTGACGAAACTTGTATGGCGTTTAGATAAATTCCCAAGTGTATAATAGTTGTTAATTGTCTGTTTGTGTAAAGTTCAAATCGAGATCCTCGCGTTAACAGCTACCGAAACAGCCAATTAAGTAGTGACAAGGATTCCGCTCTCTGGTTACGCAAGGTTGCAGAAACCAAGTAAGGTCCGAGATATGTTGATTAGTTGGGTTCCTAATACGTTAAATAAAAAATATTGTTGACTTCCATTAATAGAAAAAACGTGATTTTAATTCAATGTAATAATAATTATATGTAAAAATAAAACAGTTACAAATCATTATTCTCAAAATCGATCCCTTTTTTTCAAAAGGAATAAATATTCTACATATCTGCTAAATTATAACTAAGTAATTTCAACAAAATGTTAACATTTCCAAGCAAGTTTAGGTCATAAATTGCAAAATAATATAATATTTATCCTCAAACATTGAAAATGACATTCATAATTTTTATTATCACTTATTAAACGATATCAAAATAAATATACCTAATTAAACATACAGGAAAACAGTTTCAAGCATTACTATTCATAAGCTTGCCCTTTTAAACTAGCTTATTGCCTAATTACCTGGCAGGTAAACAAACATCTGCAAGTTATCTATCTAGGCCTTTAGTTAGGTCTTATTAAAGATTCAAGTGATTGCCTACCGTGAGAATGTCGGCTTTAGAATGCAAATTACACATCTATATTCCAAAGATATACTTTATTTATTTTATCTGTGCCATTTAAGAAACTTTCAAATGATTATTATTCTGCTATTGGAAATATAATGTCTTAAATAATATGCATTTTCTATTTTAATTTAATGAAATCGGAGTACTTATTTAGATCCATATTTACATATGGTATAAAACCTCCTTATTATGTAGTATTTTACAGATGCAAAGAATTATTATCGAAAGGATAGTTGTCGGAAATAAAAAGAAATTAATCAGGTTGCATCTTCTTCTTTCCTATATAGTACATATTATTATGTACATTGTTTTAAACAACTTTCCCCAAATTGCGTACATAATAGCTGGGCGTGGCTGCATGCTCACTGGCCTTAGCGGTCGTAAATCGTTCATAATGTTTCGATTTAAAAATATGATCTTTCTTAAAATGATCGCTTGAAAAATGGCGGACATGTTAAAGTAAATAGATAGCTCAAAAATTTCATACATTTGTTTTTGAAATAGATGTTCAACCAAGTTGAATGGTGGAACTGGAAGTTTCGTAATATACAACTATTTAAATTACCTTTTATGTATGCATTTTTATATTACCAAATACTTAGAAATATTAGAAAATAACCCTTATCTTTAAGATAAAAAAATACCGTATGATTTTCTTACTAAAAAAAGAACGAATAATTGTATCCTTAAGATCCAAGATCAAAAGATTAAATCCAATTCCAACAATTAAGCCCTTCCGTAATTATAAAGGTAAATCTTGCATCTCCATTTCGTACTTGGTGTTTTGCTATAATTATGAATCGTTTAAAAGGCTTAGCTAATTATAGCCCTTTGATTGTAACAGCATACGAACATCCAATTGAAACTATTTTTTACCTCCGCTTTAACAATCTGTTTAATCAAAACTCGAATTCATTTTCGATTTAGAAACTGAATTGCTACTTTTCCTTTGAAATTTACAAATAGTAGTCTTTATTGTGTACTCCAAGCTATATATTTACACTAATTTTACTAATTTTTGAGTAAGGAACACAGTTCTTTGTACTACATTTTATACCTAATATTCTAATAAGTACCTACCTACTCACATTTATAAAAACATTAAAAAAAATTATGGTGTTTTAAATGAAACATAAAATTTATAAGAATAATATGTATCTCTCATTAAACATATACATGTCAAAATATTAACACACATATGTCAATTCATTGGAATTAATAATTAATTTTATGTAAGAAGGTTGTATATGATCCTATTTAATAAAAAATATACCTACTTCTATTTATGTTCTATCATGAACATAATGTCATAGTTGACGTAAAATAATAGAGAAATATTAAAATAATAAATATTTCAATTAAAAACATGTTCAAACCATTGAAATATTTAAAATTGAATAGCTTTACGTTAATCGCAGCCAATGCACCCGTTCGTCACAGGGCTTGTAAACGTGAGGAGCTCGATTGGCGTGATGTGATCTCGGAGGCAGAGCAAATCGTGGGTTACCCTACGTCTTTCCTGAACCTGAGGTGGCTGTTCAATGATGAGATCGCTAACACGGCTATACAGTTGAGGAAATTGGTACAATTTCATTCCAACACAACTACATGTGACGGTAGTTAGAAAAGGCTGTTGTAATAAGTAGATGTCTTTAAAATGAAACTAGTATTTTTCGGATTATACTACGCGACTTTATTTTTGTAAAAAAATACTCGTCACGTCAATATAGGGCGTCACATCTCGTCTGCCCATGATCGCGGTTGCTGAAAAGTAGCCGAAACGTCGGAAGTACTTATGTAGTTTTTTACAAAAAGAAAGTCGCGTAGTATAATCCAAAAAATACTAGATTCATTTTAATGAATATAATACGCGAAAATCTTAGATCTCATTAAGTAGATGTCTAACTCATATCATCGTGTGCACTGATTTGTGAGTGAAAACTTGTAAACGCTCCGTATTTAGAATTAATTGTAACTTGTAGTAAGGATAAGGAATAAACTGATAAAGGTGATAAAATAAAAGAAAATTATTTAAAGCGGATATTAGCAAATAATCCAAATAATATAAAGATAAGAATTAACTTCACTATCATGAGTAATCAAATTCTTGAACGTATATTTTTGGACTATAATATAATAAGGAATATTATTGGAATTGTTTTTTATATAAATAGAATAGGGTACTAAAGAACAAATATTGCAGGTCGGCACAAATCATCCGCTCTTAAAATCAGCGAAGAACCTACTGATCGGCTCCAAAAGCAATCTTCAATCAGTGGGTCTCATAATACTTCTGGTATCAAAAGCCGCCGGTATCGATGTCAGGAAGTACACGATTGATCATTACGACTCAGGAGTCCTCCACGCACAGAGGGCGCTGGCTGAGATCGTGGAAATGAAGAGAACTGGTCATCTGATACACAAGACTATGGCCAATTTACAGGAGAAGGAGAGACACGGGAAGAAGTATAACGATCTGTTATATGGGAATAAAATTGTATTGCTGACAGGTCAGTTAATGAGATCGTTTAGGATAAACTAAGTTTAGTTTTTAATTACAAGTAAATGAAACCGAACGATGTGCATTCGAACTTATAGGTAACTAGCTTTCCGCCCGCGGCTTCGCCCGCGTGGAGTTCGGCTATATCGCGTTTCCAAGAGAACCTTTTAGAAGTCTGGGATAAAAACTATCCAATGTTCTTTCTCAAGGTCAACTCTATGTCTGTACCAAATTTCATTAAAATCAGTTCAGTTGTTTATGCGTGAAAGCGTAACTGAGACAGACAGACAGAGTTACTTTCACATTTATAATATTAGTAGGGATTTTATATTAGAGAAAACAGTGATCTAATTTGACTTTAACGAATTGAACTTATAGGTAAGTAATTTTTAACTTAGTAAAATTTTACAAAGGTTTCGATTCGCGTATTATTATCATAGGGGCTAGCGAAAATCCGCGTAATTAGCATTGGATAATTCCGCGTATCTGTTTTTGAATTAGTTTTACAGGGGAAGTTAAAAACTGAATTTTTTTCTGAATTTAATGAGGTTTAAGGTAATTTTTTTCACAGCAAATAATTATTTAGTTTTTAATTTTATACTCGTTTAAAAAAATACATAAAAGTCGTTAATTTAGAAAATATATCAGCTTAAACTTAATTATGTACACAATATGTACATACCTAGAAATGGTGGGCTAAAAATCATTGGTTATAAGATTTGTTTAGCTTATCAGAGTAAGTAGTATATAGAGCTATTTAATCTATTTTAAATATTTTATCAGCTTTGGAAATTATATATAAAGCGGACCCACTTCCTACCAACCAAATAACTACAGTTACATTCTTGATTCAGTTGATTACATAAATATGATACTTTTATCTTCACTTATAAGGACGATAAGTGCACAAATATATATAAATATTAAATATACATATTACGTAAAATAATTACAGTTGCTTTGTGTGACGATTTTCTGTTGAACAATGTAATGATATTATTTAGTTCTTTTTTCATTTAGACGAAAATCACACGTAATTAATGTAATTAGTTGTCGATATATTGATACAGTTTTATAACGTCTCAAGTTTTTTTCCCATCTATCGCATGTCTCATTACTGTCGGCATGGGAGTAGGAGTAACGTAAATATCTCGGAAGTATTTTCCAACAAGTACGGCAGAATATTTTCACGGTCACTAAAGTTTTTATTCAAAATGGAAAATAGTTTCAATGTCATCTAGTTCAGAGACTAGCATTGATATACAAAACAATAGATTATCATACGGAGATCTGGTAGAGGCCATGCAGCGTTCATTCAATCCTTTGACCCTCACCAAGAGCTGAAGGAATGAATAAGGGAGCAATGTCTGAATACTCACGGCAGCTACTTTTACGCATAGTCTTGTAACAAGTGTTTAAAGAATTTTAAAACTTTTTTTTTATAAATTTTATTATTAAGGTTTTCGAACATAATTACGTTTTTTTTATTATTTTATAACTACATCATCCCGATAGATAGATTCTTTATAGCAACCGTGGTCACGTGCAGACGAGGTGAAATAAAAAACAGGTAGTAATATCCTAAAACTTAAGTTTCATTTAAATGAATTCACGTGAAAAAATTTAGATATCATAATTTTTTTAAATATATTAAAAGCACATTCAGAATAAGTGCTTAGTAATAAAAAATAATATCGGACTCTGTTAAATATTTTTTCAGGAGACTATTTGCTAGCAACGTGCCTCCAACATTTAGGCGGTTTGCGTAACAATGAAGTGACCGAGCTCATCTCGACTGGTCTCCGAGATTTGGTAGAAGGAGATTTCCTAGGCGACCACGATGATGATCACAATCCTTTGCCCAGTAGACCGAAAGGTAAGTGTTTTGATTAATATTTATTTCATTGAAAAGAAACAACTAAATAATTTCATATATATTTTCGTCAATAATCAATTTAAAGGAAATTATTCATCTCAAATTGCTTACAATGACATGAAGTTTTTTTTTTTTAATTTATCGTTGTCCTTACGTATACCTAAGTCAGCGACTTCAATTACAAACTATGTTTTTATTCATACATGTACTGAAAAAAAAACGATTAATGTACTAGTATGTACTTGGAGTTTAGCGTTGTTAATCACTTACTAATTCCATCGCGCTATATTTAAAATTTGCAACAGAATGCTAATAAGTATCTGCATTACAATTTACAGTGTATGCAGTTCGTGAGGATAATAATTGAGGAAATTACATATGTGTGTAGTTTTAAAAATAGTTTAACAAATAATAGTGTTGAAGTTAGAAAGCATATCTGCTATAATTTAGATTTCAAATCTTTTAATCTACATAGTTTTTTTTCGATCTATGTATAATGTCGTTATATAGAGTTATAAAAATAGACAATATTTGTTTTTTTTTTTATTCTGTAAATACTGAATTCATATTTTACAGCCAGCAATGAAGTAAAGAGTCACTATGTCTGGGAAGATGAGGATAACCTTGCTAAACTTGGTTCGAATGAGTTTCTCGGTCAGGGTAAAGACGAGTGGCTTTTACGTACAATGCTAACGTCTGGAAGTTTACTTGGAAAGGGTTGTCAGGGTGCTATGAAACTTGCTGGTTGGGGGAAAGATATGGAGAGACAGGCTTATAATTTGGGAGGACACCTAGCTATAATCTGGCAATTATATCTGGACGTGAAAAGACTTCTTCACACACCCATATTCTTATTCGTTAGTTGGGGCTCCGGTAATTTTAGCTCTATGGGAGTATCCGACAGTCTATAGTTACATTATAAAATCAAAGTTAGAGAAAAAGCCCATAGAATACAAGCAGTTATATTACGCTGTAAGGGCGACGAGATCTTTGGAGTATTTGACGGTATTTCTTAATGAGGAAATAGATGCTATAATGAGATATAGTGACCAATTCCCAGTCAAGGACGCCCGTGCGGCGATACAGAAGATGGCTCTGACAGTACATAACGAAACGCTACAATATATGGAGTGAAGGAGTAAAATACCTAATTATAAATACTACATTAATATTCTCGTTAAACAGTTTAAATTTTATAATATAAAAGTGTTTTAAAATATTGGAGCATTAAAAAAAGTTTTAAAAAAGCATTAAAAACAAAATCACTATTATTTATTTCGAAGAATAATAACTTGATTTCCACGGCCATCCTCGATGTTTGGAGTCCGATTGAAAATCATAAACAAAAATGTATCTTTTTAATAAAGTATAATATAACTTTATAACAATACTTATCTTTTTATTATTTTTACCTGTGACGCTAATAGATGAAAAATGGCGGGAAATTCATAAAATGTAAATAAAAGAGTTCGGCCACTGATGTGATATTTAAAAAAAATATTCAGAATGTTAATTGAATATGTGAATTAAAATATAATAATTAGTTTAAAACTGAATTATATGAATAAAAATTACAACTATGTAACTAAGAAAGTAAGTGTAAGTTGTTTATCCGTAGTTCAATATGTAATAACTAATAACAAATGGGTGCTTTATATAAAATAAAATAAACAATAATATTTATTTATTTTTAAAACAATGACTGATGTTATCACAACAAATAGGAATCTTAGTGTACATGAACAGAAACGATTCCAAAATATGAATTATTAAACAAGGTCACGCTCTTAAAACACGACGCTGTAAATGTAAGGTTAGGCTTAATCGGGCATCTGATCATAAAATATATTTATTTAAACAACCTTAAACATTTAACAACCATCTTACTGTATAACAATAATTAATAGTAATTAAGCTCATAATAAACTTAATATAATCTACGTATTTACAATAAGTCGGCGTCATTGTACCTATTAATGAATTTTAAAGTTTTCTATACACAAATCTTGTATATTTCATATTAAAAAAAATAATTAACGTTGATGATGATGCCACTCTTACTTAAATCCTATGGCTATTGTGATGTAAATGTATTTTAAACAAAATTCTTTGGAATAATCACTATTGCAATCAATTGCATATATCAACATTTTGTCATTGCTAAATATATATAAATTAGTAAAAAAAAATCTAAAAAAAATACTATATCAAGTGCTATGCTTATATTAAACAGTGTTAAATTATTTCATCTTAAAAAATAAAGAAATAAAGTAAATGATTTTAGATATTTGATATGTTAAAGTAAAATTAATCGGAAACAGTTCAATCACACTTCAAATGATGCTAAAGAAAATATTATTACAAAATATACCCTGCCCTACTTACTTAGCAACTTTTATATATCTGTATATATAATATCTGACTCTGATAAAAATTTCTGATGGGACAACAGTAAAAATTATATTTCAAATATTTTATCAATACTATCAGTGTATTGTATCAATGGACATGTCACACAATAGGTGTGTAATCATAATTATTATAACTTATATATACAAGATATATTTTTAAATTTGTGCCTAAATTTTACCTAAACAAAATTAGTATCAAGTCTCGATGAATCTTTTGAATAGCATCTACTGACTCGTTATTACCGAACATATTAATATAATGTATTGCCTTGTATGCATTATCTGAATATAACAATTTAGTTCTCTCAATAGCATTAGTTTCTGCGACCTTAGCTTTTATATCTTCAAAATCTAAGCTTGGAATTTTATCTACATCTTTAACCATGTCATATAGTTTAGGATTTTCGTTAATTGCAAATAAAAACGGGGCACTCACAAGAGAAACCGGCTCTTTGCTACTTGAACTGAACTTTTGTAATTCACTTGCGGCTTGCCATGCTAAACATAAGTGGCAGCCGAACAGGAAGGCCTGCTTTTGCTCGGACGCACCCTTCCCAGCAAGCAATACCGCACCCTCACAACCTCGTCCAAATAAAGTACCACCATTATACAAAGTCCGTAATGTCCATTCTTCCTTCGGTGAACCTAACACATTTGAGTTATTCAATGGTGCTGTATCATTAGATATTCTGAAATTTACACTCTGCCCAGCTAAAGGTTTTCCAGGTAGAGGTAGGTTCTGACAGTCCCGAGGACCAAAAAATTCTCCTTCACTGAGATCTCTTAATGCTGTCGATATTAAATATGACAAATCTTGATTTTTCAGATGAGCCAACATTCCGTTGGCTGTAACGAGTAAATAATCACCAATCAATATTGCAATTTTGTTTGCAAACATTGATGTGTCGGTGGTTTTGTCCCTTTCTTCGATGGGTATGTTGAGGAGACCTCGGTGTATGTAGTGGCCGGTACGTATCATTTCTGTTAGCTCGGCCAACATTCGTTGGTGCTCTACGAGAGTTGTATTTTGTACTGAATGTGTTGATTCACTTGTTGCTTTGGATAACAGCAATATTATGAGACCCCATGGTTGAAGGTTATTGTGCTGATTATTGAGGAGAGTTTTGGCTGTCTTCAGAATAGGATGGTTGCTACCTACCTAAAAAATATATATATAATTAGGTTATGAATATATTTATGTCAATGTCAAACTCAGTTAAATATCTCAATAATTAATTTTGAAGGTTCATAATGATTATAATAACAAATTATGTTTCAAAACATGTTTCTGAGGAAGTAACCTTGAGTGAACCTTGTGTATTATTACATAACACAAAAACATTAATTAATGTTGCATTTCATATAATTTTTGTTACACAAATAATTATATATTCATAAAGATTGGCATTCGTTAAAATTTATATGATACCCAAAATGATTAGGGTGTTCAAATTGAGATATAGGTAGTTCCTAAGACATTATAAACGAAAATAATAACATGAAGAAATATAATACAATGAAACATTTTATGCTCAATTTTATACAAGAACCGGTATATTATTAATATGAAACAGTAAAAAAAGAAAATAATAGTTTACAATATTCAAATAGTACTTACAATTTTTCGTAATTGCACAGCCAGATTGGCGAACTCATCACTCAATAGCCACCTCAAGTTCATGAAGGAGGTCGGATATCCGACTATTTTCTCTGCTTCCCTGATTATTTTGCTCCATTGCGGCATAGGAGGATGAAACGAAAAGTCTTCCTGGGTTAGGTTGGTCATGGTGCTCTCAAGCCTCTTTTTACTGGATAACAACGCAGTTCGTCGCAAATATCGTATCATTGCGTATGACATATTTAATATTTATTTAATTTCTATTTATTAGATTAGTTCACGTTTAATTTCTGTCACAATTAAAAGTGTTGTGTAAAATTTACGTACTGCGCGCCTTCTACTTAAGTGATATAAGATTGACAGTTGAGTTGACGTTCGTTATTATGACAGTTACGTTTTGCGTTCAGAAACCGGATAGACAGTAATAAAAGCCACAAATCTATACGACTGAAATCTAATTGTGTATTAAATATGGGCGAATATGACGGGTTTTATTTTAATCTACTTTTAAATATTTCACAAAAAATCATATCTATTTTAGAATGTTTTTAATCTTAAATACTTCAAAAAAATGTTGGTCCGTATTAATCTTGCGAATTGCGATCTTAAATTATTTAGTCATCTTAATTACAAACGCCAATACAATATTTATTTTAATTTTTAAATAAATTTAATATTTTTTGAAAACAGCTTTTTTATAATATCGTACTATAAAAAAGATGTTGATATTTTTAATTAAGGCGAATGCCTGACTCAATAGTCAACTCAAACCCCTCACATAATGTTATTATTATAATATATGTAGATGTATATGACCTTAAATCCTATATTATTTAATTACTTCACGACAGGTTTCAAGATGTTTGAAAACATAGTTAAACACGTAATTTTGAAGTTAATAAAATTATCTTTGTGCCTCTAAAAAATTTTAGACTAAACTAATCTCAATATCAAACCTCAGCTGAATCACTTGATAAAACGATTATTCACTTGTTACCTTCAGATATGTTACATAGAATTTCACTGAATAAAATTATCACCCGCTACACTTCACTAGATATACCTACTATCATATTTTCAAGATAAATACTGCTAAAAGTATATTCGATTGTAGTTTGTGTTGATTAAATTAAACCCATTAAATTTATGGTAATTTATAAGCTATCTTCGCTATCAGCCTATCAGAGCCCACTGCTGAGCAGAGGCCTCTTTCTCACATGGAGAAGGTTAGAGCCTTAACCACCACGCTTGCTCAAGACGGGTTGGTGATTTCAAGCTTATAATTGTGAAACTATAAGTCCAGGTTTCCTCACGATTATTAGCGCTTATATTTTAATAATTCGAACACTAGTAATCGTATGCTGAATTTAAAAAAATATATCGACATTAAAGTTAGAGAAAAAATATTTAATTATATGTAAAGAAACCAAATAATCTATTGTTTTATGTGATTAGTTCAACTATCTAGTTTATATGTGAAATTTAGCAGACCAGCTATAAAGTCAGATTTGCGATATACTTTTTAAGCTATTCAAGATTTAAGTTCTATTTCAGTATTTTTTGATTTGATTTGAATAAATAACTAAGTATCATGTTTTCTCCACAAAGTACTAAAGATTATAATTAGTACAACAAATTATTTGTTGATTATATTGAACTTTGACATTGGCAAAACATTCCACGATTCCAGTGCGAATGAAGCCAAAGCATTAAAAAAATTGATTTCTAACAAAAAATAATTTTAATAATAGGTACCTTTTTCATTGAGCTCTTGTAGATAGAGGTACCTACTTGCTTATAGAACTGCAAGAGTGTTATTAGTTTAATTGTTTAACTATAATATATTATAGTCATCTTGTTTGTATTTAAAAACTCCATGTACAAATATAAAATGTTAGTTAGTCAGTTTTATCATCAGAATTTGGATCATTTATTAATTTTAAATCGTCAAAATTTTAATTTGATGTATTTGAATATATTAATTGTGTATACAATAATCGTTTTCCAATCTAAGATTATAAAGCTATAAATATTTCATATATAAATAAAAAGAAAATATCTTAGACTATAAATTTCAACTATTCCATAGTCCTAAGAGATCTTGTAGAGGCTGTGATCCTATTAAGGAATTTTAAGAAGATTATTATCTTACTACACACATCCATAAGGCATTTATATCATTGGTACAATACAATATGGATTTTAATTTTACTTACCTTACCTTACCTTAAGTCTTAAATAGAGTGATAAGTATTTTTCATATTTACCATGTCACAATTTTTAATAAAGACTAAAACTTTCTGTAGACTAAATGCCTTTGATATACGTAAGTATGATGAATACCTATATATATATATATACAATTTACGGAGATTTACTATGGTTTTTTAAATTTAAATATTAAATAGTCAATTTGTAATTTTTTTTACAGTGGAACTAAGACAGTTATTTTTTGTAAAAATATTTTAATATAAAATCAGAAACGCTAGTTTAACTTTCATATTTTTAAAATAGGAAAAATAATTAGAAATGAGTGACAAAAATTTAGACTAGGTACCCAGTAGGAAGTTGCAAATCGTCATAAGTCTATTAGAGCCCACTGCTGAGCAAAGGCCTCTTTTCACATGGAGAAGGTTGGAGCATTAATCACCACGCTCGCTAAGGACGGGTTGGTGATTTCAAATTTATAATTGTGAAATTATAAGTATAGATTTGCTCACGATGTTTTCCTTCACTGTCTGTCAGTGGTGTCTAAATACTCTTAGAAAGTACATATACCTAACTCTGAAAAATCACCTTTGTAGGTACTTGCCAGGATAGAACCCGCGCCCTCGTGCATAAGAGGCGGGCCTTTAACCACTATGCCACTAATGAGTAAAGTTGCAAATAACTTGCTTGTTATTTCAACTTTGAATTACGGACTAAATAAAATGCTAATTGTTTTTTTCAAACTTAAAATATTTATTTATTACTGATCAGACCACACAAGTTCATCCGAGCAGTTATTAGAATGACATAGAATATTAAAACTACTTGATTAGCTTATGCGAGGTGTGATATTGACCTTGGCTGGTCAGCAAGAGGCATTCAGCGTATGCATACATCGTTAGCATCAGTAATGCGACATGCAATAGATGAAATACGATACTGATAATGTAACAGCTGTAACAAGTTTCACTTTAAAAGGTTTTAATACTACGTTAGAACGTTTTTGTATGGAAATAAATAGTAATATATTTGTGTATAAAAAAAAAATACTTCTTGAAGTTTTTATTGTAATTCGAAAAAATGTAATCAATTGCAATTGATGAACTTATACATAATTTATTAATTTTACCTTTTACGCTTCGCAAAACTCTTTAAACAGGAAAGATATATTTATAAAGAATCCTATATACCTACATATATCTAACAATATTGAAAACTATTGATAGATGTCAAAAAGTAATATAATATCTGTGAGAAAGTACATTTTACGTAAACAAATAAATACTTAAAGATATAGGTATATAGATAGGTATACCTATTTCTCTTAAAAAATATATGTTAAGCAATTGACGTGAATTAATTTGTCAGCCCGTAATATTAAAATAATGTCACATATAAATTTACTTTTAGAAAAAAAAGTCATTATTACTTTTGAAAAACTCCTTAGTATTTCCTCCATAAAATTATAATTCCTTTAATTAATAAAAATATTGACATTGGCAAAATATACCACGATTCCGACAGGAGTAAAGCCATATGTAGTGTAATTAAATAAATATACATAAGGATAGGTATAAAAAATAATTCTTCTTCAATTGCAGTATAAAATTTATAGTAAATTTAATATAATAGTGTGAATTAAAGAAGAAAAAAAATTCAATGATAATATAGGATCGTCTTTGAAATGACACTATAAAGTTGTACGTTCAAGATATGTGCGTACAATTTTCTTAATTAGTAGCTATAGTGCATTACATGAAATACTACCTTTTTCCATTTCATCAATGAACTTTTAGCCATAGCATCGAATGTCACATACACACATACGTTAACTCAGTAATTATTTCAACTCACTTGGATTAGATGAAATTATCTTCCGTCAAACGTTTTCCTTTTCAATGAATACATATCATAAGCGGAGTGACGCCTAATTATCGGTTTTACCTAATAGTTCATTGTATAAAATTATTTTCGCTATGTGAAATAAGTATTCCCAGATTTTATTCTATTTAAGGTGTTCTTAAACTAGCTCCTACGGGTATTCTCTCTATTTGAAAGATTTTTTTAAGTAGAATAACATATCATTGCTTTCAGGTACTTAAAACTTTACATAAGTTTGGTTTTTTTATTCTATCGATTAGGTCGGCTAAAGTGATTTGTATGTAAAGTTTATTTTAGATAGTTCAGTAAGCTCATTCTAAGGTGTTATCGTTACAATAAATACGGAATAAATAGTGTAAACCTCCACACAATATAGGGCGCAGGTTCTTGGATGAGAAACGGGCAACGCTTCGTATGTTACTACATACAATTCAAGCTGGAATAAGCATTAATACTGGTACTTCCAGTTATAGAAAACCTATGAAATATATTAAACGAGCCAAATCTAGAAAAGGGTTAAAATCACCTGAGCAACAATTGATTTTGTATCTGTTTTGTTAGAGATGACATCGTTTTAAACCTGATGATGAGATATGACATGATGTAGATTTCTGTCAATATGCCTCAGTTTAAAGCATTAAGATTTACAGATTATTATTATCTAACAGCTAAATGGCAAAAAAATCTCCATGTCTTTTTTTATTTTAATACTAGAATTAGTATTTTGTACCTTAACGAAGACTTTCTGTAAGTATTGTTTCATTTCTCACAAGATGAAGGCTTTATAACCCTGAAAATGCTTGCAATCAAGTATAGGACAATCTGGTCAAATGTCAGTACAAGGAAAATATAATTTGCCTTTTGTATTTATAATTCAATGTCTATTTATGTATATTGGAAGTGTCAAGCAATTAGTTTTATAAATACAACATAATGTTAAAGTTAAATATTCATAGTCGAATGCAATCACAGATATATTATTATCTGTAATTAGGTATAAACGGTAATTTAAATATATGAATTAATTTGATATAAAACGTTAGTTGTATCGGACGCCATTCGATGCGATCTTATCTGATAGTTCGAACTGAATGGCCTTTTTGAATAAGAACGATAGCGACGGTACTAAGACAGCCCTGCAGCAATTAGGTATTTTATTTTTGATGTTATCTTCAACCCCATTTAACTGTATGCTAATAAATACCGGGTAGTGAACGTTAGCGCTTCCACACCGGCCAATCACGTGTCTGCGCGCCGTAACTCAAAAATAGAAGGGTCAAGAGGCCCCTGGCGAAGACGGTGGCTCGTCCATAGCAATTAAAAATAAAACCGATGTGTAATTAGTTGCCAGTTTATGGTCGCCCGCTCCCTCCGGCCGCAAAACGACCAAAAACGAACCATTTGCATTTTGATCGGCGAATTTCTGATTGACTGAGGTTCGTACGACTCCGAAATAAATTGGGATGATTTATTTTTTATTTTTTGTACATTTTTAGAATTTATTATTGAATATAACTCTCGTTTTCTTTTTCTCGTCCTGAAACCGAGGCTCATCGGTTTAGAAACGGACCATAAAGAAACATTATCAGCGAGTATCTGGACGCGGTCGGCAGGCGGGCTCTGAGCAATTACGAACTAATTGCCGCGTTCGTTTCGCAGAAATAATTTACTAATACACCATTATACATCCACGGCCACGCCTCGCCACTCAGCTGTACACACATCGCTCACAATATTTATATTGAAACGTTTGATTAACATTTGAAAGCGTTCCTTATGTGTAGCTGTATGAGTTTAACATTTAAATAGAAAACACAATACACCTCTCGATATTACATAGCGTCGTGTTTATGGCGGACGCGTGGGTTATAAATATGCATGGAGCAATAAAAATTAAGAAGGCAACCTTGGTGAGTGAGGTGCGCCCCGGCTCTCCGACGGTAAATTGCTTTCCCAGTTATTATTCTCCCGATCGCCAATCCTATCCATTTAAAAGCAATTATGTTTTATTATAGGCGTTCGACTGAAACGGGGCATGATTGACGCGCGGCTAGAGGGAGACGCACGTCTGACTGACAAGTCGTAGTAGGCGAGCTGCGGGCTTTGTTTTTTATAGAGCACACGGCACGGGCGCGCTGTCTTGAGGCCCGAACGTGAATGGAGCCCTAATGGACGCTTGGAAATATAAAATTAAAACGGATATAATGACTTACATAGGCTATCACGATACCGAGCTTTCGACTCCTCGCGGAAGGCTTTTGTTCTGTCGGACGTTCAACCCGACTTTTTAGTAATTAAAATGAACTTTTAGTTTTATTTTTTTTTATTCAAGTTTAGCCTAATGGAACATTAATGCGAACCGTCAAATTTAGTTGTTTTTTTTTTCCACTAATGTAAGTCTCCAGTCATTATCTTAGGTTACAATAAATATTATTTTTTTCATTATTATTATTATGAAAGGATTATTTAAAAATTTCACATTTCCATGGAACCAATTAAAAATAGCGTATTTCTTTACGGCCGTAGAATGTAGATCCAATCAGCGTGGATATTACTCGGGGCTAGTAAATAAATAAGTTCGGAATGAGGGCCGCGGGCGATGCGTTTATGAATTAATATTAAGTATTATTTGTGTGTTCTGTGACTCGTACACATCAATATCTTTCAAAATCATTGTCTTAATAAGTTTTTTATATACTAAAAATATACATTTACATATTAATATAGTAATTTAATACAATCCACAAATCAAAAGTTCTTTAGACGTTAAATGGTGGTGAATCCGGAGCGTAGCATGCTGCATGGTGCATGCTGCATGGTGCATGCTGCACGGTGTATTGAAACACTTATCAGAGGTCACAATGATGCACTAAATATCGAGATAGCGGCGAATCAAAGACCTCATTGTACATTGTACGCTAATGCGCCATTCAGATGGATCCACGGCCTTTGTGTGTTTAACCCGATGGACTTCTTTTTATAGCTATCTTTTTATATAGGTTAAGGTTTTGGTTATGCAGCATGAGTTTAAAAAAAATATATATTTTTTGAGGTCTTTAAAATTATTCAATTTTTGTTTGTTATTTATTTGGTAGTACGTAATAATTTCTTAAATATTAACGCACAAAATTTAATGCTGGTATAGAATTATGAAATTCTGAATTTATTTTATCTATTATGTAATTTTGACAGCCAGAACGACGCAAAAGTATTTAATAACAAAGAGTTTTGTAATCACATCTAGTAAAACTTAAACTAAAAAAAGTAAAGTTAGAATAGATTTAAAAGTCAGATTTAATATATCATGTACGATAATAACTATGATTACTTCAATAACTATCAATTACATTGTGTCATTGTTGAACTAGAGTAATTTTTGAAGTTAATTCAGCTATCAGATAACAGATGGCGCTACTTGTTATGTATTCGACGAAAGTTTTAATCCTGGTAGTGAGCCATACTTTATAAATACTTTTTATTTTTTTTTATTATTGTTCTCTTAATTAATACATGCGAAATATAAAAAAAAATTTTAGAGACTAGGTGACTTTATAAAATCGAAAATATTTAATGTACCTATTGTTATGTATAAAGTTATATATAAAAAAATACAAAGCAAATTATTTGAATATCACAAGCATAAATATTTCAAATAACTGTAATGATATTTGAAGATGATTTTCTTTTATCAAAATTACACGCTTAAAACGAATAAAGTCACGAAACGGTACATTTCACATATATTATTTAGTCTGTGAGTCTAGTTGAGGCGCGACAGATTTTTATTCTGTACTCCTGTCAAATTAAATATTAACTTTCCATGTATAAATCGCTGAGGTGACATGTCCCATTTTGTTTTCACCGTATATAACTCTGCTCCGTGAATTGAGAACCATATATTTTTCAATATTGAATTATATATTATGGTATCATTCGTTTTTTTTTTAATTTTTTCGCACATTCAGGTTTCATTCGTTCTGCTTTTATGTCAAAAAAGTTCCGATTGCATAAAAATAAAAATAAAAATATAATAATTATATATTATAGAATGTAAAAAAATTAAGTTTATAATATATATTTTTGTATATTATAATATTATCGGTTGTGTTGCTGTCTGTTTGTGGATATGAGTGTTTTCAGTACTTCACTTGTTACGAATTTTACAGAATGAAAAGAAAATAATTTGAAAAGTTTTTCGGCCATTTTCATTACGTTACTCAACTTATTAGGTTCTTTGAGATTATAAATTGTAAAAAACATTTTGTATTTTTAAAAAGGTATTTCCTTATATATGTTTATTATAATAATAGTATTAGTAAATTTATTATTAAATGTGAATGCATTTATATTTACTTTTTAATTTTAAATCGTTTTAATAAATGTCAATGTAAGATATATTTATTTTTTTATAATGCCAATATCCTTCTTTACTTTTAGTCTGTGTATATTGTTTATGTATTTTTAATTATGAAACGAGAATATCTCTAACAATTTTTTATGTAAAATTAATGGATAATAATTAATGATTTATACAGGGTGACTGGTGAATTACTATCGATATTTGAGGACGTGATATTTGACGATCATATATGACAAAATAAAAATTAATATAACATAAATATTAATAAACCTCTAAGTAAAGTTAACCAAAAGTTATGCAATTAATTACGCATCGTGTAAACACCCTACAGATTAGGTATACACCCACACTCACACATACGCGCGCGGCGGCGTTGTGTTGTATCAGCACGCCGCCGCACGCCTCCACACTTGGAGCACTTGGAACGTGCCAACACTTTATTTATTTATACGGAAATTTTGTCAAAAATTAAGTACCTATTTTTTTTACATAATTCGAATGAGAATCATCTACCGAGTATCCTCCTTAAATATTGATAGTAATTCACCAGTCACCCTGTATATAGGCACACCTATTTAAAATCGTAGGAAACATTTATATATTTTAATTATAAGAGTATTATTATTGATATTTCCTAAACTAAAAATATGTATTTTTTTCTATTAAATTTTATTTACTATTTGTTATATAATAATAATTTATATTATACAAAAACATATAAGGTAATGTTCATATTAGCCTTTCGTAATTTTAACAAAGTTGTTTTAGATCGAAGTTACAAATTGTAATATTAAAGAATTCCAAAAATAGGTCGCAATATTTTAACACATATTAAATTACGTTTAAACATATAGAAGAGCTTCTGATACGAAAATCTTAAAAGTAGGTTTTAAAAGTAAAAATCCTTTGTTATACATTGCAACCTGCTTCGAAAAGGAAATGGCTGTGTGAACAATATATACACGTATATAAATCAAATTGAAATGATTCGATATAAAAATCATTTGTATGAAAAATATCAAATAAAGCATCAAATACATAAGGGAGGCCCATCTTCAAAGTGTAACTATATAGGTATTTTTATATAAACACACAATTCAGAAACTAAAGTTAAATTTGCTAGTGATAGATATGCGAGGCGCCTCTGGAATGTAATTTTCACACGCCGAGCGACGTCACTGTACCCCGGCCCCCGACCCCCGACCCCCAACCCCCAAACCCACACCACGCCAAAACCCCCTTCAACCCCTCGCCGTGTAGTCCAAGAGCTGGTTCGCAACCTGATGTAGCTGAACTTTAATGCTACATGATAATTTATTACAAGATCAATTCAAATATAAAAACTATTAAAAGAAAAAAAAAATATATGTATGAAAAAAGAGAGTTTTATGTATATTATTATAAATTATTTATAAAGAAAATGTATGTGTAAATGGTAATTTAATAATTTGTGTTAACTTGTATGTAATGGTAAATATATCTTTATGTACGTACGACGGCTCTTAGCCCTTCGCCCCCGCGGCCTCTCACGACGGATGCTCCGGAAAATTGCTACAATGATTGTAAGCGGGAATTTCGAAATGAAGGAAGCGTACTTAAGCCGGCCCGCTCCAGACACTCGCTGGCGTTTTGATCGTAATTGCTTTTAAATAAGGTCCATTATCGTTTAAATTATCCACAGACACATCACATGTTCCTGTATATAACTGTTAAATTATTTGCATTCCATACCAATGTTACTTATGTTATGTCGATATTCTTAAATACTTTCATTACACTTATAACTAAGTTAAACTAAATATAAACCCTTTCTCGACTTTCGTTAACAAATATTATACCTATACAGTAAGTACATAGTAATTTAAAGAATTTTAGGTATTTTTAATTTAACACCCTTAAATTTGAGTCTTGTTATTTTCAGAAAGTTCTACATTTTAGTGATATTCATGAAAGCAAATTTTGTATACAGACATTTTATTTGATCTTAACTAACTTCATCTGTTCATAATATATGCGTGTGTTTCACTAATGCGAGTAATATCGAAAGTACGAAAGTTTTTTAGGTATTTTTTGAATGAAACAAAATGAAACAAACTATACAAAAAATGGTTCAATTTGAATTCATTTAAATGTTATTCTAACGACTCATGTTATAATTAAATCAATTTAAAATATATAATACAATATTCTGTATATATATAATGCAGTTATTGGATAGATATAACCCAACATAATATGTCAATTAACTGGAAAAATAGAAATAAAAACAATTAAATTGTATCGTATGAAGTAAGGGTTGAAGTTATGTGTTTTATGTGAACCCCTAAGTTCAATTTGTAGTTATTAAAAAGAGAAGAAATTACTCCTGTCAAAAGGCTCTTAAAATATATATTAAAAATGACTTACGGAAGGTCTCTTCAGAGACGAAATTTGTTTTGATGATAGTATCAAATGATATAGTAAACGAATAAATGAATTAATAATTAATTACATTAATATTATTCTTATAAAATGTAACTTCTGTTTTTTTATTGAGTTTTTACATAATATTCTTTGTGTTGATCAAATATTTCCTTTGTGTTAAAATAATACAAAAATAGAAAGAACATTATTTCTTATAATAGTTTCTATCATAAAAAGCATAATATTTTTAAATATAAATAAACTTCAGTACACCATAGAAATATTTATTTTGTTTTTGACCGACATTCTGTTTTAATCGGACATTTTTTAACGAAAAGAAGCTTTTCCTTCCATGACTCAGAGTACTAGAACTTAAAAATCTTCCGTCAATGTCAATAATTATTCAGCCATATTTTGACATTTGACATTTGACAGGTTGCTTGCTTTTTAGTCTACTTTTTTGCTCGTCCAAGTCAAAATATTTTTATTTAAATTTTGTTATATAGTGAGTACGATTGAATATTGCTTGTATGAATCGCTGAGGGCTAGGTTAAATTGTCCCTGTTTGATTTACACGTTCAACGCTAGGTTGGTTAACACGAAAATGATATGGTAAAAATGGATTCTAAATGCTTATATTTTCATAAATAGCATACTAATGATTTGTTTCACTAGCCAACACGTATGAAATTTTTGCAATCTCCCGTTACCAGTTACGACGCATTAATTAATTAAGTTTTGTTTTTATGTCCGTTAATTTATGTTGTTCTGGACGGTCGTAAATCAAGAGGAGTCGATCTTTCAATAATCCAATCAAAGCGGCTCCCTATCCGAACTAATGTTATTGTCAAACCGACTAGCCATTATCCGAGTCGAAGCGAGCATCTGAATGTCCAGTCACGTATAGATGAGAGAGAAAGAGATATAGAGTTTGCTTAAGTTAGAAAGAGATGGAGTATGCGATGTAAACAACCTCAGAATGCCAATATGAAATGGCTGTAACGGGCTGTATATTATGTACCATTTTTGACTTTGCCAGCTTGAAAAAAAATATGATTTTTGCGTGGGAAGAACGTATTCGGTAATACAAATTCGGTGACGTTGCTTTCGTTGTTTTTTTAACGTTTATTCAATTAAGAATATAAACTTTATGTTCTCGGTGGAAGGATTATTTTAGTCTGCGTGTAATTTCTGACTTGTGCCTCGTATTTATTACGCGGGATCACAAGAGGCGACATCTATCTTGTGTTTTTCGTATTGACTCGGACGTCAGGCGGGATCGGAATGAGGTAATAAAGAAATTGAAATTTTCTCATATGTATTAATGCGAATGTTTTTTGCAACATAATGAATATCACTTAATTAAAGATCTTTGAACGCTGCCGCTGCTTTTTCTGTTTCCGCTGCGTGTGGCTCGCAGGAGATAGTTTTTTAGCATTGGTAATACTGAAGTTGTATTAATTTGTATATTTTTAATTATTTTCGTTTAGTTAGTACTATTAGTTGTCTCCATATAGCTTTTATAATATTATCCTTGATATTCAAAACGTGATTTTAATTGCAATAATTAATTAATTAGTTTCGTTTATAGATTAATATACGTCAGGTAGCTCACGTATTATCCACTATGTGACCCACCAAACCACCCACAAGCAGCGTGGTGGGTTAAATCCAAATACTATTTGAATGTCTGTTAGTAACTCTAGATTCAGAGTTGTATAAAACTTGTAACCGTACCGTACTCATGCCTCCCGCGATATAACTACTCGGTACGTTAAAAGTGACGTCCGACAGTCCGTCACGTCACGGGCGAGGGCGTGAGTGACGTCATGCGGTTTTTGTATAGATTTTTCAGCGAACGGTTGATAGGGGCTAGGAAGCGGTTGAAATTAATTTAATAGTAATATAAGTATATTAAATTGGAATAAATGTGATTTACTTATGGAAATTACGAAAATATGATAAAATTAAAATTCTTTTATAGTAAATAAAATCGGTGAAGGAAAACATCGTGAGGAAACCTGGACTTATAATTTCACAATTATAAGTTTGAAATCACCAACCCGTCTTGAGCAATCGTGGTGATTAATGCTCAAACCTTCTCCATGTGAGAAAGAGGCCTTTGCTCAGCAGTGGGCGCTGATAGGCTGATGGCATGGCATGGCAAATAAAATCTATATTTGTAAACGATAATTTCTGATTGGTGTTCAATTATGAATCGATTGTACTACATACACATATATGTAAATTCTCTCCATACAAATGCTGAGTATGTCAAACTCGTGACGTCATCCGTCATCCGACACGGCAGTTAGTCGTGGGGCGACGTTTTTCACGTGTCGCTGATGGATGTCCTCTCTACCGCCTATATACATTAATACGCTGACCATCTCTTAATGCTACCACTATTCAGACTGTTCTGGCCTGAACAGTATTTGTACCGGGCTGCGGAAAGCGTTCATTTATTACCGACTAGCTGTTTCACGTGGATTTGCCTGTTATTTCGAATGTTGACCTATCACTAGCTATTCCGTATATATTTTTGATTTTTCGTGTAATTATATTTTATTGTTTTTGTATAGTCAAAGTTTTCATATGGTCTTTTTCTGTTTTTATGACTATTAACTTTGTATAAAGATTTAGAGTACATATAAACAAATTGACAATACTTTCGTCAACGTTCTATAACAGATAAACGCTTTTTTTATAGACTGTAGTGTTAGGACTGTAATATATATTAAAAAAATTAGTCAGTGGACATTCATTCGTAAAGTAATGCCAAGAATATTATTTAGCTCTGCATTACCGAAGACAATAACAATAATTATCTACGTAAAAGACATCTTGTTGCTAAAAATCGTTAAAATTGTGGACACAGTCCGCCATAGCCTTGGACCATTTAACGTGAAATACTCGCAGCTTGTAAAAAGACGGGGAGGTTTAAAATAGGATTTATTACAATATAAACTGTTCCGTGCCCGCCGCTTGTACGGCCGAGCTGACGCAGCGGGGCGGCTTTGATGGAACCCGACTTGGATTCCATATCCACACGAGCCTATGCATCATAAACATTTACCTGTATAATATAGGATTTATTTGTACTGTAAATATTATAATGTAATTGCTATTTTGTATAAAATTAACGAAATGGACGCTAGAAATGTACTTTGACATAGTCATTGTTGGGTTCGGAAATATTAATCCTGTTGAGACTTAAACTTGTTTTATAGCAAATTTAATTTTTTTTTGTAAAAAATGTGATGTCAAGATGATCATTGTAGATAGATTTAAATCTTATTGTAAAATATAGTTTGACCTTTAAAGTAATATATAATAATTAATTACTTTTTACTATACTATTTCGTTAACTAAAAACATTGAGTTCTAAGACCTTTTTATAAGGAAGTCAATATTTTTTTATAAATATAAATCCTTTTTTAATTGTTGTGAATGAAAATTAAATGTACGTAGTATGTATGTTCGTACGTATATATGTACGTATTTAATGTCGTAAGAATGAGACCATTGATTTATTAACGTATGCGTAAGTGTCAAAAAAGTTCCCTTATATGTAAGAATGTTAAAAAAACTACTTTTGTGTATTTTTTTTGTTTAAATTTATAAAGTGCGCAACTATTGCAATAATTATTACAAAATATACGCATGAAATGTTTGCATTATGTACAATCAGATTGATTGTTTTAAAATGTAAATATATAAAATTTTGCATTACTTCCAGAGAAATTATAATTCATACCTACTTTAGATTAAATTTATTGGTTTGGTAGGACAATTGTTTTTTTCTAAGTTTTTACGATACGAGTATTTTTGAGTCTTGGGCACAATTGTATTGAAAGTGAAACTGCCACAACTTGGTTTTTCGATCTTAACAACTTAACTAATTGGAAAATATTTTGACGTGAAAAATATATATTTTTTGTATACTCTTGAAATAAAAATTTTCATATAGATAAACTAAATATTATAAAACATAAATCTGGAGACGTTTTTGTTAATTGGTCTTAAATGTATGTATGAAGTAGCTTGAAAACTGTCACAGATAATACATAAACATATTTTTAAAATGTTACCAGATAAAATATTTTTCATAAAATTATGTTTTCCTTGCATATTTTATGTACTTATTTATGTACGTGAAAACTGGAATAATACATTGATTGTAGTGTTATCAACTAATTACATCTTTTTATATTTTTAACGACAGCTAGTAACACTTCTTTGTACACACACACACACACACACATACATATGTATATTATATAATATCTTTGGAATGCAATACCAACATATCTTAATAATCATAGATATGTACAAAATTGTTAAAAAATATATAAAATGTAAAAATCTGCATGTATGTATAATGTAACCGGTCCGCGGTCTCTGTATATTAATTTATTCCGGTATTCAAGATCCCGTCCATTTTATAATTCACAAAATAAGATGCATATCTTTATTATATAACGCATCGCTCGCGTTGCTTTAATTAAAAAAAACTTTAGCTCTGCTAAAGGGACTAATATTGTTTATTTTCACTCATAATATACTCTGTATGAGCCTAAATATTATTTAGATATTGGTTATAGAAGCTAAAGAAAAGTATTTAATTATTAATAAACTACAAATATTTTATGTGTATTATATAATAATATAAAACAATAATAATGTAAAATTAACAATCATAGTTCATACTCTTTTAATATTAAACCTTTTTGGACGCGATGCACTCTGACAGGTGTCATTTTAATTCGGCCGAATGACATACGATAATGGCGGAGCTGTCAATCAATATTTAATAATGACTGAGCAGTGTCGTTATGACACAACTAAATAAATAAATTAATTATACAAATAATTCATTATTTAATATTTATTTGTGTAATAATGGGTTTTTTATATATTTTTGTTATTATTCAAAACCAATATTTCTGTTTTGTCAAATTTTTGTTTTCATTAAAAATAATAATTTCAAATATATATCAAGATATATGAGATTAATTATAGCCTGTATATTTTATTTGATAGGTTAAGAGTTTCTGAACGTTTTTTGTATTTTTTTAATATTTCTTTGTATTTCTAGATTTTTAATAATAGTTGTATGTTTCAACATACATGTATATCTATAGTTTCTACAACTATATCTGTCTATGTAATTCTGTATCTAGATTCTTTCATCTATATCTCGAAAGTTATATTACATTTTCTCAATTTATCTTTTCTTATCTTTGGCCATAGCCCAGAAACCACTGAAACGATTTTAAAAATTTTGGTAAGGATAAATCTGTACAAATAAAAATAATTGTATAGAAAAAAAGAAACATTATAAATTACACATGGAATAGATTGACGAAGTTGGCTTAGTTTAATATTGTAAATAGCTTTCCGCCCGCAGCTTCACCCGCGAGGAGTTCGGTTATATCGCGTTTTCAAGAGAACCTTTCAAAAGTGTGGGATAATAACTATCCTATGTTCTTTCTCGAGGTCAACTCTATCCCTGTACCAAATTTCATTAAAATCAGTTCAGTGGTTTAAGCGTGAAAGCGTAACAGACAGACAGACAGAACAACTTTTGCATTTATAATATTAGTAGGGATAATATGATTTTCAACATACAAGTGATTATTTTTACAAATTATTCTTAAGATATACATATCTGTTACACGAGTTGTCAGTAATGACGGAATATATATGGTAGTTTTGCGAAGTTTATTGAAAAAAAACTGTATTTTAAATGCAATTTCATCTAAAATGTTATATAATTAAAATCAATAGATATATGTCTGTCCGTCCCTCGCCGGTCGTTTAGTAAAACTTTAATTAACAGATAAACATGTCGCGAGTCTACAATGACTCCATTAACATCTTGCACCTTACACTTTCTACTTACAATAATGGCTTTCTGTTTTGGGGCTGATTTTATTAGTATTCAGGATATTTATGATAGATTTTGATGAAATTGAACCTAAAATCGAGCTTCAAAACTACTTCAAATGATCTTAAATGTTAAAGTTATCGTTTTGATTGTGTGTCTGAGTGTTCATTGTGGAAAAAACAATTTATAAGTCCAAATATAGTAATCTACATAGCTTCTGGTTGGAATCAACACGTTTTCAGGAATTTGTTTATTTTTTCTTGATGTTGTGAGTAATATATATTGTACATACATATTTATATTTGGTATTTGTGTATACTATGTTCAAAAGCTGCCTCTGTCGTAGTGTCCGGGGAATGGGTAGTAATGTCATTATTATTATTGCATTTTGAAGCTGGTATGAGCACACCGCGAGTCGAGGACGACATAAATTGGCATAGCTTTAGTTTCATCTGAGGCTCGCGTTTCTTTTGTCGTTGGGAGGGTCGTGGAGGGCCTGGGGGGGCCTGGGGAGGCCTGAGGGGGCCTGAGGGGGCCTGAGGGGACCGTCGGGGGGCTAAGGTTGACAAATGGGCCGCTCCGAGCATCCGCGAGCGATACAATCGGTGCGTTGCTTACAGTGCTCCGTTGTAGAGAAAAAAAATAGGGCTGACGATGATGATGATTTATTACTGATGTGTCGATTATTATATTATTATTATTATGTGTTCATTGTCGCTTTATATATAATATTCAACTATTATTTATATTACTCGCAATTTGGAAACTTAAAAATATTTTTTTTTTGTAATGAAAATATATATAAAATTTTCATACATTAATAATATTTCATTAAGCCGCTTCATATATAGTAGCGCCCTCTATCTCCCATATCCTCCATGCCAGGGCCAGTGCCAGCCCTGTGGCACGCGTCACTGGACCCGTCCCAGTGTGCCATTACTCACTGTCGGCCGCCATTTTCGAAGCGCCACGCCCGCTACGACGCTACGACGCTACGAGGCTACGGTGCTACGGAACGTAGCGTTCAAATAACACTACTAGTCTTTGTCGATGTTGGAGTTTTACTAATTAAAAAATATGTAGATATTGGAACTATTTTTTGAGGCTTTCAGGGTTGGTAGTGATTTTGAAACTAATTATGTTTGCAATATAAATGAGATGATAATAATATTTAGAAACCACTGATAGACGAAGGAAGATATCGTGAGGAAACCTGGATTTAGGTAATCAAAATTATAAGTTTGAAATCACCAACCCGTCTTGAGCAAGCGTGGTGATCAATTCTCAAATCTTCTCCATGTGAGAAAGAGGCTCAGCAGTGGGCTCTGATAGGCTGACGACGCATATAAATGAAACGAGAGCATTTTTTTTTTAGTTTTTTAATATTTTTTTACACAATTCGTAGCATTCATAATGCCGACACATGTCCTCTCGACGTCTCGACAGCTCTTTATATTGTTATAAGTTTGACAGAAACTGTAAATTTTTATTATAATTATCTCACAAATGAAGTAAAGTGTCGTGTGAATGTATCCTGTATCTCGCTGCCGGACGAGACTCCTATTATTTTCTATATTTACAATTATTCCGTGACTTCAAAACATGTATAATACATACATATATAAAGACAAAAATAATAATAATAATAATAATAATGAAAAATAAATTTCTTCAATGAATACATTAATATCTAATAACTACTATTTAAGAATTCTTAATAAAATATATTACACGAGATGCCTCAACAGTGTCACAGGGATGTAATCTCCGGTGCAAACAGAATAATTATGGTTGTTTTGTTAAAAATCATTTTAATACTGAATTTTTTTTTATTGGAAACTAAACGGTTTATACACAGACATATCGATGTATTTACAAAATAATAACAGTTACATCACTAGGGATACGTGCGGTGCGACTGCTGCGGCCGTTATATGTTAACGAGTGAACCATCTACTCTTTATATATCATTTCTGTGTGACCGGTCATATATATATCGGCGGAACACCCGCACCGCACTCACAAAGTCTCGGTTAATCTATAATAAAGCTTGTCCCGGATAACTTCACGATAACTAAGTTAACCGCAGCTAATACAAATTTCGTCAATTTTAAAAGCTCCATTCGTATACTTGGCTTAAGGCTGGTAATTCACACAATTACCCTTGAACTCCCGAAAGGACTAAACCTTTTTTTATTTTTTTAATATTTTTGGTTCCGTGGTCTATCAAATATATAAATATCAAATATATATAACAAAAATAGTGAAATCAAAATTAGTGCAATTCCACGGAACGCGACCGAACCGTCAACGTCGACGTCATCTGTCAAGGTGACGTTTCGCAGTTGGCGCGTTTATTTAACAGTCTCCATAAATACAAATTGTATACAATATCTGTACAATCTGCGATAACCTGTAGGTCACAGGTCGTAGGTCGTAGGTCACTACGAGTTAATATTAATCTCTCCGTAAGAAGGCAATGTCAGGTATCGAGACAGTGTACACCTAAAACTCTGATCGAATTCAACATTGTAAAATATCATTTATATCATCGTATACATCGGTTACAAATTGTGCTACATTATTGAACACCAAGGCAAGGTGAATGTATGATATCTGATACCCATTTAATATATAATATATATATATACTATACATAATACAAAGATATGTACTTCACCTGTAAAGCAAAATTGCAGAATTTCATAATTAAAATATAACTTCATCGCAATTGACATTACTTAGATGTACATTGAGCTTTACGTCTTCGTAAATTATGAGAGTGGTTTGAAAAAAATACAGAGAGGTAACCGTAGTGGTTCCTCGAGAACTGCGACGTCGAGGCCAGCTCGATAGGAACCGACGGCACACTAGCGGCTCGCCCCGGCGTCGCTCACAAATCAAATCCAAAAGTAAAATCATATCCGTGTGTATAAACGCAGAGGCTCATAAAAAATGTAAACATCCTTAAAATCCGTGCGCCCCGTACTTCCAGTAATAGTTACAACTTACAATTAATCAATTATTATTTATATTTACGTAATAACAATACACAATTAGCTATAAATATTTATAAGATAACTATCAAACCGTTGTTTATGTCGTCATCATTATTGTTACCGCCGGCCCAGCTACCGGCTCCGGCTCCTCGTTATAAAGGGTGTTCGCACCATACTATACAGCGTTCATGGTCACTTTTTAATTTACATTATTTTTAAAAATTAAAGTTGACTTTATAATCTTAATTTAGGAGATCGTATACTGTTTCAAATATTACAAAATTGTATCGCTTATGTACATTTAGCATCGCTCTCCTGTTTGTGTCCGACACGCGTCACGCGTCACGTGCCGTGTGTCGTGTCGGCCTCGGGTCGCTGAGGCCGGACGATGGTTTATTCATATCTGAAAGATAAAACTTATATGTATCGATGATACTACTATGTATGAAGAAGAAAAACATGATGCTTAAACTTAGTGATTATCTGGAATAACAACTTTGAATGTACTTACATGTACAAGTGCGCGCATTAAAGATGGTGTCCATAGTACTCGGCGGGGTAATGCGCGTACCCCTGGTGGAAGGCGGGGTCCGCGGGGGGCCTGTGCATCATCTGCTGCCCGTCCATCATGTAGCCCATGGTGGCCTCCGGGCTGTACGCACCGCTGGGGCCCGCGTGCGGGAACACTGCAGGATAGAATACTGCACGGTTAATTAGGACTGATCTTGATCACGAGATTTGATTTGATCTCCAGCTTACGTTAGTGTGTATATTCCAAGCACTTACAGACCAGTTACACTTAGTTATAGACGAGTTACACTTAGTTACAGACCAGTTACACTTAGTTACAGACCGGACTTGGACGAGCTATTCAAATGAAATTTGTTTTTAATTCTAGGAATACTTAAGATTCTTCGTAACTGAAGAAACGATTAGTATGTACTTTTTTCACGAGTTAAATCGATAAACTAAACACAGTTTTTAGTTTTTCATAGAATACCGAATATTTTGATACCGTCAGTTGATTTGGCGGTAGAAACTCATAGTAGGGAACTGTCGCGAAAAAGTAGTAGAGGCAAATTGTACTAAAATGTTTGGTTTTATTAAAGGAAACTTACAAACAAGTGCGCGATCAGCAGCGAGATGTACTCTCATTCTTTTTGCGATATATATTTGTTTAAGAGTATGGGACCTCGTTATTTCAACGAACGACTTCCTCCGTGAAGTTTGATAATAATATTGAAACTTTGTTTTGTCGATTCGAAAAAAAACGTTGATGTTGATTGTCAAGTTGGACGTGGAATCCGCTCAATTTTACCACAAAACTGTTATGCCTTCCGCTAGCTATATATCCATGGGGATTATCAATCGTAAACTAATGGTGTTCGTCCATTATTGACGCCGATTTCCGTCTTCCTCGTGGGGCCTTTATGGTGGCACGCGCCATTGCGCCGTGCCGAAAACAGTCTAATGTCGATATCGAAATTACTTTTTGGTAAGCTTTTTGTTAGAGCAATACAGCTTTTGTCGAGCCTTACACTGATCGTCATATATTAGACTAGATACATGAAAAATTATCGGAGAAAATTCTTTCTAGCTTACATAGTAGTGATATTTGACTCGGCCATTGTGAAAAGGTTACCGCGTTTCGAATTTCGTATAAAAAGTAAAGAAACAACACTAGGATATAAAACAGAAATAAACAATCGCTCTAATAAACACGCCATTACGTTTTTTGCCGATAAAATACAATACTTCATCCGAAGCGAAGCAATTCGAAAAAGTGGTAACATTTTTTCTTCTTTTTTTTTTTCACGAAGCTACAATGCTTTTCCATTGCAGAATATTAATGTGTTCTGCAACAATCGCCGAGAGCTACGGAATCTTATTTTTTTAGGGTTCCCTCGTGCAAGGTAAAAATAGAAGAGCTTTATCGTACTGGCGCTTACTCCTAGTTAATTTTTAGGTTCCACTGCGGGAATCTAGGTCTTATATTTCGTATTTCGTGAAACGTAGTTCTGAAACGGAAAATGTATATATACGAAATCATAATTATGTTTTAAATTTAATTAACATTTCATAAGGATGTATATATTTTTTGTTTTATTCAAATAAAAGCATTAGATTTCACGCTCGGCTAACATAAATAATATCCTGTAGCCGTCTGTTTAAAATAGTTAAAGTTGCATCTTCCAGTCACGCGATTGTTTTATACATTGAGAAATAGATACACATTCCCGTTTTTATATTCACACCATTGTGTGGGAATACTAGTTGAATAGGCATTAGAAAAACAGCGAACAGCGAACAGCTAGTCTATAAATAGAAAAATGTATCGAGTGGGATTGTCGGTGGTATGATAGGGCCCAGCGTGGGTCGATTTAATTGCATGAGAAAGTCCAAAATCGTCGTCATAAAGCCACTAAATCATATTACCCGAGCCCTCTACTCCGAGCTTGTTATTGTTTCCTGTTCCGTCGGTCTTGAGAGCGGAGACACGGCTCACTTACTCATGATGCAGCATTTTTCCTTTAATCAACCGAATATATAGTACAGGCGTAATTGGATGCGAATCAGTTTTATTCTTAATAAACCTAGGCCACATAATCGATCGTAAATTCAGCATATGATATATTTATGTGAAAAAATGTTTTTATTCACAAGTTGAGTTTAAAAAAGAAAACCTTTTGTCTCCCGAGAAACAATCAGTCTAAAAGCAATATAAATAATGGGTGTCCGTATAAAATTTAGCCGTTTTGGAGATACAGTGGTATATTACTCCGCTCATTGTCTTAAGTACTAGACGGACTTTGGCGTTGTGTTGCAGCTCTAAAACAGAGTATAAAACACGGACAGAATTCTAAATATTCCCGGCGGATGCGCCAAGTTTGCCGACGACAGAAAATGGGAAAGGGAGCGTAGATGGAAAATTGTTTTGGCAATCGCCTAAAGAAAATGGCCACCGCATTTCCTGTGGTCAAGCGAGCCAACAGCTTTCCAATCGCCCCGCTGTTTATGTATTCCTGGTGCGTTCATCTTGCCGTGGAAGTTACTGTTTTGTTTGCTTTTGGCTGAAACCATGACTTTTGTTTTTTATGATCCGTAAAAAGTGTTTGTCTCTTATTTTCGTATTACTACATATGTATTTATTTGTACGCCCTCTAATGACTCACTGGACGCAAACAATAAATACTAGATGTGTGAGAAAAGGATACATTTAGAAGTGTTTACATATATTTTAAGTTTAACATAGTATTGTCATTTTGATGCACTTTCTTGTAGGTGTTATTTGTCAATCATTATTACTGAGTGGATCGTTAATGACTCAGTATAGCAATAACGTGTTTTCGTTTTTAATAAACTGCAGGTCGTTGGTTTAATCCGCGAAAAGCTGGATAAACGATTGGTCTGAAATAGTCGGCTCTGCGTATTGTAATTTACAGTCTCGTTCGGTAATGGCGACGCATCAGAGAGCAATTTATGCTCTTATAATAAATTCATTAGTTCGCGGAGACTGCGCTCGTGTGAGTGTCTGTGTATGTGTGTGTGTGTGTGTGTGTGTGTGTGTGTGTGCCGACAGGTGGCTCAAGTGTTGTGTGCTCACGGAATCGTAATACTACTTATTTGGAGTAATTAATTATGTTCATGTTTATTGAGTCTATTAAATTCACATAAACGTCAAAGGAATTTATATACAATTGTGGCTTTGATGGATTTATGACAGACGATTAAATATTAAACGCGATGTTAAGATGTTGAGTTGAACGTCGAGGAGGAATCGATCGGTCTGCGATGTAATTTAATGTTGTAGGAGGAAAAACTTTATATGGGAATGTATTAATATCGTGTAAGAAGAGATCCAGATATCTGAGAGACAAAGGCGCTGTAATCCTGAGGCAGGTCCGATAGGGCCGGGGCCGGGGCCGGGCCGGGGCCGGGGCCGGCGGGGCGCGTGATGGATAGCCGGGGATGGGTCAACGAATTCCGACATTATTCTTTTTTACCCTTCTTACGTTTTGCTGTTGTGAGCCCTTTTTGCGACGTTTCTACCCCCGGTATTTTTACATTTTATCGACTGCTACAATTACCAAATAGCTTCTGGGACGATCGTTTGAGATTACTTTCTTTGAGTTATTAACAGACTTGTTACTGAATACGTTCGATTGAATTAAATCGACGCGGATGTTTTCTGACTAATGATATGTGTTTGAAATATATAGCTCGGTTGATTTCTAAAAGTTATACGCTATATATAAATATATTGTATTGGAGTAAGTTTAAATATCCTGTGAATGGACAAACAATATTTAGAGTCGGAGTATTTCAGTGGCCGGTAAATTCGTTTATGTATCGGTCAGTGAAAGCTGGCCCCACGGGACGCTACATCCTGCATACTGTATGAAGAGACCACAACTCGATTGTCGACTTCAAAGTCCTCGGCCAGTCGTATTCCGATGCACGTACCTAATGCCATTATGTTCTATTCTCAAATTTTGGCCATCGAAAATTTATCGGTGAAATTTCTGTCTGTAAGTGCTCGGAGGTTAGACGCTGTTCGTATAAGAAAAATGTTACCTGCTCTATTGGACTGGTCAATCATCGGCTGGACTATCCTACGTCTCGCATTGATAAACCTGGAAATAAAGAAAAAAATACATAAATTAATTAACTCCTTACATGTAGAAAATCTTTTAATGTTCTTTGTGTGAGCTAATAACTTTTGGTATAGGATTTCTAAATAGATTTTTTAAGTAACATGCATAAAAGAGAGTTCATATAGATGTTTTATAACTGTAGCGAGTGAGTTTGAAGCAATTACTCGCATCGGATAGGTTACGAGGTGAATAAGTAACGGGCCGGGTGCATTCCCAAATTAACTGTCACCATGAATTGTCGGGAGATATCCGCCGATTGCTTTGTGATTCGATTAGTTTTTCGCGTATTACCGAAATTATATAGACTTTTATAACATTATTGGACACGGTTTTTGAATTACTGTGGCGTATTTTTATTTTGGCAATGGGCCGATATATTTTAGAGGATTCGTCTAGCATGTATTTGGTGTAGTAATCTTCAAGTTGAAGATATTTCGAGACAGTCTGGTAGTACGGTCGAGTGAGCGGACATTTGAAAATTATATCTAATTGAAGTCGTATTGTAACCCGACCCTTCCGTAATTAGGAAGCATTGCGTCCGATGCGTCTAATGTATTGTTGATACCAAGATTAGTTAATTAACTCTTCATGTGCCGGCTCCGGACCCCGGGGGAAAAACGCGAGTCCGCGCGGGGGCAATGCCTTGTATTAATTTTGACAGCTCAAATTGTTATTACGCCGCTGCCGTACAATATGTTGCGTTTGATTTATAGCGTCACACTGATTTGGTGATTACGGTGCGGCGTTAATTTCTTAGCTTTACGATCGCTGTTTGTGTAATTTGATATGTTTCGACATATATATATTTTACACAATAACACGTCTTTGGTACACAACTATTAGTATCTAGTAGTAATCACGGTTATGAATGATCAGTTATTTAAATTCAATTCAATTCCCTTCAGTTTATTATAACAATAATATAAGAGGATTGTAATAAGAGATATTTAAAGTGTGTTGCATCCACAGTTCGTATCATTTGTTTCATAGGAGTTATCTTACACATCACTGTTACAATGCACTCAAACAATAGCTACACGATATTTGCATTTGTTTATGTGCATTATTTTATAATAGGGACCCCAGATGGGGCGCTATAAATCAAAACATTCTGGACTTGTTAATGCTCGCACTAGTTGAGGGTGAATTCTAAACTGATGTAATTCCTTGTACCATCGGACAAAAGTGCATTTGATTTATTAATTATATATGCAAATGCGTCTAATTGTTGAGATCATCTTTTTGTCAAGGACTGACTAAAAGCGACATCGGCTCGTGGAGGGTAGCGGCTGGTGACCGTACATGTGTACAGCCAATAGTTCGGTCAATTCTACTAACTGTTATTATTATTAATTATTTTTATTACCAAGCGGGTGTTTCGCCAAATACGTTATGTTAATAGGGCCCTCGAGCTCATGATATCCTGGTATCTATTATTATTGTGAGATTTCCCCGGCTTTCCCTAAATAGGAAAAGTTAAAGGGACCATTTAGTTCCTGGGACACGTATTGGAGGCTGTTCGGACGAGGGTCGGGGGACCCTGGATGGAGAGGAGACATGATCCCGAATACAGTTACGACAGATGGAATTTTTGATAATATTATTAAGAAATTTAAATTTATTTTAATTAACAATACTTTATAGGTTCGCAAATGAATGAAATGTTTTCATTTATTTTGTTTTAAATGTATCTTATTAATAGTATCTTTATGTGCGACACGGCCGCCGTTACATCCAAAGCGCCTATAAACATAACAATAGCGAAACCTTTTCATTTAACGGAGATAATTCTCGTAAGTCGAAAGCGTCTTCTTAATTCCGAGGCCTGATTCTGGAGCGAGAATAAAATTTAATTTCTCCTCGGAAGTTTTTGGATTTTAATTACCTAAAGCAAATTAAAATAAGGGGGGGGGGGTGCGACCTACAGATCGCGGGGAGGGCGTTAATTTATTACGGGCACATTGAACAGGTACAATATACTGTTTTTTAACATAAACTTAGACGTGATTGCGTTCAGCAATTGTATTAAGAATAAAATATATATTTTATTACCCTTAATGTATGAATGTTTAAAATTTCGTACATCGAGAGTGATGTGTGTCGTTTTTGATTAAAATATATAATGCGATCTTGAAATGCATCTAATATGTTCTGATACAAAATTATTTTATTTAAATAAATAAGTATAATAATTTTAAAATACGTAAAGTCTGTAGTATAGTAACAGTGGGTAGTGTAATAGTGATCGGACATTTATTACTCAAACCGTGTTTCAGGTAAGATTTATAAGTGCGAAGGATATTTTCCATGGTTTAGTTTTCTCTTTACAGCGGGTTCCCTCCGTGTCGGCAGGTGTGTTCGGGATCTTAAGCAAAACAAACAGGGAGAGGTATTGCCCGGGCAATAAATTCCGTTTTTCCCTAATTAAGGCTTAATTCCGGAAGGACCGGCTCACCTTCTGCTAGATAGTTATTATTTAGAACTTTATTAAATATTGCTCTAACCATTTTGTTTTAAATAAAATTATAGAAGCTTTATATAAAGAATTTATATTATATTTTATTTATTGATAAAATATTTATTAAGAGTTCTATTTATATGCAAAAAGATAAAGATGTCATTGCCTTTTAATTCTATTGAGACATTCAAGTTTTATATCTCAGAAGTCAAGAACATTTTATTTAATAGTGACTGTATTATATTCGGGTGAGACCGGCCGGATTGTTCCGATTATAGGAATAGCTGGAATAAGGAAAAAATACGGAAAATAACATAAAAAGTTACGACATATTAGCAAAGTACTGAAGTACGGAAACCGCTGCGGGTCCAACATAAATATAGCAACGGTAAACATAGTACATTATGAGCAACTTGTTCATAACTATTGAATTAGTACGACTTATAGATACTAGAGGTTTCTATGATTGTAAACGAAATCAAATCTATTTAATTAATAATCTTCTACCTGGCAATTTCTTCTATATATTGTGAATAGTATTGGCTAATTGTTTTTACGACTGGTCTGCCTGACATCAACCCTCTTCGGGAATGCATTAATCGGTGATGTCGAAATAATCTTAGAAAGTACATATGACTCGGAAAAATCACATTGGTACTTGCCAGGATTGAACCCGTGCCCTCGTGCATGTTGGGCGGGCTTTAACCACTAGGCCACCACTGACTATATATTTAATTATGAATATTGTATGTTATATCATAAATATATAATGGTTATTATTAGCACGCGTTCCGATATATATTTATAATGTAGCCGTTAATAATATTCGTCGTATATCATGGCTTGGATCTCATCCACACGGCTTGGTCAGTGTCAAAGTTATTTATTATAAACTATATATCAACATTTCTTTGTGGATTCATAAATTTGGAGCGCCATATTATGAATGTTCATTTTTTATTTATTTATATATTCATTGGTGAAGACGAAGTTGAATGTTCGAGTTGTATACATCGATAGAATTATATTGATGGTGTTTTGATACTGAAGGAAGTCTAAATCTTGGAGATTTGTAACGGATCTCGCTTGTAAAGGGTGAATAATACACAACGGACGATGAAATCCTATAAATCCAGTGCGGATCGCGGTATGATGTTAGTCTTACGAATAACTGACCTCTGAATATCGTAACAACAAATTACATTATACAATTAGTAACTCAAATCCTTTATAATGTAACAGTTCATACATTTATTTATCCTCAATATTAAAGTCCCGTATGATTTAACGCCGCACGTCAGCAGAAACAAAACGATATCACGTACAAATTCTTCTAATCCGGAGCTGCCCCATGGGCGATAAATTTTTTTCCATGAAATCCGATGGCCGCGTCGACGCATAGAAACTGCCCTAAATCAGGCAATTATAGGTGCGACCAGTAAATTATTATAAGTTGGGGATCACGAGTGGACCGTCCAATAAGTGCCTACAAACAAACATAACTATACATATCCAAGTTTGTTATTATTAAGTTATTTTTTCAGTTCGCGATGTACAAAACATTTGTTCATCTTATAGAAATGTTAATTTTACAGTCGACATTTCATTAATGTATTTTAATGAAAGTAATGTTTTTCGGATATACTACGCGACTTTATTTTTGTAAAAACTATAAACTCCCGACGTTTCGGACACTTTTCAGCAACCGTGATCATGTTTTCTGAAAAGTAATCGAAACGTCGGGAGTATATAATTTCTTACGAAAATAAAATCACGTAGTATAATAATATCTGAAATATTTTAGTTTCATTTAAATGAATACCCGTGAAATTCTTAGATCTCATTATTCATTTATATAGTTAAACTAAAGCATAAATCTGTAACAAATGAAGCGGACAAATGTTTCATTTGAAGGAGTCTTAATCCCGAGGTGGTAGCCGCTGGTGGTAATTACTTGCTATATATCCTGACCCTCCGACCTTCGACCTCCGCCCTCAGAGTTCGCTCGTCATCACCTAACATATGGCGCTGCGATAATTGTGAGACTTTACCGTTTCTGGTAAACTGAAGACTATTGATGCTGAGGGAATATATTGTGTTAGAATAACATCCAAAAATGATATTTGGACTTGAAAAATAACTTTGATATTTGAAGTCTAAAGAGATCATATTATAAATTTAATAGTTTCAATTAATTGTTTGTTATATAGGAAATAGTGTTTTAAGATTAATAATTTCTACGTAATAGGGAATAGTATTACAAAGTTCGCCCAAAATGCCAAGCTACAGCTCGATTTTGTTATTAAAAGCATGTTTAATATATTCATCGAATAGTTCGCGTTTAGTTGTGAGTCTCATAACAGCTAGGGTCGGAGATAATAATTTAAAGAGCCGCCCAGCGTCATCTTGCGTTGATCGCTCCACGACTGCTAACAATTTATTTATCATTAAATACGAAAGGGTTGAGGTGCGAACGGTTATAGCGGGCAGATGTTACTCCTCACTGAACACTGCTAATGTT